GTCTGTCATGAGATAACTCGTCTTATTTTGAAGTAGGTTTTGCATTTAATTGTTTTGGCATGACTTCATCTTACTCACTCAATGTTGAGGATCAAAAACGTTACTTTGAAAAGTTAAAACTCACCAATAACTGTTGACAATGTTGATGTTGTACTGCTGTATAACGATTGTTGATGTTATATGGCGATAACTGTTGACGATGCTGATATTGTACTGTTGTATGACGACGGTTGATGCTGTATGCCGATAATTGTGGACCATTGTTGATGTTGTACGCCGATAACTGCTGACGATGTTGATGTTGTACTGTTGTATGATGATTGTTGATGTTGTACATCGATAACTGTTAACAATGTTGACGTTGTACTGCTGTATGATGACAGTTGATGTTGTATGCCAGTAATTGTTGAAGATGTTGATGTTGTACGGTGATAACTGTTGACAATGTTGTTGTTGACTTGTTGATAAGGCCGTTTTTTGCTTACCAAAATGGTGGCTGTGTTTTGTGGTATGCCACTAAATTTTTTTAAAAGTACTATAGCACAAACATTTTACATAACTATGAAACAGCACATTTACTTTGCTTGCATACAGAATTTGAAGTCATTCCATGTTCACCTCAGTTCACAGCGCCCCCCTCCCTGTGAGCTTCTCTATGAGATTATGATCACATTTAAAAGGAGACAGTGATAATGATAATCCAGTTTAATCAGTGAGACAACAGCGCGCTCTGCCTGAGTCTCTTTGGTCTGGCTCTAAATGGCAGCTAAGCCATAAAGAGGATTAACACAGATTAGTCATAATTCTGTGACTGCAGGTTATGGGCCAATGAAAGGTGAGTGCAGACTGTAGACACTAATTGTTTTATAGGAACACAAATACAAGCCCAAATGTCACAGTTCATCTTGGTTCAATGAAGGGCTGTTAGCAAATTTGTAAAATTCAAGTCCTGAAGCCTGCAAGAACATCATATTCTCTGGAAACAACAATGTGAAAATGTCCTAATCCTGTTTTTAGTGATGTTTCAGTGCAGTAACATCAGTGAATAGACAAGGATGTGCACCTTAATGCTCCCGGTCATGCTATTAAATATGAGCTCTGAACAGAATCCTACCCTTTTATTAAAACTCAAATCTAAAATCTAATCTTATGATAATTGCAATGCTTGTTACATTAAGATACTTTCCCAAACTGATTCAGCCCTGGTTTAATAAAGGAATTAGCAAAATAGAAGGATGTTTTCACAAGAGAACATCCTAATAAAAGAGTACACAAAGTTGGAATAATGTGTCCACTTTAGAGCTCATTTTACGTTTGTATAATTTAATGATTTCCCATAAAAAACTAAAATTATTATCTAGTACTGTTACGTTCTGTAAGCAAGAAATGTAATTAAATAAACTAGACTTGGACTAGGTAGTGTGCATACAAAATCAAAAGAATACAAAATACAAAAGAAACTTAATGAAAAAGGAGAAAAGTAAGCTCCAAACTTTTAAGGTGAATATTTTTGCAAAAGTAAAAACTCTTTGTTCGTTGTCGTCAATAAACTTTGTATAACATTGTGTTTTGTTGTTTTCCAAAGTCCCCAATGGAGTCTGATTCACAATGAACAATGCTGCCCGTTCTGGAAAATATTGACTTTACCAAATGGAAATGCAAATATGAACTCCCCATAGCACAATGGCGTATCAATACAACACAGGGAACGTACAGTGTGGAAAAGCTGATATGTCTACCTTCTAAATTAGCTTGCTGAGGTGGTAGAGTTGGTCAACAAAAGCTCTTATAGTCTGGGGACCTGTACAGAAAGATTAAGTAATGCGTTAATGAGGTCACATCAAGATTAACTGTGGAATCGCAACAAGATAACAAAGCTTTTTGATTTACATTTTAAAACGTACCCATGTTTGTTTGCCGTGACCAGCCATTCCCTTCAACATTCTGTTTGAATATAGAAAGAACAAGAACTGGACCAGACCTCCATCCAAACTTGAGATGATCCAACTATAGCCATATTATCACGTGTCTTTCAAAAGCAGAAGACAAGCCAAAATTCTCTAAACATTCAGAACAAAATACACAACTTCATTTACCTGAGATAAGCAATAGTTTGGTGCTTTGATTGTTTGATTCTGCAAAAATCCACGCTGTTTCTTAGTCTTTTAGGTGTTTTTTTTTCTCCTTTTTTTTTTACCTAGGATACAGCTCCAGATCCACTCGCCTTTGTAAAGTTTTGTCAAAGCGTGTGGTTCTGGCTAAGGTAGCAACTTTGTTCTTGTATATTTATCTGCATCTAATTATAAGGTAATGCAGAGGGAATTATAAAGTAATGTATTGGGACGAAAGAGAGGGATAAGAATGGATTGGCCGCGTAAGAACTGTACCTTCTGCTTCATTTCACCAATAGAAAAGCGTTCTGATGCTGTGCTCCCATTCAATATATCTGTGAATACTGTATTAGAGATAAAACTTTTGACCAGTTGACAGACTTATATTTTCTTTTGCCATGGAAACTAGCTGGACGAGTAAGGTTTTACACAGACAACTAGCGATAGACCAAGTGTTTGGGTTAGAGCACTGGAAAAAAACTGCCTTCTTCCATCTTTTACATTTTGAAGGTACACCAGCTTCAAGAGCCGAGGGGAAAAAAAAGATTCATTTTCCACATTCATGACCTTTAATAATGTATTCTACTCAACCTATCCAAGTAAAAGACAAAACAAGCAAGTCCTCTTTAATATCTATGTAAATCAATTTTGTACTATATGATTGCATTGGACAGGAGAAAACAGTTGACCTTTTGTTGCTTTGTAAACAAAAGACTCCTTGCTAAAAAGGTTATGTGTCTCTGCCTCCATAAACGTACAGTATATATCTCCCTGGTTCTATCCCTGTTCAAGCCCTATAAACTTCCACTCTAAGTTTGAGCTGAGTTCACGACCTGCACAGAGAGATTCTCTGAGCCTCAAAGTGCCATCCATCTCGCTGATAAGAACATTCATTTCTCTTCATCGCATTGTCCTCCAGGAAAAAGCCTTGGGGATCCTTGTGCCACTCTGACAGATGAAGGCCCACCTCTGCCTGTCTCCACTAAATCAATGTGCTGGTGTCTGAGGGCTGAGATCCAGTGATGAGAGTGGACTGGGGGACTGACAGGGGCTATTGGGGTTGGTCTCCAAGAGTCCATTTCCAAGAGATGGAAATGTTCACAATCAAGAGGAGGACAAGATAGCGTGAATGAAGCGTGGATAAAGTGCGAATGAAGCGTGAATGCCCGAAGTAAAAGAATATTGAGATATTTTTTTACATTTTAACCTGCACTTTAAATCTGAAAACTTAAACTTTAAGACTTTTTCTTTTTTAAAATACATGCTCTGATGACGGCCATGCTCAAAATGCCACCAGCGCTTTTAGTTGAGCAATTTTTTTCCATTTGATATGTTGCAGTGACATCATGCTGGGGGTGTTCTACATGTATCTCTATGCTGGAAGGTTTAGGAGTTAACATGGTGACATAAAGCACATTTGATTTACAACACATTTTCAGCACCCTGTGATCAGTACAAGTGCTCATGGTGCTGTTTACGCAAAAATATTGAAATATCGATATATCGTATCATTTACTGTGATGATACAGTATGGATATCGTGGGCTGCTGTAGTATTTTTTGGCATATTTTACTAAATTATTTTGTTACAGTGCTACACATTTGACATTTTCCCTGTTTTGATGAGTAAAATGGGTGTGTTTCATATTCACTTTGCAGAAGAAATGGTTTAACAAAGACTTTTAGTATCACAATCATAATTTAGCCTTTATTTTTTATTGAGCTATATCGAATCGGTTTGAAATATATTGTACTGAATTGTATTGAATCATGAGCTCACTGTTTCGAGATATGTATCGTATCATGGCCTATGTATCAAGGTATGTATCGTATCGGCAACTTCTGAATGATACTCAGCCCTATGTTTATGTGTTTGATTTTCAACAAAAAGGTGAGAGTTTCTAACTGAAAACTGTTGTCTAATTCTAGCTGGACGTAACTATAATGTTTTGTGAAAGGGACTCGTTTAAAAGCACAAATCAGCTACACTGTTGTAGTTCCAGCTGAATCAATTCATTCCGGTCAAATTGTGCGCTAACTAAGACTTGGAGAGATTTCTAAACACACCCATAAGACTATGTTTAAAGGTGCACTATGTAACTTTTTCTGGTGGTGTGTCTCAGTGAAAAAGAGATTAATTTGACTTGAATCTAGTATGACATTCGTTCCCATGGAGATAAACGGACATTTCAAATAAACTTGCCTGTAACTGAATAAATGTCATATAGATATGTTAAATCTCATACATTAAAAGCTATAACAGCTCCATGGAGACAAGGAAGCAGCGGACCCTCTTTCAGAAAAGTTACATAATACACCTTTAAATCAAATGGCGAGTAATATTTCAATTATACAAAGTCGTAGTCTTAATTACCGGTCATCTTCAGGCCTCACTGCAACTATGAGCCATTACGATAAGGTAGGACGTTTAAACCATTTTCATTTACGGTTGAAGCAAAACCCACTCACCTAATTGCCCCATGAAGTTTACACCCCCATTACTCCTGACGCCTAATCGGAGAGCGTGGCCGCATACCTGGAGATGGATGAAGCCATTTGCTATTCCGACCAGGTCCTGCTAGTGAAGGAGCGCACGCCGGACGACAGGCGAGGGACAGCCAGGCCGGAGCGCGGTTACTAATGAGCCTTTATAACCATCACAGAGAAGGCCTCATGCATCTTTCATACCCCAGCGTGCCCGAGCGGGTACACAAACAGCCTTGTATGATGCATGGTGGCAGCATGTCTCGTCCTTAATGCGGGTCATCGCCCTGAGCAAACACACACACAAAACATGACAAAGTAAAGAAGGTGGGGGACTGGTTGAGAATGGAGGCACAGGAAGCAAAGGAGTACAAAAGGATGGAGAGAACAGTTAGTTTAATCGATATTTACTTGCCTACGCAGATGGAAATTTAAAAACAACAGATTCTTGTGTTAGAAGTGGCTATTTGTGCATATGTGTATGGAAAATGTACAATATCATTTAAGCAGGTGAAACATGATAAAAATGTGCAAGGTGTTGTAAAAAATGTCCAAAATCATCTTGCAAAAACATTGAAGTTCCTGTATTATGCAAAATCGAAAAACAAAAAATCTTCCACAAGAACATGCCTTTAGTTGTGTTTTGTTTCATTCATATGTTTAAGTAACACTTTATTAACAGTTTTCTACATCCCCAAAGCTTAAAATGCTCTGTTAACTTTTGTTCAGTAAATATTAGGAATTGCAGGGCTGAAATTATCCAAATGATTCTAGTGAAGGTGTATGGTAATTTAAAAACACAGTGGAGCACTTACTGTATTATCACATGACATCTCAAAGTGGAACAATGTGTTTTCCATGTGCGAGAAGAAGATGCACTGTTTGTGTTTAACATGAGTGAATGAAACAAAACACAAATCTTTTGAGGCTGCTTTTGAGGAGAGAACAATATCATAACATAGATCAGAAAATATGGGCCCTTTAAAGAAAATGTTACATCAAAATATGATTCAATTCCTTCTTCTTAAATCTGAAAAAATCCCAGTACCTCCTTATAAATGTAAAGTACAGTGGTCCTAGTACCCTTGGTTATAAAGTACAAATAATGTCATTTAGAAATGTTTTAGGATCGTATGTACAATTTAAAGTTCTTTACAAAACAACCACAAAAAAAAAACAACAACAAAAAACCCCACAAATGAAACAACAGTGATTTTCAGATTGTCATTTCAGAATACGCTTACTTTGCATAACGCTGCATATACTTCAAAAGTTAATAGTGCATTTTTATAACCAGTATGATTTTTTCCCTAAAACGTTTACATAGATATTCAGTGCATAATTTATCCATCTACAGCCCAGCATGGTTCTGTTAGAAACATAGCATGTAGCAACTTCTCCAATTCTGTATCATTTTGCAAACACTGTATCCCTGGTTCCTCTGTGCGCTGGATCCTTTCTTTTCAGAGGCAGCAGTCTTTACAGTGACAACAGACTCTCTCTCATCTGTAAGTCTTCCCATCTGCCGTTTCATCACCACAAAACTCCGCTCGCATACATATTCAGCACACAGCGGTCTGCAGTGGATGCTTCTGGCGTTGATGAAAAGCCGCTTGGTAAATAGCAGGTAAGAGTTTGGTAGTGGCGAGTGGTCCTAGTCGACAGGATTACAGACGTTCTTCATGTCAGTGAGGACCATGTCTCTGTATCTGTGCTCCAGATCCGCCATAAAGTCCAAGTAGTCACACACTCTGAAGCCTCGGATCGGCTCCTCCTGTGGGGACAACAGAAAATGACATTACATCTGTTCATATCATTCAATGTACTGTTAAAGTTTTTACTGTAATAGAGAAAAGTTTGTTTAGATAGTTTGCTCTGTTGCTAAGGTTGAGTGAGGGCAGTCCACCATGCTTTGCTTTGTCACCAACCTACCAAGAAAATGCAAACTTTTGTATTTTTAAATATTCTTTTCTTGCTAGATATTATGATTTCCTTTTTCTGATAAAGGTTCAGTGCACTTAATTGTCTCCATAAAGAAATTTGATCAGTGCTGCTGGAGGGACTCATCTCCAGATTTTGAGCTTCTTTGTCTTGGTCTACCTTAGCTGGAAGATTGTAACTATGGTGCACGTTTTGAGGATAATGAGGGAAACTAAAGAGCTTGAAGGAACCCCACCCAGACATGGGAAGACACATGCACTACTACACACAAGTGGAATTGGTCACAAAAGTTTTTTTGTTTTTTTTTATTTTGTGACCAGTAGAGATGTAACGATATCCGAATCCCTTGATATAATATTTTTTTACGATATTTATTGTGATATTTTGTAGAGGCTAACAAAATGTGAATATGCTACTTTTCCTTTTAAAGTGCATCAACAAGACTTTGGTTGTGTCATAAATGGTGAAAAGGATCATGGTCTATGTAGTTCCCTCTCTTTTTGTAGCTATATTACTGCACTATAACTTAAGAGATTTGATATACAGTACAACATATTGTGACGGTTCATGATATTATTGTGAGACTTTTGACGATACGATATCAAGATATTTCGGTTATTGTTGCGTACTAGTGACCAGTGGAGTGGACAAATGCATTTCATGATTTCTTAAGTGACATTGATGGATGCTCACATTTGTACAAACATGATGCACAAATACAAGGCAATAAATCAAGCAACTATGACAACAACTTCAGCAAAATAAATATATTAACAATTACAAGTGCATGGTCAGTGTTAAATGAAACAAAAAACATGAACACGGCTTAGAGTTGTGAACATCTTAAATATTTTGAACCAATATCACTTCCTGATACAGTTCACAAGGGATGAACAGTGTCAATTCGGTAGCAGGATATGAAAAAAGATCAAGAAAACAGTCCCTCAAGACCACCAAATCAACAGTGCATGAGATTTAAAAGAAAAAAGTGAGTAGCGTGCTGTAAACAAACTAAGAAAAAACAGTGCACAAAGATGATTTTATCCATCTGAAGTCTGCGATTGTCATTTGTGGGCCGAGACAAGTGTGAATAAATTGAAGCGAACCTTTTCATTAAAATGCTTTACATTCAATCTATTTTCAAGTCACAAGAAATCAAATTAAATCGGAGAATTGAATGCAGCGCAGCGTCTGTAAACAACATCCTGGCTTAGTGCAGGGGTAATGAGGTTTTGACGTGGCGTGGATATCGACGAGCATCTCCCAACACACAGGGGCGAAAAATAAAAAATCTGGAATTAACCATGAACGTACTTTTCATTTGAGATATGATTGGGCGAAACAAATGATCAGAGGTTGTGAGAGTGGGAGCAGTCCAAAGCCAAAATGTACAAAATAATGACTGTTGGTTTTCTAATTTCCTTTAGTCCATTCTGAGGCTTATTAAGGTCAGGTAAACAGTGGCAGTGACAAACAACTATAATGAAGCAGAGGAAGAGATTTCATAAAATTCTCATAAATCTCCATAAATCGCCGCCGATATGAGCTTGGGTCATTAAAAGTTGGCTTCTTGTGGTTTTACACTTTCGAGGTCATCACGGTGAATCTGGCCATGTCCTCTGTATCCCCACATCACATACCAACTAATTTGTATGTTATTTCATAAAAGTGTAAGTTCATTGATTTACAGTATTTCATAGTATAGATTTGGATTCACTATCGGGAGGAACTCAGCAGCTGTAAAGGAATCAATAACATATTAAAGGGCCCATATTAAGATGTTTTCTGTAGGCTATAGGGTGTGGTTTTTCCTCATCAGAAAGTCAGAGTCGGAGTTGGGTTTTTTCATTCACACATATAAATACACACACCCTTCATTTTTTTTCTCTAACATCAAAACAATCTGTTCCATCTTGTGTTGTCATATGGCAATACAGGAAGTGCTTTATTGTCTTTTAAAAGTCCTTATACCTGCACTCATTTGCATAATTTCAGACCTGGAATTGCCAAATCTCTACTAAACAGAAGGTAAAAAGTAGCTGTTAACTTGAAAAATACAGCGTCATGACATCAGAAGGTGTCACAGAGCATTTTGAGCTTTAAAGATGTAGATAATAATAGCAGTTACTGAAACATGTGTACCGTATTTTTTGGACTATAAATCACACTTTTTTTCATGGTTTGGGTGGTCCTGCGACTTATTCTCCGATGCAAATTATGTATTAAAATTTTCACACTGAAGCCACGAGAGACTCTAGTCTTGTGTGTCAGTATCAGCTGCTCCTGTACCACTGTCACTTCACTCTACTGTACATGTCTCCTTCAGAAAGAGCCGCTGTCCTGTCTGTATCATGTCAGTCGATCGCACCATTACTTCTTTACCACTGAAAATGTTTAATTTAAACAAACTTATAAAGACAACTGAGAAGACTAAACAAATGCCCCCAAAAAGAAAATCATATTTTGCAGATTACAAACTGCATGTAGCCAAATATTCTGCCGAAAATGACAATCGAGCAGCAGAAAGAAAGTTCAGAATGAGCGAAAAAGTTGTGACTTTCCTGGAAGTTACTGGATGGATCGACAAAGCCTGGACTTCAGTGACAACCAAAACCATCCTGTTGGGATTCAGAAAGGCCGGAATAATTCTAACTGGAACTGATGTTGAGACTGACAACAGCTACACAGAACAGGAAGTGGCGCCCTGTTTTCCCTGTTTTCCTTCCAGAGGTCGTGGAGTTGCTCACAAGTGACACCGAGGATGAAGAATTCAATATTCTGTTCTGTTGTTTATGCTATAGTTATCTGAATAACTGTTCATATGTTACATTAACATCCTGTTGTTCTCTGTTCTATTGTTATTACTATAACTTGAATTTCAAGATGAAATGTTGGTTCCTTGTCTCTGATTTTATAAAATAAATTTCCTCCAAAAAGTGAGAAGACTTATATAAAAAGACTTATATAAAAAGATTTATATATCGTCTTTTCTTCTTCATTATGCACTTTTTAGCTAGTGTGATTTATAATCTGGAGCGATTTATAGTCCGAAAAATACAGTAAATGAAACAAAATACAACTCCAGGTATGTTTTTGAGGAGATAACAACATTTTAACCTGGCTTAAAATTGACTCAAGAGTCAATTTTGTGTAATACAGGACCATTACTCATTATGCTATGGTTAACAAATCAAACTAAATATTATGTCTTTTGAATTGGAAAAAATCCTCAGAATGTTGCATATAACAGCTACATGAAAATCATTAATAGATACTCGCACACATTTATTGCTAAGTACATTGTGTTTCATTATGCTATATATTAAGGAAATAGGTTTACACAGTTTCTCATGGTTTATGGTTACTGTCTTGCAGGCATAAAATGGTCTTCAGAGCGTTATTATTGTTCATCAAATATCTTTTTCATGAACCACCTTATGAGCCAATGGGGGACGTGTAGAGCACAAACTCAAATAATACTTATAACAAAATAAAGCGAGTCAACAGAACATTACATGACAATATAAAAGATGTACTTGCTCATAGACAGAACTTGCTGCATTCCTTATGAAATTATTAAAACCGTAGTTCTTTTCACACGGAGGCTCTTTCCACATAATCACAATTTATTAGAACTTTTATGGATCCAGGAAACCAAAGAAAGTTGATCAAAGCCCTTCAACTTCCACATCCTTCTCAAAATGACTGTATACGCCTGATGACGTCCTCTATATTTCTCACAATATATCAGCACTTATAAGATCATTAGGTGCTGTAATGAACGCACTAATTACACAGATTCCTCCTTTTCTCGAGCCTGTCTTCACTTGACAAATGAGTGGCGTTATAAGTGCTAAGACTGAGCAGAAAACATGGAGGGCTACATCAATAACAGCTACTATGTTTAGAGGGGGATTGCTTTATGGTAAGATAACGTAATCAGCCTGAACAATATTAGAAAAACCTAATCTAATATTTTTGGGAACTAATATTGCTCATTAATATGTTCAGTAATTACTTTTTTTTTCAATACACCAAAATCATATTAACTGAGATGTGTCTAATAATAACACAGGCATTACCATCCAGGTTAGAACAACATTTGTGATCTAATATCACATACAGTATTTATCAATGTCTGTTTCGTTTCTCAAATTTCATGTTTTAATAGCACTTTACACAGTTGCTAAAACACACTGTGACATCGCATAGCAAAGCATTATGGGATACCCCCTTAGATAAACAAACAAACAAAGTCGGTACGTCTTCCTCCGTCAAAACAACCTCTTCATTTCCAGTTCTAACTTTCTGTAATATTAACTTATTTTTTTCTACACAATTGCCATATTACGCATATTTTTGATCTACACTACCGGTCAAAAGTTTAAGAACACCACACTTTTTCCAGTTTTTTACTCTTTACGGTTTAATGTTGACTAAAAACTAAACTTTTGATTCATGAACGTGTCCACCTTTGGCAGATATAACAGCTGAACACACTTGTGGCTCGTTCTTTTTACAATAGAAATCAAATAATAAAATAAATAAATAATAAACCAGCTCGATGAGGCTTAAATCTGGAGACTCTGTTGGACACTCCATGTTTTCAAGCTTTCCATTTTGTTCTTTTTTCCTGAGGTAGTTTTGGCAGAGCTTGGACTTGTGTTTTGTTATCTTTTATCTTTTTTAACCCCTGGCTGTTCAGTACTTACCTTTGTACCATTTCAACCTATTTATTGGACTTGTACGACTTGAATTGCAATAAATAACTGGAAAAATTAGCGTGTTCTAAAACTTTTGACCAGTAGTATATGTTACAATGTTGTTCTTCATCAGAAACATCTGGTTATGTTTTATTTCACATTTAACACATAAAATCTACATATTTATGCTGAGTTCTTCTTTCAAACAGAAAACTCTGTCCCACCTTGTGATGTCGTGTTAATACAGGAAGTTCTTAACTGTGTTTTTAAACTCCATACACCCTCAGTGTAATCATTTGGAATATTTCAGCCTTAGAATTGTCCATCTTTACTGAACAAAACGTCAAGGATAGCTGTTAACTTAAAAACTAACACTTCATGACATCACAAGGTGGACCAGAACACTTTGGACTTTGGAGATGTAGACAGACTAATAATAAAGGATTACTCAAACATGTTCTTGATGAGGAAACAACATTCTAACATGGTTTAAAACTCACAAGAATCAACTTTGCGTAAGATAGGACCTTCAAATGTAGAACGCGTGCGATTTGTTTGTCTAAGGCTGTGACGTCGCCTCAAAACAGGCTATTGAGATAAAATATAGATCTGCCGCATGCTGTTTGAATGTTTAAAAATTCTAGAAGTAACATCTGTGAAAGCTCCTCCTCCTCTTCTCTCTGTTTCTCTTCTCCCAAGCTTTTACTTGGTTCAAATGGGGACAGAAGTGGGGTGAGTTGGTCGGGTAGTGCCACTCATTAGAGAAGCTTCCACAGATAAAGCGTTATAATTGATGTTTTATTCAGAAAAGTGTCAGAAGGCCCACGAACAGCAGGGCCATCAGAGAAGACACTGCTTATTGAGTAATGAGGACGGGCCATGGCTCACTTACACTGTTTAATGTTATTTCAGATTTTAGATATGAGTCCTTTGGATTTCACTCAAGTTAACAGAATACAGTGACAGTACTTTGCAGTGTGGAGTTCTAAAATAGAAACTTGCGATGCTTTATCATAACTACACTTCTAATAGCCTTAATAAAGCTTGAATTATAATGAACGTATAGCTTATTAAGAATGATTCAGGCTCAGTAACTAACTAATAAAGAGGTTAGGAGTAATAATATTAATTAAATAGTTAATTACCTAGAATCATTCACCATTAAGGCTAATTAAACTGTAGTTATTATAAAGTGGTGCCATGAAATCTACTGTATCATCATATTGTAACATTATTCAAGTTCACAGTGATCCACAGTTTTAGCAAATATTCTAAAATACAATATTGTATTCTGTTCAAGACCCTGGTTATGTTTACATGCACAATAAAATCTGTTCATTTACAAGTGGTTTAATAACTCAAAAATACCCAGAAAAACATGCATTCTGACTGTGAGCAGGGTTGCCTGACCACAGATCTGAACAGACACTTGATCTGGTTTGGTCTTCGTGAAGATAGAAAGGTTTAATACCGTACTGTGAAACTTTACAAGCAAAGCAATCACATCTCCACAGAGAAAAGCATTTAACGGACCTTCCACCAGAAAATACAATGCACCTTTAAATGACATGCACATAGCAAGTAATCAGAGGAGTCATGTTCAGAAAAATGAAGATTACTTTGCTGTTTAAATGTCATTTAAAAGTAATTTAATGCCAAAAATCTGATAATAGTTAATGTTTTGAGCGCGCATGTAACTGCAGCAAATAAAACCGAGAAAAAATCATTTAAATATCAGATTTAAGCTTATGTCCTACCATACAACCAATAACAGAGTAAGTGCATATTTGTTTATTATTAAATTTAATATATTATTGTGCCTATATTTCCTCTACACAAACCAGAGTGTGGAAACAAACCAAGTGTAACTGCTATAATTTTCCTAGTGTTCATTTACTTTTACTATTGATCTGAGCAGCTTGAACACTGAAGATCTCCACTGTGGGACAAATAAAGGATTATTTTCTTTTATATTGCTTTGTAAATCAAGTGCTAAGTGTGGAACTGCTTTGCTTCTTGTCTGGTCTCATTCGGCCCATTAAAAGTCAATGTAACAACTTGTAAATACTTTATACAGCATTATAAGTGTTCGCACAGACTATTAGGTAAAATAAAAGTTTAGTTTTATGATGAGGCTCCCAGTGTTGTTATGATCCTAAAATGTCAAGTTCAATTTTGAAACCAAGATAAAGACTAGAATACCATTACTGATTCCACAACGATATTAAATTCTCTCTTTTTTAGAAAATATAATGTAATTTTCAACACTAAATTACATTACTACACTATTTTGCACTTGCTGGTGAAAAATGACTTTGTTTTAGCCTCTGTATTTGTAGTAAATACCATACGTAGAGACAATAATTTGTTCCCATCTTAAAACAATAGTAGTTAATTTAATTTTGCCGTGCAGTCTGATGCTAGTTCTGATAGAGAAAATCTTCTAAAACTATACAAGAATTCTCCAACTTTGTCCTATTTATGTGATTTTTGTTAGTATTGATAATAGTTCAAATGAAGATCTAGTTTTGACGCAGAACTGATTAGTATATGGTATGGATTTTCTTGACAATCCTATAGGCTACAGTGGCTTACCTTAAGAAAGACCTGGAGCTCTTGGGACTGAGTCTGCTGCAGGATGGCTGGCTGCAGGTGTTTGAACAAAGCCACACACATGTAGACCTGGTAGTCTGCTCCCATCAGCACACACGTGGAGAGGTAGTGGACAATCTCAGGCCAGTCCAGGTAGTTCCACAAACACTGAGTCAGCCAATGGAGGCACATCTGTGTTGGATCAACACAGAAATGCCATTAGTCCCAGTAGGGATGGAAAGTTCAGTAGAAATTATTGCACTGTAGAGATGACTGTGGCAACTAGAAACAAAACAATTTCATACAAGAGAAAGTTCAAATAAATATGAAACTGTTAGGAACCCATGTTCAATGTGTGTGCTAATTGCCACATCTGACTGTAATGCTTTAAAGTGCTCAATACAACCTGCTCCATGGAGATCGCTTTGCTTAAAATGTTCCACAATGGCATAAAATCATCTGTACTTGAATAAATGAATATGTTACTGTGAAACATTCCAGGTAAAGGTGTATTTATATCCGTATATAATGTATTGTATTAAAAACATATATGGATTTCAATATTAAAAAAGTATGAACAAGGCAAACTTTTAATCAGTAGCATTTAAATAGTCAAATTTATTCATCCAAAGTTCCAAACGACACATTTTTAACTGAAAGAGGATTGACTGTAGATGTGTTCATTAAAAAGTCCCATGCAGATCATTAACAATTGGATCTTGTTTGGCTGCTTTCACTGTCCCACGGTAAATTTCAACATGACCATGTCCATTTGTTTGCCATAAGGAGGTCCTGATTGGTCCTTTACCTTGGAGTCTATTGTATATTTACTTCATTTGCCTCACCAGGCCTTTGTAAAATGACAGTGTTTTTGGATACAAGATAAAAAGTGCTCGAGCTCTCTGGTGTTTGGTATTGAGGTGGGACTTGGGGACGCCGACTAGAGCAGATGCATGCTAATGTTTATTTGTGCAGCTGATGATGTGTTGATGTGTGATATTAATGAGGCAGCTGCTTCCCAATAGTTTCCAGCAAAAATAAATGAAGCTATAAAAATATTTCACAACCAAAGAGTCAGTTATGAATTACATTTTAATGCTCAGGGTCTTGTTAAATGGACTCCAGATCCTTGTAAAGAACACCAATATTCATGTATCAGTTTTTGAGTTGCTTTTTAAAACAGCATTTTTAAACCAATAACTGTTTGTTAACTTGAATTAAATGGACAATTCATACAATTTTAGACTCAAATTATTGCATTTTATTCATAGGCAATATTCACCAATACGATACAGGTAACATTATTGCTTGCGATCCAAAAAGAAAAGATTAGGTATAGTTGTAAATTAAGTCTTATGTTGGCCTAGAACATCCAAAAATGTTTGAAGCTGTTTTCTATTTACAGTTACATAACATATTTGAGCAATTTTATCAGTTAATTGTGTTTTAAATGCCATTTTTAGACACTTAAAAGTATCAATATCGGTATTGGAACAGTTGAACCGGTGCATTCACTGTCAGGGAATTTTTCACTACTTATTTTGTATATCAGTGAACTAGACTCATTCCTCATCATACGTCTAATCTCAGTTTCATTTTTTCCCAGCTGACAGCGAAAACCGGCGAATATAATACACTTAAAGAAGAGGTGACCTGAATGTAAAATCCACCTGGGAGACTGAAGGTTCACTGCGTCTGATGAAATGCAATCTTTTATAAGGCTCTCATGTCGCAGTGCATTATGGGAGACCCAAACTGTCAACACCGCGAAGCCTGGATCAAATAAGGAAAGTTTCAAAGCAGGAATCTTTCATTTTTACTTTGCAGATAATGGAGGAGAAGTCATTGTCAAAAGAATCGAAAGCACAGGAGTCAAGAGCCAACTTTAAACAGGAGGAAAAAGCTTTGAGTGTTTGGAACTGACAGAGGGTAACCATGAAAGACAACGTGAAATGTGGAAAGTCTAATTTAGAAATATTATTAGAAATGATACTTTGCAACTGATGCCATCAATATGCCCTGGAGGTGTGATGCTAACTAATGGCACTGCTCTGTTTGAAGCTCTGTTGCTCAGGTTCAAGCACTCGGGTTTAATCTGAGATTTGTTTTAACACAATTTGACCTGAAAGAACTGAGTCAGCTGGAACTACAACAGAATGAGCTGATTTGTGCTGTTTGTCACGCCCCTCTCAAATAACATTGCAGTCACAAGCTAGCTACAGTTTTTCAGCAGAAGCGTGCCTATGTTCCCTTAGCCTTAAGTTTTTTTTTTTTTGTTTTTTTTCCAAAATTAGGCCCTACGTTCTCACATTTCTTTATCATCAATCTGAATCAGATTTTATCCCCATTTCTCTCAATTTGGTAGTCAGTTAGACCCAACCTATTATCCAGCAGCAGTTGACTATAAATATAATGTAGAGGTCATAGTACAAAAGCCAGATTCATCAGCCGGTTTCACTTTGTGGAAACCGTCTGACCTCACAGTGTTAGGATTTGTTCGCTTGATGGTAGGTGGGTACTTTTTTTAATTTAACCAATCGCTGCTATTTTTCGTGACGTATGTAATGCGCTGCTAACGGGGCTAACTGGTATATTAAGATTTTCCAAAATCTCGTAGGAAAGAAGGGCAATAATGTCTTTCCCCTTGATGAAATTCAGCAAACATTCTCTTTGTTCCGGCTTTAAATCCTCGATCTCGGGAATCGTTGCCAAAACAGAATGTATGGCTCTTCGCTGATTGGCTGGTGCCCGAACTCGCACTTCCGGGGTTCTTGCACACCGTCTAGTGTATTCCAACTCCTGACCTACTCGCTGGAGAGAAATGAAACTGAGCGGAGGCAGGTGGCACCAGCCTGGTTAATAGTGAAAGGATCCTAGGTTGAAATTACTCTGAATCATCCCTTTAAATGCAGTATTAAATAAAAATAACTTGACTTAGAGTTTGGGTTTGAGAAAAATGGGTTGTTTAAATCCATTTTACATTTTTTTCTTGCATTTTCAAACTTAAGTGGCAGTGTGCTAATGTGTGCATTGTGTCACCATGGTAGCTGCTGAACATTCTGCCATAGACATGCATGCATTACACCACCAGTATGATGTCAGTGCAAAGTACCAATAGACACACTTCACACATTTTTCACCATGTCAATTTCACTTTTCAGTTTTGTTTATTAATTTGGTTTAGCGGTGGGTGGCAGGAACAGCTGGTCTTTAATTTTATATCATTAAATAGGCCATTTGTTCAAGGCCAGAAAGATTTCATGCTACCTACATGCACCCTAATTCACTATTTTTTAATTCACAGTTTTTCGCAACTAAATGGAGAATTAATGAATTATAACAAACAACAATTAGTTTTTCAAATTAAGATTGGAAAAGAGTATTTTTAAAGCTAAAATATTTAAACAGAAATCCTAGCAATTGTCAGCTCTATTCACTTGGATCGGAGGACGCTAATTTTAGCTGCCTGACATTTAACCATCTGACAAATTGACTAAACACCTGATTACGATTCTCACTACAACACCAGCAAAATGTTATTGACTGTGAAATGTCACTAGTAAAACCAACATAATCCTATGGTTATCTGAGCCTGTCACTCCAAAAGTTTTAGCGATATCATTCACTGTCTAAAACTACTAACTAGCTGCACTTGCTAGGGGGTAGGATTGCCATGATAATTACTTTATCTATTTACTGTTCAATAAATGATAGATGGGACAGTCATTCTGAGGGAACAATAATTTTTGTGGGTAGTTTTTCTTTTTACTAATGAGGAAAGTTTTGTCATTTTTCTGAACTACAATAAGATCTGATCTGTAGAGGGTTGAATAAATAACTTCTCTGACTCACTACAGATACAACACAGTTACTAAAGTGTTTCATTCATATATTGCAGTTCGTATTTTTTAACAACATTGTACATTTAGAATAGTATTTTTTATAATCCTGCTCTAGGGTTATTGCGTAAATTGCATAAATTAGTTTTGTTTGTCGTCTATATTTTTGGATTTCAAATTTTGGTACCTATGTGAAGTTGGCTGAGTATCTAATTACAATGGTAACTTGATCATTTTTTGCATGCTGTCCCTCATCTTTTCATTAGACCAAGTGTTTGAAAAGCTGCTAATACTGCATTGTTAGTACCCCTTTGTTTAACTATGTTTATAACTGGATTTAACATGTAATAATTCAATTCAGTTGTGAGTTCTGGTTTTAGTATTTGGAGGGTTTCTTCTGCTCTACCTGAGATGGGGTGAATCCAGATATCCTGAAGGCTGAGTGGACCAGGGGGAGCTCAGACTTGAGCAGCATCTCCACATAGTGTGCAGTGCACCAGTAAAGCGGCCCGATCCCAGACTCAGCCACAGCCACAGGAACATGGACCTGTCAGAATAACATAGTGCAGGTGAAGGACACAACATTAACGCAGTGTGGAAAAGTCTTACACTGACCTCAAACTGTCAAAAACTTTTAATTGCGCTTTATAACACTTTTAAGTCGCAATGCTAAATAATGTAGAAACATTTTTGTTAATTCAAAAGAAACCTATTAAGCAAAATTTATTGTTTTAGAGTGTTTAACCAAGTTGTAGATGTTTCCCCGTCTCATTTACTCTCTCGAAGTTGTATTTAGAGTGATTCATGCATGTCAGTAATCTTTATACTTTACTGTATTCAAGACATCATTGCTCTGATCAACCTGGGTTTTCATGGTCACCAGTATATGCCCACTACTCTACTCTCCTGTTTTATTTTCTTAATCGATGTTATGTGCAGGATTTGGCAGCGTTGTATAGCCATTTTTGTACAATCGAAAAACAGCCAACAACATCGCAGCTTTTTTTTGTGATGCTGTTTATGGTGACGTCAGCTCCTATTCAACACCACAGTTTTGTTTTTTTTTCTTTCTTTTTTTACGCAGAAGTCGTTTTAGATGAATATTGCAATTTAAAATGTCCAAATTATAATATAATGTTCCGTGGGTGTCATAGATTATAACTACTATTATAGAGCAAAGTCAAACACAATAGGTCTTCTTTAGAGGCCTTGTATTTGATTAGTTCTCTCGATTATTTCTTCTCCCATATACAGATATATTGTGTAAGCAGCTCTTAAGGTCAAAATAATTCAGCTGTGTACTGTCTACATCCAATTAGAAAGTTTTAATGTCCGATAATCAGGAACATAAAGTATAACGTGTTTATAAATTCATCGTATTGAATATTTATGAATATACCTTTGGGCTACTGTAAACTGTTCAAAATGTACAGTTCTCTTTTTCATGTTTTTAAGACAGTAAAAATCAGGTACACCGCCTTTAAAGTAAGCTCTAATTATGCATAATTTTTTCTCAAATCTATAGTTATAATCTAGAGTTATAATCACACGGAAACCCCAGCAAGCTTTATAGTGTGTATGAATGTCAGTTCTGTTTATCTCACCTTCGCTTCCTTGTATTGTATTTTGAAATCATTACAGGCCATCTACTCTCTGTGATATTGACAGAGTTGACTATGTTGCAGAAAATGGTCAGGAAATGGCATTCATCTGGATCAAACACACAGTGGGCTCCAAACACACAAGCTCAATTGAGTTGTAATTGGCTTTGATGAAAGACCACGAGATGACAGGTTGGTGCGGTGAAAGCAAAACTTCATCTGGTGCCTTACAACTCCCCAGCAATTTAGATCGATTGAAACTAGACTTCAGTTCATCCAAGGGGAAAAAAGTAATATGCTTTTATATTGTGTTGCCTCGCCTGTTTATCTTTTTAACTTATCTTCCACAAATTACACGTGGACATTTGGAAGCTTTTACTAGCGTTACTGAATAGTTGTGTAATGACAAAGAAAGGCTAAAATAAATGCTATTATGCAAATACAAACTGCATTTGAAGTTCATGTGAATTCATATTTAATGGAAGCTATTTCAAAAGGCGAAAATAACCCCTCAGACATCAAAGAGCAGCAAATATTTAGCCCAAATGAGAAAAGTCCACTTAACAATCTCACCAGAGGATCTGAGGCTGAGACAAAGGAAGGAGGAAGATTAAGCTTGTTACCGAGATCCCCAACATTAAAAAGTTGTACAGAGACGAGTCAGTGAATTAGGATATTCTTGTTTTGTGGCATAGATGTTTTGTATTAAATAATTCTATATCAATTGGTGATGAAAGTTTGTTATTGTCAGTGGATTCTCTGTTTACAAGAAGGACCTAGGTTCAATTCCCCAGGTTAAAGAGCAAATATTATGTTTTGAATATATATATTTCTTTCTTTGATTGTTACTGACCTTTAAATGTGTTCTTTTGTACCTTTGATTTGGGATTTTTATGTATTAGAACTAAGGCAATCTTCAGACAATAGGCACCTTATGTGTATACTATAGATGTGTTTGCAATACTGACTTTGGGAAATTCAATTTTGCATGTTTTTGAGACCTATTAAATCATCAAACAAGCACAAATGTAGCAAATACAATTTCAGGTACATTTTGAATAAGGGAACAATGTTATAACATGATTAAAATCTCATGTGTGTTATTTAAACACATCGAACATTGGGCCTTTCTACATGAGAAATATGTGTTTTGCAACAGCTCTGAGGTGGCACAGTTCAACACTATTGATGTTTAGACATAAAACGATGACAGATTTCAAACCAAAGGCTTGTATGTGTTTAATGTAGTACTCACTGAGGTGTGTATCCTGGCTGGCCATATAAAAGCTGAGACCAGCAGAGATGAGAGGCCCAGTAACAGGCTGAGTGCACGGTCCATGTCCCCCTTCATCATGAGGAACACTGTGGAGCTCAGCCAGTCGTGTCCTGGGTAGCTATCCTGCAGACAAACTGAGGGTGGTGCTAAGGAGTCAAGCCAATAAATGACAGTTTACTTATTTATTTTTTTACTGTTAATTGTATTTCTCTTATCAGAAATCAATATTTTATACATTTTTAATAATTTACTAATGACATAAAACAGTTTTGTGGAGAGGGTTTAACATGAAATGTTGCAGAGCATAAATCTGAAAAGCCCCAAAATATTAAAGTTTCATAGAATTAGTATCTGCATTACTTTACTCATAATCAAATATTGTGTCTCAGAAGAAATCACAAAGCAATCTCTTTTCTTCTGTTTTTAAGAGTTAAAAGACTCAGACTATAGGCACTCACCACAATGATAAAAGTCCATACACTTTTTTAAGATAAGTAGTTATAAATCGATTTATCAAAAGAAATGTCCTGCATTACATCTGAAGTACAGCTTTTGAGTGATGTTTCTTACCTCAAACCCACTTTACTCACATTATGCCAAAGCCTGCAGCAGTATTTTAATTTTAATTTATACAGTTTTATAATTCAAGATCTGCTGTCAGCATGTAACAGCGCTAATATGCAGGTGTCAGGAGAACTGAAGAGCAATTAACTCAAAGTGAAAGACAATTTGGCCCAATTTCAGAAAACAACCCTAGGCTATCGACACTTCTCAGAGCCTTCAGAGAGGATGTCTTTAGTATATACAGAAATCATTTTTTCTTTTGTTTAAATAAATCCACAGAAGCCTAAAACCATAGTGGATGCTCAGGAGCAAAGCACAGTGGCAACCAACTTTGTGTAACAACTAAGTAAGTTAAGAGTGAGATCTGAGAGAAGCAATGTAAGCAAGAGATGCCTTCCATGTTGAGTTGTACAGATCACAAAGAAAACAGATACTTAAGCACACAAAACATGTTTGTCTTGTGTGCCTCGTTCACACAAAGCAAACATGTTTATAGCAATGACTCCAAAAAATGGAGAAGTCCTTATGAAACACAGACAAGAGAAATACTTTATGCATCCACTGAGAATTTAGACAGAATGTGATAATAAAGACATGACAAATATGATTACTACTGTATGTCTGAAAACCTGGCATGGGAGGATAATAACAAAATGATGTATCACGATGATACTTCTGAGAATTATTAACATTGTAATAGTGTTCATATTTATAATTTTAACCTTGTGGTGACAATATGCTTGAGGGGTGGGGGTTCTACATGTATCTCTAATGGTGGAATCATGTTTAGGAGTCCAATGGAAACATAATGCACACATAAGCATATACTGCCAAAACTTTTAAGAAACAGTTTCAGGGGCCTGTGATCAATATGAGCATTCATGGTCTTGTTTACGATGATTAGGATGATTGATTTTCTACAAAAATGATGTGAGAGGGACTTGTTTAACAGCACAAATCAGCTCGCCTGGTGTAGTTCAAGTCATAGTCAGGTTGTGTGTTAAAACACAGAAAGTCTAATAAAGTCTCAGACAGAGCAGTGCCTACAATTAGCATTAAAACCCTCAGGAAATGTTGATGACATCAGCTGCAAAGTATCAATTAGTTTCATGTTTACTGTACATAGTTATAATGTAATATAAACTGCAATGATCTAGAAAATAACTGTGAATATATAGCCTTTTGCTTTTGCTTAGCTTTTCTGCACAGTCAGGTTGGCGATTATTATGATTATACAAAATGTTCCATCCTGAGTCAGAGAGAAACATTTCCTCTGCGTGTTTTATATCTTTTCTTGTTTCTTTGATAATATCCAAATAACAGTCCCTGATAAAGCCAGAGTGCAATCATAATTTGGACATAAAACAGTTAATGCATTTCCTCTGAGTTTAATGGGCCTCTCGTCTCACACTTGACTCAGGGCCCTCAGCAGAAGTGATGCCGCAGTGATTACATTCTACCTGTGTTTCCCAAAGGCGTGCGAGTGCTGTGAAAGGATACTGAGGCGTGAAGTGCTTTTCACTCTCTGAGAGCTCCAAAAGACCTTCATGTGTTTCATCAGCAGAGTCAAATCGGCCCCTGCGTCATCTCCGAGCAGCTTCAGGAAGCAGCCATATCTGTGGACACAACAGATAGACTCAGATGTGCATGTTGTCATTGTGTGACATAATATTTGCTGAGTTCACAGTGAATGGAGTGAATCAGCAAACTCATCACAAGAACATGAGTGAGTATTACTATAAAGGGACTATATTGCAAGCTCTTAACTAGGATAGAATAAAGACTATTTAAAAAGAAGTTAGAGTGAGCTGTTTTACAATGAGGCATTTACTGACCATTATAAAACACTGACATTTTTACAGTATCTGCACACCAACATGTAATAATTTATGTAGTTTAATGTGACAAAGAAAAGTAAATGTACATATTGTGCCTTATATGATACAACTGCACAGAGGATTCTGGTTTTGCATGTCATATCTTTCTGGGAATGCCACATAAATTGTTTTGTTATGCTTTTAACATCCTTGAACCTGTTAAGATCTATTTTATTGACTGTGTATAAGCCTATACATGATACAAACAGATACAAAAAAGTAATGTTAGGACTGATCTAATTCAGTGGGCCTGCACAGTCATGGAATAATTATAAATTCATATACTGCAACTTTTTAATCTTAAACGGCAAGTTTGTGCATGTGGCACTTTTCTCAGCTGTGATTACTGTAAAAATGCAAACCTGACACTCCACAGAAGCCAAGTCAGCAGAAAAGAGCTTTTAGGAGGAGACTTATATTTACTTACTGTGATGTAGAGGCACCACTGAACTAAGCACTGAGTAGGAAAAAATTATTCCGATAATTTCCTAAAATGCGTGTTGACAGGCCTTGCTTTATGTTTCCACTATTACGATGGGTAGTGCTTGCGTAGAATTATTTCTTCTGTTTAGCATTTGTATCCATTTTGGTTTATGAGATGCTGCTTGTCACTCTAGGCAGTTTTGGTCTTACCTTTATTGCAGATGTCCCAGAAGGCCATTGCAGTCATTTAAGATCGCTTATGCTCCATAAACTAACATGGTGCTTACCTGAGACAGATGTTGATCCCCAGCTCCTCCACTGACAGCAGAGAAGCACTCTTCACTGCTTTCTCCTCCGCTGTAAAACAAACCAACATGTGTTTAATGCAGAATGAGCCAATCACCTCACACATACACAGGCTTTTAAGGGTGAAAAAACTGTTAAATGATTTCTAATGGGTGTATTACGAGGGACATATGACATAGCATCCCCCACAGCACAGAAACACTACAGATGTGATGTCATTTAGCAGTAGTTTTACAGCATCTGTTAAGTGTGGAGTTTAATTGTGATGTAGGTGATAGCAAGATATCAAGGTAACTCTGGGAATTCCTTTCAACACAGGATATAAGCAGTGCAATTAAAAGCAAATTGGACAATATCGGATAAATATGGATTAAGGAATGGAGTGAAAGCAACAATACAACAAAACAAAAATGTGTAGTAAAGAGTAGGGATGTATCAATAACCAAAATATTGTGACATGGCCAAAAGTAGTTGTAGTAGTTTATTTTCTTCAGTCATGTACTTAACAGACTGTTACAAATATTTTTCATAAAACTATAACCAAAGGGGTTTAGGCTGAAGTGAAATCACTTATGAATGCCTAACCTAAAAGTCTCAGAATAATATTGTGTCCAGTCCCAATATATATTTAATTATAAAGAACTACATAGACCATGATGCAGTTCATTGCAGCCAACATGAAGAAGAAATATCCTTTTTTTTTTTTTAAATCAGTAATTCATAACCAAAATCTTGTCAAGGTATTTGAAAAGCAAAAAGTGGCCTATTTACAATTGTATTAGCCTCTCGAAAATATCTCAGTATCATACCATCAGATGCATATCGGAAAAATATTGTGAGGTTGGAGTCCAAAGCAATACGTAGAGAAGGTTTCATCTGTGGTCATCTGGACTCTAAAGCCATTTTCAATTTCTGAAACTGGCTTGAACCACTGGGAATTTGTCCTATTCTGGTACCTTAGTCCAGCCAAAAGGGGGGCTGGAAGTAGGTCCATATGACCACTGATGAAACCTTCTCCACATTAAACCACTCCTGGACGAATGAAACATTATACCGGCTCATTTCCAAAGACCTGTTAAATATCATAAGGCAGACCAAAATTCGATCTATCATGTTGATTTTGACAAAGACAGTGCACATTAAAAACATTTCTGTATGGCTACGGATCGCAGCAGCTTTAAAGTAAGTGCTTATACGCGTGTGCCTACCATCTTAAGCAGTTACCGTCTACATGTGCATTTGTTCTGAGTTACGTGTCAACAGTGTTTTACCCTGTGTCTTAGCCTGTCGCGGCGTGTGGGATAAGCTTTGGGTTACATATGCCACAATAAAAGACATAATATGCTTTTTCTGATAGTTAGTAGTTTTGAACTTTAACATAAGTAGAACACCATTTTGCATTGTGTTTCTTGTAAACAGCAATACTGATCTGGAATGGTTTGATAATAAAAATGATGTGATGTGATGTGCTAACACTAGCTATACACCTACTTTCCAACTGCAAGGAGAAAATTATGCATAATATACAAAACCAATGAACTACAATTAATAAACCATCCTTGGCAACTTCAACTGTCAAGATCTGAATATAAGAAAGAAGTGATACTGAAATATTTTGGTACAGTTCGGAGATATTTCCTTTTAGCCTGTGTTTAGTTTATCTAGTTCTACCACTGTGAAATTAAAAATAAATGAAGAAAAACTAGGGATTGTGTTTGGGTCTTTGCAGCACGCAGCCATGGATCTGAGACTTCCATGGTTTGTTGAAAAATATCATCAGTCCAGTAATTAATCTGAGAGATATCATGGAAGCATCAAAACTTCCAATCCAATTAGCAAACTAATGATGTCAAAATATTTCATGGGAATATTAAAACGTCACCCGTAATCTACACACCATAGTGATAATTCAGCATTGTTAACGTCCACAGATCTGATCTGTGCTGCATGCTGTAATTACAGACCATTAAATCTCGGATTCTTTATGAAAATCAGACTTTGATGAGGTCACTCGCCATGGCCAGAAAACAGTGCATATTCCCTGTCCCTTATTTCAAACATATTAACATCCATAAAAAACCCTTCGCTGATAGCAATTACTGTCTAATGGAGATGAATGCTACCTCGTTATATTCTTTCCCTCCCAGAACCATTCATTTTTGTCCCCGCTGCACTGTTTTTGCATCATAACTATGAACATAATCATTTAAGGTGGCATGTGCAATGGATCTCTGAGGTTATTTGTGACTCTGAGCTCTCATTTGCTTTGAAAAACAACCATGGTTTTAATGAGGAATATTACAGCAACGCACCATATTGCTTTAGTCTGAATATTACAATGTTACGAGGACCTCGATAGGAAATAGAAACTATTCAAACCATATATTAGGTAAATTAGAATAGATCCATGATGTGAATGAACATACACAGACTTACAAAAACTGAGGATGTGTCTGGGACTGTTGGACATGGCCATTTGTTGTAAACAATGGTGCCATAGAACGTCTTCTAGTCCTTAAATGTGCACTTTCCTTAAATGTGATTGTTTACATGGAGAAAGTTACAGATATGAGGAGAGGCGATGCAAATTTTTAAAAGGTATTTTTAAATTTATGCAAGCTACAAAATGCACATTTAAAGTATATATTCTTAAGTATTGCTTTGCCTATATGTTCCACAGGATAGCATTATATTTATCTATCTCCATGGAAACAAGCTTGTGGCAATACTAGGCAGAGTTACAGATGTGAGGAGAGGTGATGCAGGTTTTCAAAGGTATTTTTTTTATTTATGCAAGTTAAAAAGTGCATATTAAAAGTGCATTCTTAAGAATTTTTAGCTATCCACATCCATATTTAGAACTGGATTCTGGATACTGAAATGATAATAGTAGAGACTCAAGGAATTTCATATGTATCCACTCCGAAAGTGTGGAAAGAAATGCAAAACACCTTTTAATATTTCAAATTGCCTTATAATTTTAGAGGGAGCACAGATCTTGACGTGAACCATTAAGATGTAAAAGTGTCTCTCTTTGCCTTTTCCTTGCCACCCAATTTCAGTGGGCAGCAGAACTAAATGAGATGGTTGGACGTGTGCCTGGGGGCCTGAAGACCGGAGATACAAGTCGGAAGAGTGGACTGACAGAGGTTAATACTTGGCAAATGAGTGGGCCCTTTGTTCACAATGGGAGCACTCCACTAGGGTAGAGAGGCTGAGACTGTAGCCCACGTCACTCAAAGCTTCTCCCCCGCGCACTACCCCGGTGCATTGTGGGCTACGACAAGAAGAGCCCTGACAGCTGCCTGGTCGCCTCTCTGACTCTTCAGTGGGAGGAATATTAAAAGGCAGAATGGAAGACGGCGAGCAGTCAAAGTGAAGAAGGGAAAAGGGAATCTACAGTAGCAACAAGATTTACAAGTATGAGGCAACTTTACAAATGGAATAGGAAATGTTGAATTTGATTAGACAGCTGCTGTGTATGAATATTGACAAATCTGAGTGAAATATTGTTATCAGAATTAAAATCTTTGTAGCTTGGTATCTTGAACACTTAATTAAGGAACTGTATGTAACCTGCACTCTTACAATTACAACTGAACCTGCATACACGTTTTTCTTGTTCTCAGTATATGGACAGGTCAGGATTCATGTGAAAGCTCAGAACCTCCAGGACTAGCACTAGGACTAGCACTGATTCATGATTTTCTGCAGGAGCTGGGGTTTAGGTAGTGACCTTTCAGATCCGAGAGAGGCCTTTTAGCTTTAAACTAAAAGGGCTTCTTGTCTGCCAAATCCATAATAACTCTGTATTTTTTACACAGATTGATATCATTCTGGTCTCTCTGTTGCATCTCAAGCCTGGTTAAATGTGATTGTGAAATGCATTTTTTTCAGTGACTCAGGGGTCACCTATGATTAGAAAATTTCTTTCAACTCAGATGAACAGAGATTAGTGCTTTCCTGATTGATTCTGTAGAAATCTCCAATGTTCTTTCAGCCCCCTGTGATATATTTTTCCTTTATTTTTTCCGATATGGACAGACTATGCATGTGCCTGAGTGGCTAATCCACCTGTCAATCACGCCCATTTAAAAACAGGGAGACTCACTGTTTGTTTACCTCACATCTGGGAACATGTTTAGTATATTCATAATGATTTTAAACTAGGATTTCTAATTTGATCATTATTTTCACCTAATATTATCCTTCACTCAGTTAAACTGTACCTGTAAAAAAATAAATAAAAAAGAATACAAAACAAATAAGATGAATTATCAATAAGGCTTGGCCATAAAGACCCAGTCACATTACAGTTATATTATACAATGCAAATAGTTTTAATATTCAGTTTATGATTGTTTTTGCTCTAACATTAAAAGTACATTTAATAGCGCCATAAAATCAAGACATAAAACGCAAGAATTAAATGACTACAGTAACAGTCACTTTATGCTTTGTATTACATGTAAATAGATACAATTAGACTTGACTTTATCATCAGGGCACGCCTGCTGTTAAGTCTTCATGATGAAATACTAATCACCATCAAACGTGACTACAGGTGATGTAAAGAAATGTCAACTCATTTAAGATGCCTTTTTCACTCAACTCATTGTGATTGCACAGATACTTCAGCCGCGTATGAATATGAAAAATATGTATTAGCCTTTTAAAAGAGGAAGTGTTTACTTGATGTTTACTAATTAGCAGATTTTCATTCTCGCACCCATCGGTCTGACTCACATGTTTATCCTACTGGCACATAAACAAATCATCCACTTTTATGGGATAAATAAGAACTTTGAGGCTCTACAGAGATATATAGCATTTCTGATTTTGAGATCATACAAGCTACTTTACACCACATTTATGCAAATTTACAAGAGCCAAATAAGAGCTAAAATTGTTTTTAGTGTCGTAATAGTGAGTGTTGTAATAGCAGCAGAAGCCACAGAAGAAGTAGTGAAACAAATTTAAATAATCTGTCATCTGATTAACAATGACCCTCACCAAAGTTATTTGTACTTAAAATAGTCTTTTGAATGTAACTGAGGAAGTATCAGTTAGGTAGGAAAAGAAAAACATTTAAACTGAGGTTCAGGATTTGATAAATAATACAACCTTTACAAACCTAATTAGCCACCAATTAGAGGACTTGAAAGTAATGTCCTGCTCTCTCGAAGAGCCCATTTGTGGGTAAAACTAGTAATTATTCCAATTTAATTTGAACAGCTTTTAACAAGATCAAAGATATGTGGTGCTGAGTAAAATTTGAATACAATGTGGGCTTGTTTGCTGTAAGTTTAATTAAGTAAGTATGCTCTGTTTAATCTTTAAGCAAAAAAAGGTTTCTTAACTTACCTTTGTACAAAGTTTGAGGAAAGAAGCATTCACAGTCTGCAGTGGACAAATGAGAAACAGCTTTTTCCAGAAGATTAGCCAAAACTGAGGAAAGAAAATAGAACACATTTATATAATGTCAGTTCAAACAGTTTTAAAGGGCCAATATTATGCTATTTTCTGATGTATGTTATAATGCTATGAACATTGACGTGTATTGGATTGTGTGTCTGTATTGTGTGTGTGTGTGTATACAAAAAGAATAGTTTGTATTCTTTCCTGCACTTATAAAAGATGAGTTTTGTGTTGTTCTCTGTAAATAGTTCTGCCGTCTTGTATCCTGTTCTATATGTAATAGGGTTAGGCAAAATAAGTGTTAAAACTTCAGCCTAAACCCCTTCAGTCTGTAGAATAACTTTAGTGATATGCATAAAATGTATAAGTTCTGTGATAAGTCATTGCAATATGATGTATGATTATGTGAATTGTTAACTAAGTAACTAATAATGTTGTTTCCTCATCAGAAACATAACTTATTGTGTTTTGTTTCATTCGCACATGTTTAACACACAAATCCTGCATATTTAGGTTGAGCTCTTCTCTCAAACTGAAAACACTCTGTTCCACCTGGTGATGTCACATGGTAATAGGAAGCGTGCCACTGTGTTTATAACCTCCATACACTTTCATTATAATGATTTGAATCATTTCAGCCCTGGAATTTTGAGCTTTGGAGATGATAGACTAATTACTCTTACTCAGACGTGTGTGAATGAAACAAAACACAACTCCAGGTATGTTTGTGATGAGGTAACAACATCATAACATGGTTAAAAGCTCACGGGAGTCAATTTGGCATGATATAAGACCTTTAATGACACTGAAGATTTTTTTTTCTTCACATTTTGAGTCATCCTCCTAATCTGACTGTCCTAATCATTCACCATTCAGACCCATGGCTATCCAGTTGATTTCAGGCATTTACAAATCTTGCTTACATCCTATTACAATACAAAACATAGACTGCTGTGCTGAGACCAGTATTGGTTCTTGTGCAGTGAGACTTGGGTATTGCAGTCTCCATCTGTGGACAATGCTCATGTGCGTTTATGGCCTGACTGCTCCTGAGTAGGCCCTAATGGTGTGGTCTTGCACTGCAGTGTAAGCAAAGCATGTAGCCACTGGGAGCACTACATAGGCACATAAAAAAGGTAGAGAAGGAATAAAAGAGAAGGGTAGACATCATGAGTTTTATGATTATTCAACAGAACAGTCTGCTGTCTATTACTGAGGTAATTTGATTGGAATTACTTTTTTTTAAGATGGCATAACACAGATGTGGCATTTAAAATATAGTTAGAATAACAATTTTCAAATTTCTTTCTGCAATTTCAACTATTTCAAATATTACATCTAATTTGTTTGACACAAGAAGAGCAAGACAATTTACATTACATACAGTAGTTTATAAGGAGAGCTTAAAGGTAAGGTGGGTTCGCCTCCTGCTTGTCTCCATGGTGATTAACTTGCTTTGCCTAGAATGTTCCACAGTATGGGATTAAACATGTCTTGCATTTATTCAACTTTAGGCTCCGCTCTCCAAAGATCAAACTTGTATAATGTCATACAGTGGAACTTTCCAAGCACAATAATATACTTACAGACACACGTAAGGCATGTGGCTTCGACCAGAAAAGTTACAAAGTGCATCATTAAACAGCCATAAGGCCATAAACCTTTCATTTCAAAGGCGAACATGCTACTCCCAGTCACTTAAAAGTCCCATAATCATCTTTTTAAATTGCTTTTTGATTGATAAACTTTTTTCATTTTTGTGTAGCATCAGATGATAGCTATTAAACTGCACTTTCCATTCGGTTACATCGAAGAGAACACTCATGCCGCATATCTGATGATTATTATTTTTGTGGTAGGGCATTCGATTTTCCCCAAGTATGATGAATATACGCTTATCTAATCGTAAGTCACAAAAAGTGTCTCAATTGCTCCAAAATTCTTGTGGTTACTGACTACTCATTCTTAACAAGATCTGATCTAACCGGGGACAAGACCCAACTAAATGAATCTCATTGGTATTCTGTTAAGGCGAACTAATTAAGCCATCATTACTGACAAGATGGAGGGGTATTGAACACTTGAGCATTTCTAATCATGATCGCCTGATACTGTACTATGGTTAATCATTTTCATTTTTCTGCTGAAAAGAAGGCTGACAGAGATACAAGTGAAAATCAGAGCTAATAAAATACTTCAGAAATTGCTTGTTTAGTAGACGTCACATAGAGTCTCCTTATAATAATAACAAATGACGCCAGAGTAATTTTTAGAATTTAAATAAAAGCTTAACAAATATCTGCGTACGATTTAGTGAAAGGTCTTAAATGAGCACAGGGCTTGCTTTGAGTCCATAAAAGATGTAATCACGGTACAGTACATGCATTAATGATGTTATTGCCAACGCACTCCAATCTAGATGCATTTTGAATAGGAATCATTAGAAAAAAAATAGAAGAATGTAAAATGGAACTGATGATGGGTGCTTCAAAAATTCATGAATGTAGAATGCAGCTAACGCCGTATGAAGAGGCAGGTGGCTTTATTTACAGAAATATAATATAATCCCTGTGGCTCTTTCATTCCTGTTATTATCACAGTGAATATTAAGCCCCGAAAGGAAAGGAAATTACTTTTAAAAATTTTACTGTGATTTAATGTATTTTAGACAAATCTAAATGTGCCTTTTATGGTTGAGAAGAATATAAGTAGAGCGTTTGCTTACAGTGAGTGAAGGTTAATATTAGATGTTTTGGGGATAAAGTTTGAGAAGCATAAAGGTTCTGTAACTGTTTTTTACAATCTTTAAAAGGTGAAAAACAGAACTAGCTGATTTTAAACGGCTATTCTAGATTTACCTTATACATTCTGGGCATCCTATAATTCAATAATAACAATAATTCACAGTGTTGAGTTTAAAAGCACTTTCAGAGACTAGAACAACTAGCATGGTAACGCATACTTCCTGATTATCGGACATTAAAACGCTTTATAATTACAGATACAGGAAATGGTGCAGAGAAGAACCAAAGATGAGATTTAATGATTTTGTGAAAAAAGAGCTGGCATTACATGGACATAGAGTATTTGTTGTGGTAATCACCCAAAAGAGTAAAAAAGTAATGAACAGATGGAACTGTAAAATAACAATTTGTTTTTTTTGTTTTTTTATATTCAAACTAAAATAACTAACTAAATCTGTTTGCCTGATCAAGGCCTAGAGCCGAAACTTTGCACAGTTTGTCCTAATAAATCTCACAATTTCCAAGTAAGTCTGTGTGTGGGATTTTTCTCTACATTCAAACTAAACAATTTCAGAGCAAGAGTTTTTGCTGGTGTAGGTAAATGAGTGAACATACAAATAAATAAACCAAAGTATACATTAAAAGATTGAAGTAATATGAAATCTTTATGTTTATGAGTAGTATAAGTGAATCTGTGAGTGAAGTGTCGCGGTGTAGCATCTGTTATTTCCTTACCATCTCCGGTTAGCACAGTGGGCGCCTTTGCCATAATCCTGCGATAGTGACTTCTGCACTGCTCCATCCAGCTCTCATCACTAATATCTGCAGACGATGCCAGGAACACACTGAGCTCAGGATCTGCACAAGACCGAGAGAGAAGTCTATTGAAACTTTCCCTGATTTAGCTGGGAATGTCAGAAAAAATAAAGGAGAACTGATTTAGATGGAACTACAGAAGGTGAGGTGATTTGTGCTCAAGTCCCTCTCAAATAACATTACAGTCACAAGCTAGCTATCTTTAGCCAACAGTTTTTCAGTAAGTCAGTCTTTTTGTTAAAAATCAATCACCTAAACGGGACCGTGAACGCTCGTATTGATCACAGGCTCCCGAAAATGTGCTGTTTAAATCCATTTTGTTTTTGTTTTTCTTGAGTTTTCAGACACTCTTAAAACTTATTTGGCACTGTTTGCTAAAGTGTGCATTGTTTCTCCTAGAAATAAACTAATAGGATGTAATGATCCAGTTGTAAATATGCTTTGTACCTGAAGATATTTGATCAGTCTCTTTCAGCTCCAGAGTGTAGCAGCTTGGGACAGGGTAGCAGCTAAACAAAGGCCAGGGAAAGGGGTCCTCTCCCTGCTGGAAAAAGTTGTGAATTACATACAACAAATGCAATAGAAACAGAGCGAATACGTTTGAATTATCTTTGGTTACTTGTTGTTTAGCCCCCTTTAGTGGAATGATTTATGAGTTTGCTTTTGATTCACTGCTGCAAGTCTCCAAAGGACTGCATTGTTGGCTGAGAAATGGAACATGTCCGTAGGTGGATGGGGCTGGATTGTTAGCTTTTCTTTGGAATGTAATTACCCCCAAACTGACTGATGACTTGCGCACGTATTTTCATAAATCGTCAAAACAATGTATTGGCAGAGGTTGTGGATAAATTGTAGGTAGATTGTCAGTTTTGGTTGTTTTTCCATGTGTAACCTTGTTGGACCCAATGCTGCAATTTGTCAACAGCCACTGCACTATATAAAGCAATCCAAAACAGTTACATGATTACATGATATATTCATGTCATGATTATTTTAGATACTACAGAGATTAGGGCATATCTAATACAGTCTTATCCTAGTATTTGCATCTAAATCAAAAGTAATTTTCACACCCCAGAATCAAATCCTTTTCATATCCTTTCTGTGACCTCATCTTAATAAATTATTTTCAGAGGAGAGTCTGTAAACAACGCCTAAATAATTGATAACTTTGAACCAAAACATGCTGTTTCACACAACATTCCAACAGCTGCTGGAAATCATTAGGGCAACTTCGAAAACCAGAAGCCAAAATATATTAATATGCTAAATTGGGTCCACTGAACACTAATATACTGGTGAATTTTAAGTTTAGTTTTGATTGAAGATGCAGGAGTGTAAGTGCATACTCTTGATTGTGGTTGGTTAGCTTAGGTACATTATGCAACTTTTCTGGTGGAAGATGTTTTGCCAAGAATATTCCACAGTATAGCACCTTGTCATTTATTTTTTTATTACTGGTGTTTTAATTGCTGGAAAATACCTTGAAAAACATGCATTGTTACTGTGAGTGGGATTGAGATAAATTAAATATAACCTGAAAAAAATACATGGAGCATCTTTAAAGCCTGACATGTAGAGACAAAAGCACAATGAATAATTTTGATTCAGCCTTAAAGATCTCCTAACATATCTCCTTTATATGAGGAAAGGAAGTCTGTATAAGTAACATTGTAGTCACAGCTGTAAAACAAGGAGAAGATGTAAGAGCACTCTGCTAACCACTCTGCCACTATGTACAAGTCAAAATCAGTAAACAAAGTACTGACCTCTTGTAAGGAGCGAGGAGGGAGTTTTCTTTCTGAAGCACCTCCAACTACACTCACACAAACCAGCACGTAGTTCCTCTCCACTGATAAACTGTCCAGGATGATCTCCCTGTGATAAAGACAAACATTTTAATTTATTTATGAGAAAATCCTGTTATTTTTCTTTGGTATTTGTTAAAATCGTGTTATTCACTGGTACCTAGGCATTTAATCAGAATTTTGTGCAGTTCTAGTTTTTGTAAATCAGATATACTCAATTACATTTTATTATTTGGTAAATTTTTGTTCTTAATATGTGATAAAATGGTACCTGAAGCAAAAATTATAGGCTATAATGCATGGATATTTTGTGCAAGACCTCTACTGATTGCACATTATATCACATGTATGTTTTAAAGGGCCCATCTTATACTATTTTCTGATCTATGTTATAATGTTGAATCAAAACATACCTGGAATTGTGTTTTGTTGTTCATTCACACAGGTTTAACACACGAACCCTCCAAATTTAGGCTGAGTTCTTATTTTAAACAGAAAACACTCTGTTCTACCTTGTGGTGTCATGTGGTAATAGACTTTGACGTTAAACTCCATACACTTTCACTAGAATCATTTGGGTAATTTCACCCCTGGAATTGCCAAGTTCTACTAAACAAAAGGTAAAAGGTAGATGTTAACTTGAAAACTACAGTTTCACGACATCACAAGTTGGAACAGGACATTTTGAGCTTTGGAGATATAGAAAGATTAATAATGAAGGATTACTCAAACATGTGTGAATGAAACAAAGCACAACTCCAGGTATGTTTTTTTTTTGAGGCGGTACCAGTATTATAACAAGGCTTAAAGCCCGCAGGACTCAGTGTTGCATAATGAATGTCCTTTAACCTTAATATATGAAAAACTCGACAGCTGTAGGTGAGGATTTGACAATTTTGAGCGTTCGGATGCTGAGGTGAAGGTGAAGTGGTCGAAATGAGAATATAGGGTACCGATGCCAGTGGCCATTACGGGAAGAGAGCAGGAGAGGGGCCAACAGCAGAAAATAGAGGAATAAATCATCACCATCAAGACCTGGCCAACACTCCGACATTTGATGTGGCCTGGCATTTCACGGCCTCTTTACAATTCAGCGCCCGGCTCCAAACTTCTGCCAACCTTCTGAGACAGCCTCTTTAACACCCACTCACACAAATGCACTCTTCTTATTGTTTCTGCTGTACTTTTTTATGCACAACCACCAAGGTAAACAAACCAATAGTATTCTGTCTGTATTTCACATGTAAAGTGTTATTTGAAGGTTAGGCTAGGAGCTCTGAGTGAGAGTTGAACAGAGGTGGGTAGAGTGGCCAAAGATTGTACTCAAGTAAGAGTAACATTACTTTACAATAACATAATATAGATATTGTAGACTAATACAGAAATATAAAGTAGTGGACCAAGAAATTACTCAAGTAAGAGTATGAAAGTATTTAGGAAAAAATAAGAGAAACGTCTGATTTATAATTTAACTTGCTGTAATTGGAACAACAAAACAATAAAATAATGCACAAAATCTCACAAAAATTAGACAAACTAAATCATATCTGAAGGAGAGTTGCAAACAGTGTTCAAATAATTTCATATTGTCAACATAAAGCTTTTGTTACTTGTAAGACTTACTCACAGTGGGAAGAGTAACCAACATTTTTACTGAAGTAAGAATACTACTGATTGCTTCAGTAAAACATTTAAAGTAAAAGTAGGCCACCAGAAAAGTACTCAAGTAAATGTAACTCTAAGTGTAACCCACCTCTGGAGTTTAATGAGTGAAAACCAAAGAGTACAAAAAATAGAAATGGACAATACTTTTGGCTGAGTGCAAAAAAGCCAAGCACTGTGGAGAAAAGGCTTTAAAAGAGGCATTCATTGGTTGTAAAAGCATATTTTTGTTTTATGTTATTGCAGCAGAAGTGTTGCAAACAACTGAATAATACATATGCAAACTGTAATGTAGATTTTTATGTGGAAAATATGTTTGTGAACAATTCTCCAACTGGGAAAAGGCTTTTAGGACAGAATAGATATGACCATTCATCTTACTCCAGGCTCCAGAATATGGTAAGGTCCAAGAATCAGTGGACTCCCTGTAAGATCCGTTTCCTCCGTCTGTGAACAACAAACCCTGAGGAGAGGCACCAATATCCTTCTGAAGGCTGTTTCCCTCCTCAATCAAACAGCCCTGACACGGAATGACCTGACTCTTCCTTCCTGATCCTGACCCATTCTTCTGTTCACTTCTACATCAAGACTACTCAACGTGTTTAAATTGCTCCTAAGGAATAAATAAAGTGATCTGATTGATTGATACGCAATGCAAACATGAACACGGTTTAAAATAAATCGTTTAAGCTACCCTATTATTAGTGTTCTTTTAGTGTGAGTTGGAGTCTCTACAAGTGGATCAACATGTAAAATATCTACATTTAGAGTAACTTTCTGGCTCCTTTATTGCACTAGATTTTAACATTTATGTGCCTTATCCTCTCCATAACAGTATAACCAAAGCAGAAGGTGCGGCAATAAAAGTTTTCATATGATAAGATGAGAGAATATATGTGGGAGTACTAAAAGTTGACAAAAACAGGGGTTGTCAACTTTGTCAACTTTCCTTATAAGCAATAGTTGGTGTACTCTGATTGGGTACTATGCTCTATTAAGTAATTAGCAGTAGAAGCAGTATAGGAGTGGGCCTGTGATAATAATTACTTCATTACAACATTTCGTTAAAATGTGATAGAAAGAACTATATTTTTTGAAAGAACTTTATTTTTTGCTGTAAGTGGAACTTTTTGTAAGTATTTTTTTTTAAACAGATATTTGGGATACTTTGAGGCACTATAGCTCATCAAATTTTGCTATTGCGGCATGGCCAAGAAGTAGTAGTAGTGGTGGAAGTAATATCTGTATTATTATTGATACTTTGCAGTGACATCATGCTGGCGTACTCTTACTGTAAGTTTATGATGGAATCTTCAAAAGTTATGATGGTGACAAAATGCACACCTTAGCAAACACTGCCAATAAAAGTTTTAAGATTGTCTGAAAACTCAAGGAAAAAAAAAAAACGGATTTAAACAACACATTTTCAGGAGCCTGTGATCAACGTGAGAGTTCATGGTTCTGTTTAGATATTTAGGAGAGTTGTATAACCACACAAATCAGCTCACCTGTCAGTCAGTTCTTTATGGTCAGACTGTGTTAAAACAAAGATCAAATTAAGGTCTAACTTGAGTAACAGAGCTTCAAACAAAGCAATGCCTATAGTTAGCACTAAACCCTTAGGGAACATCAGCTGCAAAGTATAAATAGTTGAGGGATACTACATGTATTTTAATCTAACTGTATGGATGTGTGTACCCTTTGCCATTGCCCATCTCGGCGACATTTTCCTTTTGCCTCTGTAGCAGCATGGAGCAGATGTTGTACTGGCTCTCCAGCAGCAGGAATGTGTCCAGATTACAGCAAAGCGCACTGAGAAGCCTGCACACAATAATATACACAAATTCATACAAAACACAAGAAATGCAAATATGTTAAGAAGACGGCTGGCTGGGGGAGATATTGTAGTAGCGCTTTCAAAATACAAACGTAGTGTAGGAACAAAGCAGACATAACTTCATTTGTTTTTCCGATTTCCCTAGGCCTTTTTGTGTGTGTCTGGACTCGAGTGCTGGATCAGTCAACTGTTTTTTTTTTCTCCAAATGCCAACCGTAGCCAATTGGAGGCTTTGTTAAGAAGGAGCCCTTGGGAGAAGCTTCATGGTTCATTTTCCGTAGCTGGTAATGACACTGAACTTAAGCAGGCTGTTAATCTGCCACAGCCTTTAGAGACACAAGAGAACACGGCCGAAAGATACTGATGAGTTTTTTTTATCCCTGCTGGTACAAAAATAATCAAAGCAGACCAATTAAAATACAATGCAAGATTTCTTAGATAACCTTCACATAAAGCTGTTGTGATGTGCCGATTTTGTTAGGATTGGTCAAGGCTACTTCAAACCTAATAAAGTCCAGAATTACTCAGTGAACTCAACCTGCTTTCATTTCTTCTGTTAATATCTGTAGGGAGGGTGTGGTTTGTTATCTCAAAGACAAAAGTCATTTAATAACATAGGTTAAAAAACATATGCATTGACATTAATTTAATTTTAAGTCAACTATTTATCTTACAATCTAGATCAACTTAAACCCCACCCCTACAGGTATGTTTGTCATGATTTCAGAGGTATGCAGTGACAGATTTTAACCATAGGTGGCAGCACACACTTGTTTTTTTACACTTTTAAACCCTAAAGCTGCTGACTAACTTATATCAAAATGAGAAATGAACAGTACAGAATGCAACTTAAAACCTGCTTACAGAGTTTATTGGCAAAAACTTTATTTAGTCTTCAGTCCCACTCTAACAATAGCATAATATATCAGATAATATGTTTGCATTTCTTTTACCTGAAGACATTTTATGAAAAGACAACAAAAGACATCTAATTTACACATATTTCCATTTTCAGAGATAAATCAAGAAAATTCATTCACAAGGCTTCTGGGATAATAGGGTTTATGCAACGGCTTTGTTCAACACCCAATAATTCCCTCTATTTGAGCACCTTAATTTGAACACAGTTTCAACAAAAGAGCATTAAAATAAAATAAATGTCAGGCTTATTATGTTGTTAGTTTCGCAAAATGCCATTTCCATTCCCCATTCAGTGTGAGCATGTGCAGTGAATGCGGACAGAATATAGGATAGATTTCCTGGTCTGATGGTTGGTATGGGCTGTGCGTTCGGGGCCATTGTGGTAAACAGCTGTTGGATTTGCCGGTGTGCTGGGCAGTGACTGGGAGCAGTTTGAGTGACGTGTTCTCTCTGTGATTCTGACAGCAGCGCCGCGAGAGGCTGAGAGGCTGTCAGGCCCCGTGACCTGCAGAGCCTCATACACACACTACCAGGACAGGACGCACTTTGTCAGTCAGATAGGGCCTTAGTATTAAGTGGAGCGAGACCTGGCTGTCTGCACGGCGCTGTTAAATATACAAACAACTGTAGTACTTCTTATTTCTATCATAAATAAACAGAGGTAGGTAGTACTCAGGTATATGTATTTGAGAAACTTTTTAAAGTACTTTTCGGAGTACTACATGAGTCATATTTTATTGAAGTAGTACTCTTAGTTAAGTAAAAACATTTTGGTTACTCTTCCCACTTCTTTATGTTAAAATTACTGATTTCAATTGATCTGAACATTTGTAATTCTTGCTCTTAGTTTTTCTGCTTTTTTGTGTTACGTCCAATGACACTGATTCATAAAGGGGACAAAAGGGAACTTTTTGGTGGAGTGTCCGCAACCTGCTTCTCACCATGTTCTGTATTTATCTTACTTAGCTTGCACTGTCTTTTTAATTAGAGTTGTTTTTCTGCTTAAAATTACTCTGTCTTGCCTCTACACAGATCTGAACTGTGTATACAGTAATGAGTATCATGTCTTACACTTAATGTATGTGCTGTACTCAAAGGGAAATAAAAGGGCCACAGTGTACACTATAGAAGAACTAGATGGAGCTGCCGTTGTCATGACAACAAAGAGGCTTTTTAACAACAAGGGGAATGGACTGTGGATTTTAGTTCTCATTAGGCTCTGGAGATCAGCAGAGAGGAAAGAGAGACTTATATTGTACATACGGTTTGTGCTTAAGATCAGTGTTGCTTGACGACGGCACATGTGTTCACATCTACTACAAGCAGGAGGGATATTATTAATAGATGTGTACAGGTAAAGGCTCTGACCTTTCACTGAGTATAAATATTTCAATTGTTCTTGCAGGAAATGTATTACAGTTTGGTAAGTGACTTTTACCATTGAATAAAAACAAACAAAAGTCATATGAGGCAGCCTAGAAAACAAATTACCCATCTGGAACAGCCATGTTTTATTCATCGTGTGCTATACGTGACATATCAACAACTGAGCAAATTAACCTGCAGCCCTGGAACTCTCCAGAACGTAACACTGGGGCTCTCATGGAAAGGTGAGTAGGTGAATTCAAGCCACCAAAAGACAAAACAGAGGAGAACTTGTACAACTGTATAACATTGTGTTTTGATGTTGATGTAGCCGACTGTGTTTCAAAATGCATATAACAGCAATATTAAAAAAAAAAAAAACATCCAAAAAATATTGTAGATTCTGTCATGTGTATGTCAATGATCAGATGGGTCGTAAGTGAAAGGCCTATAAGCCAGTTCTCTGTCAGTAAAAGCATGTGGTTTGGAGCAGAGTTCAGGCTTTAAAAGAAGAGATTGTTCATGAAAATAATGTACCATATGAATGCAATTTGTTTTAATAAGACATAATAAAATAAACTCTGAAAATTTGATCAATCAATGAGGAAAATTGCTGTTGTTTTTTGTCATATCGCTCATTCCTAGTAGAAATATTCACTCTCGCCCTCTGAGTTAAGATGCGGTAATAGAGTGCTCACTGAGTGTGATACATATTTTCTGTATATAACATATGATGATATTTTGCAGTGTTTTACCCATGTTGCCAGACAGCATCAAGCCAGATCCAATTGATTAATCTAGGGCCAGTACTGTGACATTGCGTCTAAATGGCATGCACAGGACAGAATAAATGAAGCTGGTGAATGGTAAACTGCTCCTTCAGCAAATAGTGCAGAATAGGAACAGGGAGGGAGCAGGCAGCGTGGTAATAGACAGACTCGCTGACAGAGACACACACTGTAAGCCTCTGAGACCTACAAGTCAATTCAAAAGTAGCCACCAAAGCATCAGCAGCACAAGGATAAAGAAGACATGCAGCGGATGTGACAGGCTCAAAGAGAAACTTATGGTCCTAAATAGAGTCACTCAGTGTATGCTACTGTCAAAGTCTCACTGGAGTAGCCACAATTTTAGCCTTGAAGGAAACAGTTACACTAAAACAATTTTATTCATACAACACATCTATTTATGCAATTTGATGAAAAAATAAATATGTAACGCACAGAGCACAATATTTGAGAGGTCTGTAAACTGAAGTTCTACATGATACTCTAGAATTAGGAAAGTGTGTTTTTTGATTTTTGCTAGGGGGGGTCCTAACCCTTTTCATGACCATGGAAATTGATCTTGAAGCAAAAAAAGTAAAATAAAATGTTGGTGTGTATAGCTTTAAGTGTAACTCCCAGGGAATCTCTGTGTCTAAAATCAATAAAGATCAAATTACACATGACTTGGATTTATATTGTGCTTTATAAGCTTAAAAGCTTCTCCAAGCACAATAGTGGGACACTATTCATTTCCTCTCCTCTGGCTGCTAATCTGCACAATGGTATCTCCAGCACAAACCAAATTCGTTGTAGTCCCAATCAATACATTCAATCCTAGCTACAGTTCTGACCCTATAACCTTAATCCAGCTCTTCCATATAAATCAAATTAAAGTAAAAAAAAATATAACTTGTCACCTTTGTCCTCCCTCCTTCTTAATACAATATATTCAGAAATATAGGTTCACAAAGCCTGGCTTATCTGCACAGATCTCTTCATCATTTCAATAGTGGGTAATCAAAGTCTAAAGAACTGTGTCAATCTGCCATTGCTGGGGGCTTACGAGTGACAGTGTGCGTGTGGTTTGTGCAGTGGCCAGGTGCTAATCTCATATTGTGTGTGTTTCCTCGCTGGTGTTAAGCAAAATGAAAAAAATAGAGTTGAGCCTCACCTCAGGCCAAACGTGTGAGATTGCTCAAAGTGGAACAGAGAGTGTATCTTGGCATCTGAATTCACAGCAATCAGCCTGTCAATCAGATCCTGTAGAGCAAAAAGAAGAGGTTGTGAAGAGGATCGCAGTGGCTCAGGTGCAAAACTGTTGTTATCAAGATTATGGCGGAAATACACATTACAGTGCGTTGGCTTTATGTATGGATTTTTGAAAGGATATAAAAGGTCTGCATGTGGGTGGGGAGTGAATGTGAAGTGCAAACATGCCCTCTAGTGGCTTGAAGAGGCACTACAGTGGAGTATTAAGCGATACAAAATACTGTAGACTCACTAGGATGGATGTAGGCATCTCTCTCAAAGTGTATTCATCCTTGTTGGCTAGAGTTTGACGCCCTAGCAGTTCCCACACAGAATGGGAAGAGGAAAGGAGGTTGACCAAAGACAGGAATGACTAGGGAGAGGAAACACAATAAAAACATTTAAACCAATTATCACTTTTTTACAAAACAAGGAAAATCATTTATTGGATGCAAAACTTTGAAGATTCTTTATAATGTTAAACTGACTCTCATGATCTTTAAGTCATGTTAGAAACATACCTGGTGTTGTGTTTTGTTTCATTCACACATGTTTGAGAAACCCTTTATTAGGCCATCTGCATTTCCAAAACTGAAAAAGCTCTGTACTACCTTATCATGTCATGAAGTGGTAGTTTTTAAGTTAACAGCCACCTTTTCCCTTATGTTCAGCAAAGATTAGAAATTCCAGGGTTAAAATCATCCAAATGATTCTAGTGAAGGTGTATGAAGTGGAGCACTTCCTGTATAACCACATGACGTCACAAGGTACAACATAGATCAGAAAGTAGTGTCATATGGGCTCTTTCAATATTATGACTTCTGAAACCAAAAGGTAGTTGGTGATATCTTAGGCTGACAAACAAAGGGGGAAAAGATAGGTGAGATCATTTGTGAATACAGTAACAAAGCAAGAGCACTCAATCTATAAACACTGAGAGCTAAAACAGTCTGTCAACTTATTTAGGTATATTTTTCCATATGTTATGTCTTACCAAATGTTTCTTTCAGAGAAAATTGGTTTTGGGAGTGCTACATATTATAACAAACACAGAATGAATGGCTTCCATCTCCTCTGGATGTGAATGCTTTCTCTAGATGAAAAGGACCATTGATATACAGAGCCAAGAGGCAAAATACAAAAAAAACTGATGTTAGTGGAAACTGCAATAACTGGAAATAAGCTTTAATGGATTTGAATAAGGATAATGCATCAAAGGAATATAGCATAAAGGTGAATTTTACATAACAGTAACTTCCATTTATCAGCTGAAAGCTAAGTACAACAGTGTTCACGGCTAATAATACTCATACGCTATGCATTTTAAAACTTATTCTTACATCTTTTCCTGGCTGTTTGATGTATTAGACAAGCTTCTCTATTCTTTTTTTCATGAGATCAAAATGAAAAAGACTTTTTTACAATATAAAAGTAAAAGGATTTTTTTTAATGCTACCACTCAGGATCTTGAGGTTGAAAAAGTGTACTTGGAATGTGTCAGTCAATAGAGATTATAGTCTGTACAGCTGAAGGTTGGTTGTTCATAATCACGTGCTCTCCTTCACTGAGAGAACTGACTTGGCTGCTGTCAAAAGCAAATATGGCACACTATGCATCTGTAATGCTTCAGATAAATAGGCAAACTAGTGTGTTCCAGCCTGTTATCTCTTTGAGACTCAGCACTAGTTTAACTTTTACTCTGCTGTTCTATTTTCACAAATGCTGCCTGCCTTGGTATATAGATCCTTGGTTAGCTGAGTATCTGATGACAAAGTTCAGGGTTGTTTGTGGGTTTCCAGTCAATTTCTTAAAGGGAAAAAAATATATATATCGTACATGTGTTCAAGTTCAGTTAGAACTATCTTATTGTTCAAACATATTATAATCACAATTTCAAATGCCATTATAACTCTTAACATCTGCAATCATAAAAAATCAATCACTATAGTAATCCAGAGAGACAATGTGTTAAATGATCCGTGAACAGATTTTGACCTAAAAATGTATAACTGTTATTTTTTTTTTTTTACACAATATTAGGATTTATTATTTGGAGTTCTTACAGTAGCAGAAGCGAAACTTGTGGCACACAGAGAAACAGGTTTAAATTTTACCTTTAGGCAGCTTCGGTCAATAGGATCCATAGGGGTTGGTTTTGGACGAACAACTCTTACATCTTCATTCCCACATTCCAGGACTGACCATAGCTCAATCACCAAAGCCCGAATAAAACCTGGACAAGTTGAGTATGAACACAGTTAAAGCAAAAAAATAAAACATGTCCAACGTCAAAACTGTTTTTTCACCTGAGCTATTTAGAGCCACCACTCCAGGAGCAGTCGCTGCAATCTGTGTCACCATCACCCCATATCCAAACTTTTCACAACGACTCACCTACAAGAAACACCAGTACATATAAAAAATGTATATACTGTATATATAAAGCAATTTTTTGATGATGATGATCTGTCAAATAGTAAAAGACCATTTTAAGGACAGGAATGCAACTTTGCTGAATTCATAATCAGATTAGACCTCTGCTGGCATACCATGTTACAACTACGGACAATAAGCAGAAACCATTTTGTGAACTGATTTCGAGTCCTTCTAAACACGTCATTAATTAACAGCACCACAATACAGCTAAAAATAGACAAAATATACTTACATTCAATAATTTAAGTGAAATACTAAACTGAGGGTAGCAATTATAGCAGTGCACAAACAATGGAAGCAAATTAGGCCCAGAGGGAATTAGCCAAGGTCTGCAAAGGCTGGCTATGTGCATGTCTGCAATATAAATCAGGAGAGTGTACCCCCTGTGCAAGCTAAGAGCAAAATGAGACGATCAAAAATCAAACTGTCCTCAGAGGTTACACAAGTTTAGAGAATGCATTTGTCAATTAAAACTGGGCTGTGTTTTTTGAACCGAGAAACCTCATTGTGAATGTAATGGATAATAGATTGATAAGTCAACAATAGAACATCTACGGTTTCTACAACAGCCTTCTGCAATAATAAACTTTGGCCCTCTGATGCTATCGCCCATGATTAAAATCAGCCTTGTGCCAAAGTGAATGTCTGCAGGGCATCCATAAATGTGATAAAATAGTACCACTAAACTGAGTCTATATCTGCTATAAAACTGCATTGGACTTCCAGTGAAACTTGTCTGGGCTTAAACAACAGAGTTGAATAGTAATAAGGAAGAAAGACACCAAATGAATGCAGCAGTGCACTCCTCCATAATTTCCTCAAAAAAATCATGCTTTGATTCCGATCAGTAAATGCAAAATTAAAAATAGATCCTTATATCTTTTTATGCATTGAATAAACCACAATCTTTTCATAATACTGCTTTATGAAATGTGTCTGCAATCATTTAACAAATCAGACATATAAGTGCTTCTGGATAACCTTTATATGACCGAGTACCTGCAGCTTTTTGGTAAAGCGTGAGAACATGTATCCCACACACTCATTAATAGCCCCAGTCTGTTGCAGAAGTAGAAGACCTTTAGGAGTCACTGCAAAGTTCAGTAGGCTGTCCAAGATGGTCTCCTCCCACATGAGCCTGTTCCAAAGCAAGGGAAAAACATGACATAACATGGTGCTTACAACCACGGCTTTAATGGCAAATTGTGCAGTGTTCTAATGGTAAGTGACAGGAGTTAAAAACTATCATTAGATCAATTTATTTTGCCCTTCATTTTAGTTCTGTCTTCTAACTTCTACTGATTGTCTCAGAGCTGCTTTTATCTCTTTAAGGCAAATTGTCCTCATTATAATCTCCATAGTTCTAGAGCAAAGATATATTATTATTGCTTTTATCTTTCACTTTAAACATCAACTACGCTATTTAAAAACAATATATAGTTGTAACTGTCAGTGTTACTAGAGATTAATCATGGTGTCAACATAGCACAGAGGTAATTATTTCGTATCTAGCAATCATTGACCACACTTATTTTAAATGAATACTACACTATAGAAAATTATAGAATTTATATGTGTTTATCTTTCAAAACTAAAAGTATTTATGTTTACAGTCTACCTTTGTGTACAAAAGTAATGAATATAAATCTGTTATTTAATGCCATGAAGATAGTCTTACGTGTTTTCACGATCACTGGACAATTCTTGATTGGTTCCGGGTGTTGGAGTCTGAAGCCCTTCTCTGATCTAAAATTAAAAAATAAAATAAATAAAAACTCAAATACTATGCACAACTTCAGTTTACATTATTCGTGCACCGAGGTCAGTGCCCGACCGGATGCAACACTAATAGTTGATTTTATTTTGTATAAAAAATGAAGTATGGTTGAGTGAAAATCTTTTTTCCTTCTAGATAATTAATAACGGGCCACTGCCAGGATATTAGCTCTTCTCATTATCTATGAAGCTCAGTTGTGTGTTATGCAGATGTAATGCGGTCACCTGTCTCCAGGCTGTGGCCAGAGCTTTGTGCAAGCCGTAGGGTCGGAGCACCTGCAGACCCTCACAGGTGTTGTACATCTGTCTACACACAAATATGAAGGCGCCACATAAAGAATAGGACACCTCAGGGTCACTCAGCGCAGGGAGCTGTTTATTCAGCAGCTTCAAAGTGAACTGAACAATGACGTGTGCCGCAGAGGTTCTGCAAGAGATGAAGCAGGCTTTTTGAGATTATATAATATAATTCAAACAGTAAGACTTAAATTAAACAGGGTCGCACCTCTGATTTTGGGATATTATTAGATTCTTCTTGTGTAGGAAGAGATCTAATCCTTTGTTGGTGTTGGCGATTCGAGCCAAAACATCAGCAATGAGTGTTAAAGTCGCTAGAGGAGACTTTAATTTGGTCTGTGAAGCATGGAAAAGGAAAAAAAGACATATTCAAATTAAAACAACATAAGAAGCAGAACTGGACACTATTTGTTATGATTGCATGAGAATTATCATGTTAATAATGTTATAATAATCTAATAATAGCGTAATGTAATAAGTGCGGTGTGCATGTGTCTGACCTTGTGTCCACTGAGCAGTGCTAGCACAGGTGCCAGTAGAGTCTCTATCACAGGGCTCACATGCAGACAGTCTGCAGCACTTTCTGTCCTTTCACACAGCATCCATAGCACCTCCATCACCAGAACACTGGGAGACAACGTATCTGAGGACAAGCAAACTATAGATATTATAAAGTCCTACTTCTACTACAGGAAAGCTTGACATGCATTTGCAAAAAGAACTCATAGTAGTCAGTGTGAAAAGGGTGGTTTTATTTTTGTCTGAAAGTATTCAAAAAGAAGGCTGAACACTATTATTTGATGTTTCTCCTTCTAATTACATTAACTTAGCGTTAATTATAAATAAATACATTTGATTTATACAGCTTTTTTCAAGACACCCAAAGCTCTTGGCAGCGCATTACTGATTCATTCCACAGCTGGAGATTGTAAGATAATATTGTAGCCATGGCTGCCCTGGGACTGATAGACAAAAGCGAGACTACCAATCTGTGACAGTGGCTAATCCGATCACCATCAACACTCATGCAGACACATCAATATATACAATAAGATATTATGCCCAAAAAGTTACCCTTTTAAATACTAGGGTACTAGAGTAGTACTTTCATCAAATCCTTTTTCAACCTTGACTAATTTGCTGGACCACAACTTTGCACATCTATTTGAGTAATATTATTTTTATGTAGCTGTACTCTGCTTTTACTTGAGTAATATTATTTTGATGTAGCTGTACTCTGCTTTCACTTGAGTAAAATTGTTGGTTACTTTACCCACCTCTACTGAGGATGGACAGGTTTGCCAAAGTGAACAGCATTGATACTCTAACAACACCAGTACTGCATTGTGAAACCACACTCACATAATAAAAACTATTAGCAGCACAAGGCTTGTTCAGAGACAAAGCATCATTCAGTACAAGGTTACTGATAAAAGATATGCTGTGAGGACAGTTTCTACAACTCACTGGGAGGGTCACGGCGCTCTCTCGATTCTCAGTTTGTACAAAAGCCAAAGAAGAGGGAGAGCCCAGTGCTGACCTCACCTGAGTGTGAAACATCCCTGTGAGACGCCTTTGGGTGTTGGTACATGATAAGAATTAGGGTGACAAGCAGCTCCGTCAGACTGACTGGATCTGAAATAAAGCAATTATGATTAATACAACAGACAAGTTCAAGAGTTCAGGATTGAGTAAGACTGAATGAATCATTGATCATTAGAAAATGTGTATGCACTTACACTAATTATAAAAAAAAAAGCTAATGATAAATGTTAAATGTTAAAGATAAATTGATAAATAAACACCCACCCCCACACACCCAAGTACAACCACATAATTATAAATCAGGCAAGAAATCACATATTTTTAAAAGAGTTGTAGAGTTGTTGTAAAAGAGCCAGATATCATATGGAATAAGGCATTTTTTTATGTAATGTATTATCTATGGTTGTGTACATATTTTATACATTTATACAAAAAAACAAGTTAAGAAGGACACATTGTGTGTGTGTGGGGGGGTGTATGAATGTATGTGCGTTTTTCTTTCTTTTTAATTTTTTTTTTTTTTTTTACTTTTTTTATTGACATGAATATAAAGCTTAAAGATGTTCTACAGTCATATTTAGAGAATAAAATGCCATAATACAGTTCCCTGGCAAAACCAGGAAGTATTGTCTATTCTGGATTCCAGGCAAATATAAAAATACAAAAGGGTAGAAAGGTTAAGTCCCTATTAAACCTTTATATCAGTGAATGACAGAAGAGTCATGCATTGAGACAGTGTGTTTGTTATGTAAGTTTACAGTGTATGTGATTATTATGTGGCGTGTCTCATGGCACCGCACTAAAAAGGAGGAGTGCTGGTGATAATGAGACATTCCATAGTAAAGTTGTAAAAAACATAGATTATTTTGTTGTCAGTGAGGGAGAGACAACCTTAGAAACCATGACTGTCTATTTGTCTTTAAAACAACCACCATTTAAAAGCCTTTAGTGTATATTGATATGGTAGACTTTGTGAAGTACCTATGCATCAATTAGTCATAAAGTTTATGTCTAGACATGCATTAAAATCTAAATTACATAAATTGTATAATAGTATACTATACTTTACCTTTACACGTGTGTACTTTAACCGGAAAGAGCTTTCTCCCATTAGTGTAGATCAGCAGCATCCCCAGTACGGACAGTGAGTGCACAAAGCGGGCATATTCAAGCTCTGTTTCACTGTAGAAGCTTCTCTGACCTGAGAATAGAAATACATTTATTGAGATAATATTTTTCATAATAAAAATGCTCCTTGATCCAATATTTGTTGAGTTATCCAAAGTAGATTTTCTCATCTGATTCATCGTCCACCATCTTAAACCAAAAGCTGTCTCCTGCCATTGTTATCCACTTGTTTTGTCCCAACTGGTTGGAGGCCCTGTTAGCTCCTTTGATATATAGTAGTGTTTTATGTTGCTTTGGCAGGGCTCTGTTCTGAGTTGTTACTTGAGGTGTATTGTTGTGTTGTAATCGTAATTACTAACACATTTTAGCAAGTATTGATTTCATGGACATAAACAACTTTAAATCAGTGCCATTTAACACAAAATATAGTCAAATTTCTTCCTCCAAAGTCTGGACTCTGTTTCAACTGTGGATCTCTTGAGTAAGTCCCAAGAATATTAACCAAAGTCAAAGTCAAAAAATCATTGACTGAATTCAATGAGATCAATTGCCTTCGGGTGTGTCGTATGGCAATTCAAACCAACTAAATTTGCTGGATGCAAGTCAATTTAGCTCTTTTGTAGTGTCAGTTTGTGTGTTACTGATGCTCAATTAGTTTTTTGAAGACAGGCCACTCAAGTTCTCTCGTGTATCTTAGCCTTGAAACTTTAAGGGCTCTCCTCATAAATTCTGTCCCAGAGTTTAATTGATCCACTTTGTGAACTTTGGCTGGCTGCAGTTACCACAGCTTTAATGACTGCTGGTATACGTTCTTGTCAAAGCCTCTCTCAAGGCCTCTGGAAACCTACTGTTCCACTGTTTGAAGGGGCCATTACAAATCACTTCCAACTAACTGAAATACTCACCAGTTTTCTGTTGATCATTTGACTCTTTTATTCCTTCCTTGTAATTTTCACAGGATTCTTTATAAAGTATACACTCCTGCAGTGCTACCATAATCTGAAAACAGCAATAAAAAGTTAGATGAACTGTTGTCAAAGGTAATTTATTCAGTGTTACATGCTGACAAAATCAACTTGACTTAAATCCATTTGTAACTAGATTGGCTTGTTGCTCCTCTGGCTTCAGTCTTCAGAGTACGGCATAAAATGGTTCTCATCTCATCTCCTTTGAGAATGTCCCAAAGCACGGTTTTAACTTTCTAACTACAATCAACCTAGTACCAGTTAAAACACTCTTATATCACAGAAATTGAAATTTAAGGGGGTCTTCCATACAGCAATCAAATAAACATAAGCAGACCTAGACACAGACTTACTCTGCTGACTCCCTTGTTTTTTGAGTGACAGAGTGGACCACCGTGTCATGGCCTGATCCTACAGCATGTTGTCCATCTCCTTTAGTTAAGTTCTTTATCTCTTCCTCCACCACCGTCCCCAGTGAAGTCTCCATATACTGCCGTAGGTACTTCACAAACTCATAACTAGCAAAACACACATACATGGATGAAATCACATACAATGTAAAATGTGCTGTATATAAAAGGCGGATGTTATACTTGTGGAAGTTTTTATCAGTCTCCTCCAGATGAAGAAGGACCTCCTCGGCACATTCAGTTGGACGGAGCATTGGAAATCCGGTCACTGATGCTCTGGAGGAGCTGCTTGAGGAGAGACTGCAGCTCCAGCTCATCTTCAGGGGTCAACTGAGACATCTCTACAACAAACTCTTAAAATACAAGACATGTACCATATCAAAAAGTGCTTCTTCTAAGTGACTTACTATTAGATGTTGGATTGACTGTCATTGTTACTTTGCTAATTAATCTATACCTATGGTTAATTTGGTTTGGAAATACTAAACAGATAGACAATGTTAACTGATCTGCTAAAGGAAATATGATCTTTATGTTTTGTTGTTAAAGAGCCTTAACATCTTACAAATGAGTAGTACGGAGAGTAAATTACCAAATAGCAACATAAATGACATACATTATATGAGACAGTGATATTTATATAACTGATAACTGGTTACTGTGCAACGTTTAATAAACATCTGTCATCACAATACATCCAGTGTAGCCCCCTGGCGCTAAATGCTAACTTGCTGCATAAATACAACAGATTTTAATACCAGCGGATGCTATATTGACGTACCGCATGCACAGATCTTAAATTATAAACTCGATGTATCCGCGATGTTCAGATCCCATCAGACACAGATTTATCTCACGATAAATATAATTTTGACAGAACATCCGTTCGATAGCAGCGTCTCTATGGAAACGTGAGCCGCGGAGGATTCTGGGTTCTAATGCAACTTTCAGGGTCAGTCAGAAATAACAAAATCCCCCCAAAAAATCACGCGAAGAAGTGCTAAAATGTTGTAGTAGTTTGGAAGTCACAGTAATAGAGTTAATATACTGTTTGATACTTATATTTGAAAGACATCACCTATAATTTAGCAAAATTATGCCTCGTCTTACGTGTTTAGTTGTGAAAATATGTATTGTTCACGTAACTTAAACAAAATAAACATTATTAACTGAACCAATTTAGTAAAACAAAGTAAAGAATCGTAAAAAGTAAACAAACACGGTACAAATTAAATGCAACCTCAAAATGTTTTTATTGCCTAATTATTGTGGGAAATTTCGGTTTCTCCTTGTATTTATGAATCCACCACGTTGACAGCCGTAGTCACGTGACGCTCAATGTTTTGGTTCTTCTTCCTCCTTATCACCTCATGAATCGCAGGGGCGCTTTTCTGCTTAAAAACACACTGCTTACATGTTAAACAATTAGTACATTCCTGTAAATTGTATTGCCTATGATTTGAAAACATTGTTACAGGAGGATCTTAACTGAAGTTAGCATGGCTGCAGTGGACAGTTTCCAGTTGTTGTACAAAGAAATTGCTCGTTTTTGTAGTTTTTATTATGATACCCTCGCTTTGGTGGGTGCTCTGTACACGGCCAGCAAGGCGGTCATACTGCTGAGAAACTGCTGCTCGCTCGTCAGAGTGCACTTTCTACCCAGGATTTTCCCCAACAAAAAGCTAAGCCACAGATTTGGGGATTGGGCTGTTATTTATGGTAAGGATCAATGCTTCAGGTTATCCAGCTATTACAAAACAAACGCGTATAGTCTTGTATAGTCTTGTGTAGTAAGCATTAGCCTATTGGCATAAACAAACAACTACAGTACACTACCGGTCAAAAGTTTTAGAACACCCTAGTTTTTCCAGTTATTTATTGCAGTTCAAGTCGTGCAAGTCCAATGAATAGGTTGAAATGGTACAAAGCTATCTACTGAACAGCCAGAAGTAAAAAAAACAAAAACAAAATACAAGTCCAAGATCTGCCAAAACTACCTCATGAAAAAAGAACAAGATGGTAGAGTTTGAAAACATGGAGTGTCCAGCGCAGTCTCCAGACTTAAACCCCACTGAGCTGGTTTGGGATGAACTGGACAGAAGAGTGAAGCAACCTACAAGTGCCAACCATTTATGGAAACTTCTGCAACATACTTGGGAAGAACTTTCTGAAGAATATTTTGTATTGTAGAAAGAATGTCGAGTGTGTTTAGCTGTTGTATCTGCCAAAGGTGACTACTTTCATGGATTAAAAATTTAGAATATGTTTTGGTCAATAGTAAACATTAAAAAACTGGAAAAGTGTGGTGTTGTAAAACTTTTAACTGGTAGTGTTTGTGCTTCTCATTTGTATTAGATCTTTCAATTGTACATTAAATTATATCTGATTATATAACTACAAGATTATAGAAAATAACAAGTGTAAGAAAGAGTAAAAGAGTAAGGAAAAACAAAATGTAGATATGTTGAAATTGTTATATGTCATGTTATGTGTCCTGAATCTTTTTTTTAATCCATGTCTTATGTTTTATCTATTTCAGACAGTGCAGCACCTGTGGCTTTAGCTTACTCTGAGGAGCTAGCCCGTCAGGGGGTCAGTATCATCTTTGTCACTGTGGACCCCAACGCTGTTGGAGACATGGCCACATTCCTGCCTCAAGCATATGGAGTGGAAACTGTTGTCATCGTCGCTGACTTTTCCCAAGACCAGTCTGCCCTCAAACTCATCCAAGAGGTCATTAGGGGCAAAGATATTGGTTTTCTGGTGAACTGTGTGGAAGAGGCATTAACCCTGCCCCAAAACCTGATGGAAGTGAATGAGGAGAGCCTGATGGGAGCAGTGAATAAGAATACTGCAGTAATGACATTGATGACCCGCTTAGTGCTGCCTGGGATGCTGCAGCGGAGCAGAGGAGCTGTGGTCAATATAGCAACAGGAGCCTGCTGTAAACCTCTGCCGGGGAGAGTCATGCTCACTGCTTCTATGGTGAGACAGAGGTTCAATGCTCAAGTTTTGTGTAATTGTCCTTTGAACAGGCTGTTAGTTAACTGTTAGTTAAGCAATTGAAAATCTCTTAGAGACAGGAGGAGTGTGAACTTACAAGCCTACATTGAGTGGCTGTATCAGAAAAAGCAAGAAAGTAAGCAGACAAAAGCTACTAATCTGTGGGAAAAATTACAGTGATGAAATAGTGACATTATTTAATAAATAATGTATTATGTAATATGATACATGCCATTATTGTTTTAGGGTTACTTGAACCATTTCTCTCAAGCTCTGCATCTTGAGTACAGAAGCAGGGGAATATTTGTCCAGAGTTTGATACCTTTCCAGGTCAGTTGATTTTTAATTAATACTTTTTTTTAGGTTAACTAGCTATTTATAATATGTAAATGTATAATATGTTTTAATATTGTTATCAGATTGCTTCAACCAGACAAAATGTAAAAGAGGGCCTGTTCGTACCAAAGCCACACGTTTATGCCCAGCACGCCATTTCCACACTGGGTGTGTCCAACTGTACAACTGGCTACTGGCCCCATACACTGCAGGTACAAAGCATTAAAATTACAACACACTTTAAATAGAATACTCCATTTGTAGTTTACTAAGTTCTTACTTCTTATTTTGTTTCAGTACGGACTGATCAGGTGTATCCCAGACTGGATATGGGTTCTTGGATCACGGCTGTTCATCAGTTAATGAGAATAAGAAAGGACAAAGCACTGACTTGTGATGATGCACTATAAATTCATTATTATGTATGAATTATATGATTTGTTTTCTGTTTTCTGTGTTCTGACGTGGATTTTAGGGTTTATTCTTTGAAGGGCCCATAGTACGCTACTTTCTGATCGATGTTATAATGTTGTTTTCTCATCAAAAAAGTTGTGTTGCTTCATTCACACGTTTAACACACAAATTATACATATTTAAAATGTGTTCTTCTCTCAGATTGAAAATAATCTGTTCTACCCTATGATGTCATGTGGTAATACAGGAACTGCTCCACTGTGTTTAAAGTCCATACACCTTCACTTGAATCATCAATAATTTCAGCCCTGGAACTGTCAATCTCTACTAAACAAAAGGTTGTTCAATTCAAAACTACTGCTTCATGACATCACAAGGTGGAACAGAGCATTCTGAGCTTTGCAGATGTGGACCGAATAATAATAAAGGGTTATTCAAATTGCATAATATAGGACCATGCAATTTTCTGTACTTCATAGAAATAATTACTCATTTAATTTGTGAGAAACTGATTTAATTCAATTTCAAGGCTATACATCTGATAAGACACTCCATTGTGTAATAATAATAATAATAAAGATATTTAAAATGAAATATTTATCTTATTTTTGTTATGTTAAGAAGTGACTGTTGCACAAGACAGACATTTATTAAATGATTTTCTTTTTTTTTTTTCCAGAAGAAAACTTTTTTCACATAAAACTTCATGGAGACATCAACAAAACTTTCACAAGAACCATAACTGTTTATCTTGGCTTATGTTTGTCCACCCAAGATATCAAAGGTTGAGTTGGACTTGTGTGTTGAAGGCCAATGTGTCTCTCCTGTTCCTTTTAAACCCAGAGCAGTGTCAATGATTGATGTTCCTGACCAGATTCACTCGCGTGCTGCAGGGGGGTTAGCCGGTGTGTGGCCCTCTGCTCTCCAGGTCACAGGATGTTTGGAAAAGCATCAGAACGTGACGCGTGAGGATGGACTTCCATAAAACCAAGCACATCTGCAGATGGAGAATTTTCTTTTAAAACACCTCTAAAACAGAAATACAACAATCATTGTTTATTGTATCATTTCCATGAGAATTGAAGACTATTAGAAAATGGAAACATTGTTTAGAAAAGTTTAGATATAAAATAGCCACAATAAATGAATAATACATTGCATTAATCCACATTAAAATACAATTTATTAAAAAATAAAGCCATGGCAATCAATAGAACTGAGATCCAATGTTTTTCTACACCTGGGGCTTTTTATTTGAGCGGTCTACAGTCAATCCTCTGTCAGCAGAAGCATGTGCATGTGGAGCAAGGTTCAGACTATTTTTAAATGGAAATGGCACTGATTCAAAGTCTGTCTTGCTCCTGTTCATGAAATTAAGAAATTAGAAAAACATTTTATTGGATTTAAATAAAAAAAAATAAAAGTGAATAGAAGATTATGATCATTTGCAAAGCCCACATAATTATACTTTTGTGTCTAAACCTAGAGTAATCTCTCTCTTTTTTTTTTTTAAAGAAATTTGGTCAGTTTAATTTAGATGTTGTCAATAAATGGGCCATTTGTAGTTGCCAGTTAAAACTAGAAGTGCATTGTGTTTCTACTGGAACAGTGTCCTTCAACAGATGTGACGTGAGAGAAACAATGAACACTTGAGAGCTGCTTGTGCATTTGGCTTGTGCATCCTCCCGAGACACTCTTCACTCTTACAACAAAATACATCCACTGGTAAGTGACTATTAAATTAAATAATATGTACGAGTTCTCTATGTAACTTTTCTGCTGGAGCGTCTGCCGCAAGAATATTCCACAGTCAAGAATATTCCTCAGTATGAGATTAAACATCTATCGCCGAGGATACAAACATGGACCAGGCTGAGGCTGTGGAGATGCAACGCTGTTAAAAGTTTCATGGAATGTTTTTAAGGTATATTAAAACACTAATTGGTAAACACCACTAATTGGTTAAATGCAAGGCAGTTACGTTTAATTTTATTCTGTGGAATATTCCAAGGACAGCAAGATCTCCATGGAAACAAGCTGATTGCACACCCCCCACCTGTAAAGTGACATTGTGCATCTTTAAGTGGATTTAATCAACTTAGTATTTCTAGCTACTTACCTTTTGCTTTTATGTGTTGCAAATTTTAAGCCAATTTAAAGCAACAACTTCATTTTCTAATTTTCTACTTATAGTTGTAAAGCCACAAACTACATTTATCACTTTCAAACCAAGGCTAAGGATTTGGTTTTGCAGCAGATAACTTGATGTTTTGGAGACTTGAAATCAGCAGCTGTACCTTCCGCTATCAGCAAAGTCACGACTAAGCAAAAATGATCCATGTTGGCCTTGTGTCCTCAGTGTGCATGGGTGAATTGTACTTTTCACAGTTGAAAAGTAACTGCATTTTGCACCACTAGTAATGAAATATACACAGTACAGTAAAAATTTTAGAACACTTTTTCCAGTTTTTTACTGTTTACTGTTGACCAAAACGTATTCTAAACTTTTGATTCGTGTAAGTGTCCACCTTTGGCAGATATAACAGCTGAACACACTCATGGCATTCTTTCTACAATAAAAATCAAATATTCTTCAAAAAGTTCTTCCCAAGTCTGTTGCAGAAGTTCCCATAAATGTGTGGCATTTGTAGGTTACTTGGTTTTCACTCTTCTATCCAGTTCATCCCAGACCAGCTCAGTGGGGTTTAAGTCTGGAGACTGTGCTGGCCACTCCATGTTTTCAAGCTTAGCACCTTGTTCTTTTTTCCTGAAGTAGTTTTGGCAGAGCTTGGGTTTGTGTTTTGTTCTTTTATCTTTTTTTTAACCTTTGGCTGTTCAGTTCTTACCTTTGTACCATTTGAAACTCTTCATTGGACTTGCATGACTTGAATTGCAATAAATAACTGGAAAAGTTAGGGTGTTTTAAAACTTTTGACCGGTAGTGTGTTTGTATACATTAGTGGGTACATCTATACCAGTGCTTCTCAATTATTTTCTGTCATGCCCCCCCTAGGACGAATAAAACATCTCACGCCCCCCCGCGTGACTATAAATAGTATCATTTGTCTATAAAATTGTTATAAGTACACCTCTGCGTAACACTGCCACCTTATATGACGCCAACAATGCTCGCTGGTTTACTGAAGTAGCAGTCACAAGCGGGATGATTGTCGGCAATATTCGGCACGTTTTCGCTGAAAAAACTCAAGCGGCTTATCAGAGTGATCGGGGTGTAATGTATTTAAGTGACGCCTTAATTTATTGGGCTTCATGCTGTCCGCTGCCAACATTTTTAGACACCGTAAGCACACCGGTCTTTCCTCGTCTCCCACCGTAGTCACAGTGAAGCCAAGCGCTACATACGCTTCGTCATATTTCCTCGTCTTAGCTTTCGGGAGATTTTCGTTTGTCTCTTTATCTCCGTCTCTCTCCACCTGTCTTCTCATCCTTGTTAAATATTTTTTCATGGTGTCACTTGAGGGTCTGCTACACTTCGTGTCTACACTTCATACTCCAACTCTGTGCTGTGTGCAAAGCGCGCATGCTCAGTGCAAACAAAACTCCTACACCACCGAACGAATGCTCCCTGCGCACACTCTGCCAATGAGAGCGCTCTGCCCCCTAATGTAGTAGAAGTGCAAGGCCCGTTCAGACCAAAGCGTCCACTTTCTATGTAAAGTCTATGTGGACGCGCGACTAGAGCGTCCTGCGTTTTTGCGGCGCGTTTTTCAGCGCGGCGCGAATCTGGCGTCAGCTCGGCGCGTCTTCAGCGTTTTGGCGTCAGCGGCCAAGACGCGCGTCCAAGGCGTCAGCGTCAAGAAGTTGAAAATGCAGAACTTTTCGCGTCAGACGCGCCGCGTCAACCAATCAGGGACGAGTTCCAGAGACGCAGCGACGTTATTTCAGGAAGAAAGACCCGAGAACCAGAACGAGAACCACAAACACGAGCGGAGAATAAATATATACGCCACAATCACGAGCCGATCACGAGAATACACCAGGACCGGACCAGGACCAAACCAGGACTCGACCGAGACTAGACCGAGACTAAACAAGGACTAGACCGGGACTAGACCGTGATTAGACCAGGACTACCGGGACTAGACCGTGATTAAACCACGACTAGACCGGTATTAGACCAGGACGAGACCGGGACTGATTCAGTGTCATTAGCGGAGTATAAATATATATACGCCCCAGTCCTCAACCCGATCTCCTCCGTTGATGTTTTATGTCATAAAAAACTCTTAGTCTGGTCTGACATTGTTTCGGGAAAAGACCGGGACCGGGCTCTTGTTTCCAGGGCAACGGACGCGCGTCAAGTATTTTTGTCCCGTTTTCCACGGGCGTCAAAGACGCGCGTCGGGGGCGTCTAAACTCAAATGCAAAGGCTCCAAATAGAGGCGTCAAGGCGTTTTTTGACGCTTTGGTGTGAACGGCCCTTAAGACAGTAAAAAAATCTAAATAAAAAAAATAAAAAAGCATGTTAGGTCAAATTGACGGAGTCGCGCCCCCCAGGGGGGCGCGCCCCACTATTTGAGAAGCACATCTATACAAACAATATTTATATTTGTATTCTTGCAGTAGTACAACGCTATTAGAATAGACTGCGAATAGACAATCAGTGCACAGTGACAATTGGCTACTCAGAACTTCTGCCTGAAATTCGTGAGGTTTATATAAGACTTATTTTGACATACAATAACGTAATATATTAATGTGTTTTATGGTTTCTGGTTTATAGGACGACCACTGACACAAAATGGGTGAATGGGATCTTTTGGGACGTCTATTGGACAAAGTACAGACTCATTCCACGGTCATCGGTAAAGTCTGGCTCACTGTTCTATTTGTGTTTCGCATCCTGGTCCTCAACACTGCAGCAGACAGGGTACACTAACATCATTCCCATTACATGTATCTGTTTTTACTTTTACCAACTATGTATTTATTTCTTGTTTTGGTTCAGGTTTGGGGAGATGAGCAATCAGACTTTATATGCAACACTCAGCAGCCTGGTTGTGAGAACGTCTGCTACGATTTGGTCTTCCCCATCTCTCATGTGCGATTCTGGGTGCTGCAGATCATCGCAGTGGCCACTCCCAAACTGCTCTACCTCGGATATGTTATTCATGTCATTCACGCTGAGAAAAAGGTAAATTACAAGAATATGTCTACTGCATTCAGTGTTTAAATTAAGCTTCAAGAGTCTATCTGCAGTAATATTCAGTTGTAAAGTGGATTTTACATGGATTGTACAAGGGAATTTGGTTAAAATTGTTGAGTCCTTTAGGAGAAATTTCACTCTGTAGCTTTTCTGGTAGATGGTCAGTTACCTGTTTGCTGTTATTTCTTTGCCTGGAATGTTCCACACTATAGCTTTACACCTATCTATCTTGCTATTCTGCTACCAGTTTTCTTGTCATATGCAATTCACCAATTAAAAAAGAAAAAGAAAAACAGTTGCAATACAGTAATGAAATACAGTTGAACGTTCCAGAAGAAGCAACAACATCTCCAGTGTAACAAGTATGTGGCAGACACTCCACCTGAAAACTTACACAGTGCACCTTTAAAAAGACTGGAAGCAGAAATCACATCAAACTCACGACATTTGCCCTAATTTGTACCAATTCTGTGCAATATTTCTTTATCCAACCATAAGAAGAGGATGAAAAAGCAGATCGAGTTTGACGACCAGGACTACAAGCTCCCAAAGTACACCAAAAGCAGTGGGAAAGTCAGCATCCGTGGACGACTCTTACGCAGCTACGTCTTCCACCTCATCGCTAAGATCTTGCTGGAGGCTCTTTTCGTCACGGGCCAATACTACCTCTATGGCCTGAGCCTGGACATGCGCTACGAGTGCGTCCGATGGCCCTGCCCGCACAAGGTCGACTGCTTTGTGTCCAGACCTACAGAGAAATCCGTCCTCATCTGGTTCATGCTCATAGCTGCACTGGTATCTCTAGCGTTGTGTTTGATAGAGTTGTTTTACATGTTCTTTAAAGCGGTGAAGGAGTGCATGTCCAGGAGGCAGGACTACACGGTGACCCCTGTGACCCCACCGCTGAAGGCCTACAAAAGTCACGATGAGATGATCCAGAATTGTGTCAATCTGGATTTGGAGGTGCAGGGTAGAAAGATGGGGTCAGGAGGGGCTGTGAATGAAGTGGCCAAAAATGCAGACAATAACAAAATAGGGCAGGTTTTTATATAAAGCAGGTTTTCAAACTGAAGTACAGAGATGGGCACTGGTGCATGGATGTCTAATTTTGGTGGGTTAAGTACTTATTTCATTAAAACGTAGTTAATCTAATTGTATTTAAGATTTAACTACAAATCATGTTTCGTTTTCCTTATTTGACTAATTATGGTTATCATTTTTCTTTCATTCACATTGGTTTAGTTCAGAAATTATTCAGCCATTGATCCAGTTTTATTTCTGGTGTATAGAATTTATAATTTGAATGTTTATCTCTTCTTTTATATTCAATACTTGGAGCCAATGGGAAATTGTCCAATGATCTTTGTGAGGACCTGGGTGGCTGTAGCCAGCTTCTGCAAACAGACCCTAGTCCCATGCTACTGCTGCAATAACAAAGTAAAGCTAGTGTAGGCCTGTTTGTTTTTTGGTTCAATAAAGACTATTTTAACTAAACATTCTTAATACTTTATCATGTAATGTTGAAAATGTTGTTAAATTAGCCTATTTAAAATGTCAGAATAAAAAATTAAAAAAAAAAATAAGAGATTCATTTGCATTATTTAGCTTTAAGTGATGTTAGAATGCTGTCACCTCCTAGAAATACACCTGGAGTTGTTTCATGTTTGAGTAACCCTTTATTATTAGTCTGTCTACATATCCAAAGCTTAAAATGTTCTTTTCCACCTTGTGATGTAATGAATCCTTGTGATGTAATGAATTGGTAGTTTGAAATTACTGAAACACACAAAACACACAAAAAAGAAAACATTACACACACAAAAAAATGCATTAAGAACCTCCCCCTCACTCTAAAACACACAATTCACTCAATTTGAATTATAATTTCTACATGTCAAAATTCTTTACAATGCGCAAAAATGGCAACCAAATGTCTTTAAAGTCCTCAAGTTTTCCTTTAGATGTGTAGCTCAACTTCTCCAGTGCCAAATTGCTGGACATTAATTTAATCCACTGTTTTACCTGCTAGCTTTTATCTGTAGTTCAGGAGAGATAGAGAGAGATAGAGAGTAGTGACAATTCCAGAGCCGAAATGATCCAAATGATTCTAGTGAAGCTGTCTGGAGTTTAAAACACAGTGGAGCACTTCCTGTATTACCACATGACATCACAACTCCAGATATGTTTTTGACGAGGAAACATTATAATATACTGTAGATCCTAAAACAGTGTAATATGGGCCTTTTAAGTTTTGCCTTGATTTGCAAATTTTTATTCATTTAGTTGCTCCAGATAATCCATACTCCTAACCATATATTTTCTTCCATAGCCAGATAATAGTTTCCCTAATCTAGGCATTCCGTGAGGTTGCATTGCAGTCTACATCTAGTATTCCTACGTGAGCATCCACCTGTCAATTATTATACCTTTTGGTCATGTCCCCTGCTTACGTGACCCCGGATCAGATGTGCGCGTGTTGTGCAATGCTGTGATCCTCACCAGTGTTTCTGCTGCTGCTCAAAGGTTCACTAGTAAGCGATCTGTCCACGCCACGCTCAGAGCCAGTCCTCAGGTAAGAGACAAACTTTTCTGCTCCTTGCTATGAGAATAAGCACAAAAAAGGCAGTAAATATGTAGAGAAAAACATAGAATTATGTCAATTTATATATTTATTATGAGTGTCTATTGACCTTGATTGCCATTGTTTTACTCAACTGTCAAAGATAAACTGTAAAAAAGTGTTCAGAACTACTTCAATAATTAGATTATTATAGTATGAGGAAAAGTGCTCAGTGCTACAAATAAAAGAGTAATATTTTATTTTAATTTGAATAATAATTACTTTAATGAACTAAGCAATATTATACTTTCGAATGCTATTTGTATTATGCACTGCTAATTGTATTAGCTCTACAACAGTATTCTGAACTACAGATTTTCATATTATGTAGTTGAATCTTTTGGATTCACTAGTTCACGAAAACAAATGATGCAAACTCTTTCAGGAAAAAAGGCAAATTCCAGTCCGATTAAATAATGGCTAACTCCTTAGACAATCAAAGTTGCGAAAAACTGCTGACAATTTTTAAGACTAATTTCCTTTTACATCAGCATATTGATTATCTATTAAAGTTCCACTTGACAGGGTGCGGTTCCTTGCAAATGGTCTATGTCCTGAAAGGACAGGAGGGTGACCTCTAGCAAAAAGCAAATAAAGCAAATAAATGAGCTTATAATATATCTTATAATATAGCATTTTAAGTTGAACTAATTGTGTGCAGCATGACATTATTCAATAAGTGAAATGTATCTTTTTTTTTCTTAGCAGAGAGTGAACAACAGCAGCAGAGATGGGAGATTGGGGCTTCTTGTCATCTTTGCTGGACAAGGTCCAAAGCCACTCCACTGTCATCGGAAAGATCTGGATGAGCGTCTTGTTCCTTTTCCGGATCATGGTCCTGGGAGCCGGAGCTGAGAGCGTCTGGGGCGACGAACAATCAGATTTCGTCTGCAACACTCAGCAACCTGGTTGTGAGAATGTCTGCTATGATCGCACCTTCCCCATCTCACACATTCGATTCTGGGTCCTCCAAATTATCTTTGTCTCCACGCCAACGTTGATCTACCTTGGCCACGCCATGCACATCATCCACAAGGAGAAAAAACTCAGAGAAAAACTCTCGAGTCCTGGTGGCACCCGTGTGCTCAAAGTCCCAAAATACACAGATGAAAAAGGGAAAGTTAAGATCAAGGGAAATCTTTTGGGAAGCTACCTCACGCAACTCGTGTTTAAGATCATAATAGAAGCAGCATTCATTGTAGGACAGTATTACTTGTATGGGTTTGTCATGGTGCCGATGTTCCCCTGCTCTAGAAAGCCTTGTCCCTTCACCGTGGAGTGTTACATGTCCCGTCCCACGGAGAAAACCATCTTCATTATCTTCATGTTGGTAGTGGCTTGTGTTTCCTTGATGCTGAACGTTGTTGAGATGTTCTACCTGCTGTGCACCAGGGTCCGGTGTGGATCCAGGTCCCAGAAGGTCCACAAGATCACCTCACCAGAGAACCCAGCCAGCCTGACCGGTCCAAGATGGCCAACCTCAGATGATGCACTCAAGCAAAACAAGCTCAACCTGGAAATGGAGAGTAACCAGAGCATCGGGGGTAGTCTAGATGGGGCCAAAGAGGAGAAACGGCTGTTAAGTGGACACTGAAAAGGCAATCATTAAAGTAATATTCTGAAAAGGACTGCACAATGTTATAAGCAATGGCAATGTAATATGCAGTAATAAAAATGTATATTTCCATAACTAGCACCATACAGTACTGCAGTGGTTCTCAAACTTTTCACACCAAATACCACCTGAGAAAATTTTCAGCTCTCCTGATACCACCAGATCTGAATTGGTTCTAAAACAAGATTACAACAGGGTTAAATTAGCTCTTAAATCTGAGTACAGCATGAGCAGAACAGAACAAACCCATAGGACAAAATTAGAATAATATGGACTCTAAAGTAAACAAATACAAAAACTGCAGAAAACTTTGAATAGCACAGTTTGACAAACATTGCTGTATGGTGCATCTCTAATCCTTGATAACTAAATTTTCTAATATGGTGCACTTAGCCTTCGTGGATTGTCACTATGTAGAAAGAGCACTGTGATTGTTTGGGTTTTGTGTTGGTGATAGAAAATTTTTAACTAATCATGTAAAGTGTGCAATATGTTTTTGTATTAAAGTACAAGAAAATACAGCATTGTCCACTTGAATGTGTCTTTTAAGTTATTGTCATGTTGTTAAGGAATATTTGTAACTAATTCATGAAATTATGAAGAAAAGAGTACGTGAAATGCATTTGAATACTTTTTTGTATGCTTGTTATTTTTAATAAATATGTTGGGATTTTGACAACAAAATCTTTGTGTTGTTGCAGCGTCTTATATAAGCATATCTATAACAGGTGAAAGTTTGTTTTAGACTCTAAGACAGTAAAAGTTCACTCTCTCTCTATCTTATCATTCATGTTTTATGCACCCATATGCTGAAATGTCCAATAACATTTTCAGACGCAAACTTTAAAGCAATCGAAGCAATTGATGATAAAACTATAATCTGGCGTTGTATAAGTATTTATTATTATTGCATAATAAAGCTTGTTGCAAAATGGGTTTTAGCAGTAGTAGGAGTAGAAACAATACAAAAGTAGTAGTAAAAGCAGACATCGTAAGTGACATGCTATTCATGGTTTTCAGAACACTGACAAATTAGGAGCAATTCATACAACAAAATATTTTATCATTTGAATGGTGAAAAAATCTTGTTACGATAGAAACAGTATTATTGGAAGAAGTGTACAGTCTTATTAATAATACTACTAGTATTCTGAAAGAACCACCAACACAATACTGTACATATAACAGATGGTGGTGGTAAAAAAAATAATGATAGAAGTAGTAGCATTAACTTTATTAACAGGAAAACGGTAGGTTAAAAAAAGGGTGTTTTTGCAAAGTATTTTTACCTTAATCAAAGTTGAAGGTAAGGTGATGATCAATAAAGGTATCAGACGTTTGTAAAATATTAACACTGAGTAAGGCTGATGTAAAAATTATCAAAAGCGTTTATTACAGAGCCAATCATTAACTTGGACACTCCTGCTGTTTTTCCAATGCTTGGCCCAAAAATGTCCTGAGATTGATCATTCCCAGATGTCAGGACAACGTGACGGGGCACATGTCGCTCAAGTTGCACAATAACATTAGATCTAAAGTTCAAAGTTTTAATAGTCAGGATTGCTCTGGCAGTGGTCCCTCTGTCACTGAGCTGAACAGCTGCTGCAGTTCTGTGTCTCGACGACATTTAACTAAAAGGTAAGTTGTATTATTTATTTTATAATGTCTAAAAATATACTTGCACATTTTTATAAGTAGGCTATTGATTAGATTGTAATTATCATGTCATTCTATTTACTAAACTCTATTTGCTTGTTCTTTAAATAATAAGGCCTGCATACAAATTTAGTGGTTTACCTGTCAAGCCATTTTAATGTGTAAAATATTTGTGATATAAAGTTGCTGTCTTAATTGCTCTTTTGGACCACTTTGTGCATACACTTATAATAATAAAATGTAATGTATATATACTGCAAATCACAAATATGAAGAAAGGTATCTATGAGCAAAAAGATATTGATAGTTATCAGCTTTCGAGCAACCAGGTCTGTATCGACCACTCTGTTAATTACAGAGGGGTTTTATGGCATTTTATGTGTAGTAAACAAACTTAGTACATGTGCCTGTAGCCCCAGTGGCTCACGCTCTTTAATTTCTAGAACCTTGCAATTATCTATTATTATGTCCCCAAAAATATTTTTATTTTATTTTATATTGTAATAAAAAACAGTTACAATAAAAAAATATTACATATAGATTTTGTTAGCTTGTCGCAGTCGCTAGTACCTTTTTTTCCTCCTAAAGTCCAGTGAAGCAAACTCACTTGTGACCATAGAGAGTTTTCTAACCCGCTCCACCTGTGCGCAGCGGGCGCCATGGGAGAGTGGGGGTTCCTGTCGAAGCTGCTGGATAAGGTCCAGTCTCACTCCACTGTGGTGGGCAAAGTGTGGCTCAGCGTCCTCTTCATCTTCAGGATCATGATCCTCGGGGCGGGAGCAGAGAAGGTCAGAGTTTAAGATGTTGAAGTCTGTCAAGTTCTGAATAAAATATAAATATGTGGCGATCTTTTCTCCCTCGAGTTTTTCGGTCACTTTAGTAAGAATAGCGCCCTCTACTGGCCAAAATAGGGTGCACTCAAAAGAAGTATGGATCGCGAAGCATGTTTACGTCCAATTTAATTTATGATTCTGTACCATGTCAGTTTATACAGGCTGTAGTCCATCAAAAACCTTATCTAATATAGAATAAACCGCAAAGACTGATATATAAATATACTGCTGTTTTGCACTTTGCCTGTAATTCAACAAAAGAACAGTAGCCTAATCATTTATTTTCAATGCGTTTATAAAATGCACAGTAATCTTCCAACTCTGTCAATAAGATACAAAAAAGTCTTCTTTCTTGTCTAATGTTAATGATGATGTATTCCACTTTCTCCAGTCTTGTATGATTAAAAACAATATCAAATTTCTGAATGCAGTCATTTCCAGCTCTGGTTGTATTCAGAAATGGGTTGAAAGGCCAGGGAAGCTTTCTGCTGTAATATTTGTTGAAACAAAAACATAGAATAATACACATTTGGTGTAATTTCACTGTTAAAAAGTCAAACTTACATTTTGAATAGGAGCAGACTGGATTAGATGTGCTTCCTGACTGATCATTGCTTTCGGGAATAAGAGGAGATAGGAACAAACAGCAACTCAGCTAAGTTAAAACAGAGAAGTGTAAAAGAAACAAAACCTTAACTTGGACAGTCATCTTATTAAGTCTGCAAATTACAAAGTAAAAAGTGAATCGTAATCTTGTGTGTTTGATTTGACAGGTATGGAGCGATGAGCAGTCCAAAATGGTGTGCAACACAAAGCAGCCTGGTTGTAAGAATGTGTGCTACGACCAGGCCTTCCCCATCTCTCACATCCGCTTCTGGGTCCTCCAGATCATCTTCGTCTCCAGTCCTACCCTCATCTACCTCGGTCATGTCATGCATGTTATCCACAAGGAGAACAAACTGCGAGAATACATGCAGAGCCACTCTCGCAGTGAAATAGTCAAAGTCCCTAAGTATTCAGACGACAAAGGGCACGTGGACATCAAAGGAAACCTACTTGGCAACTACATGACGTCCATATTTTTCCGAATTCTCCTCGAGGTGGCGTTCATCATAGGGCAATATTATCTCTATGGGTTTGTCATGCAGCCACTGATTGTCTGCAAACGTGACCCATGCCCATTCACCGTGGAGTGCTTTATGTCTCGTCCCACGGAAAAATCTATATTTATAATCTTTATGTTAGCAGTGGCGTGCGTCTCCCTGGTGCTAAACGTGATGGAGATCTTCTACTTGGCCTGTGCCCGCTCCAAGAAAAGATCAAGAACTGTGGACGCGTCCGCCCTGACCCTCAACCCGCGTTTCCATGGCAACAGCCTCACGCAGAACGAGAAGATGAGTCTCACAGATGTCAGCCACAGCAAAGCATAACATTTTACTCCCTATTTTAGAAGATATGCACGCAAACATTTCAAGGTCATTCTTTTTGAAATGTTTAAATAATTATTTCTGGGCTGAAAATATGTGTTTGTGTGAATTTGATTAATAGCTTATTGATATTTTTTGTAAGGAAAGGGCTGTTTAAAACCTAAATCAAGACAAATGTGTGGGCAGAGGGAGAGCACATAGGTGTACAATAGCTCTTGCATCAACAGTAAACTTGTATGTACTTCAGTGTTTACACATTTTTAATTATAACAATAAGTGTACATTTAAAATAAGCTTTTTTACTTACATTGTTTGTTTTGTAAAATATGAATTGCACAATTAAATAACTAACAACTGTCCATTTATTTTCCTCAGTTATTATTTCATGAGTGTTCACATCTTGTGTACTTTCAGTGTTTAATATTTCAATTAGGACCAATGACTGTGCAGAGGAAACATCTGCTGATCTGATGAGTAAACTGTCTCTCACACAAGTTATAAATAAATACAGGATTTGAAGGGGAATGTTTTATGTAAATCATTTAAGAGAACTGATGATTATGGTTATGGACCATCAATGAAGTGTTACTCTCACCCATAATGCACCTGTACTTCTGGACTCTCAATGTTGTAGATAAAACTTCTCATGTTATAGCCGTGCTGTGTTGAAAAATGACGTCTGCAGTTTGTTCTTGAGACTCTGCAGGTCTCACTCACAACATTCAGTTTCACTGATGAGTCACATTATAAAACTCAAGTCATCTCTGTGGAGCTGCAGGTGCACGAATATGAGGTACGCTTCACTGGTGAAGGATAAAACCAGTTTCATGTTTCATAATATTTTAAGTCTGAGGACAAGTTGGTTGCTAAAACTCACAGTATGAACTTCAAAAAAAAAAAAAGTTTTTAAAATGATCTTTTTATTTGATGCATTTGGGAACAAACTGTATTATCAGTACAAAATCAATACAGTGATGGGACCACTCAAACTACTCAACACTGGGTCTTGCTGATGTGCCTCTCTGAGCTGTGGGTGCCCACAGACACCCTACATGTGTACACCTTATGGCTGGACCAGTCACATGTGTTGATGGACAGAGAGCTGCTCATGTAGAAGCTCTGGTCTGGTTGTTGCACAGCGCTGCTGCTCCAGACCCCACTGTTCACTGGAGTCCCATCAACCAACCAGGTCACCTGAGCAAAGGGCCCCCTCTGATGAGACACACAGAGCAGAGAGACTCTGCTGGACTGGAGCTGTGTGAGGGAGGGGGGGAGCACAGTCAGGACAGGAGCAGGGGCCACATCTGCAGGACACAACAGCACAGGAAGTCACACACACACACAACACTACAAGAGCAAAACACAACAAATATGCAGAACTATGATAAATGTAACACGTTATAAATGACTTTAAAGAGAGAAAAAAAACAAAACACTAAAACATAACACAAGTAGCAGCATATATGAACAGTATAGTGAAATATTAGTGACAGTGTTATAGGAGACTGATGTTTCACAATATGTGAATATATGTGATAATATAAAAATTTGTTCTGCAAAGAAATAATGGACATTTGTTTGTTGAATGTGAACAATAAAAATTATTATAGCTTAAATATATTTTGTGATTGTGATCAAAAAGAGAATGTTTAAGTTAAGTGGAAAATACCTCCATAAATTAACAGTGTATAAACACATATCTCCTGACTTTAATGTGGTTAAAAGGAGTTTAAAGATGAGTTATAGTCACTTACCGTTCACAATGAGCTTGGTGCCTTGTCCAAATACCACAGTGCTTCAGTCTGTGCACACGCTGCTACAAAAACCTCCTCACTGTCATCAGGAGGACGCCACTCTCACACTCCACTCTGTCAATCAACACATGTGTCCCATTACCCAGGGAAAGCATAAACCAACAGTGGAAATATTGAAATATTAGTATTTTTTATCCTTTCATTGTGATTTATCAGTCACCTTTTAGTCTGGTTTGAGTTTGAGCTCCAAATCTCAGAGCAGTAAAAGCAGAAGTGAAGGGCATAGGTTTTTGTCACACTCTGTATCACTGTGATACGTGCTCTTTAACAGAATCATCCCATGTATTACAGTAATAAACAGCAGAATCCACTCCATCCACATTATTGATGATCAAACGATAATCTGATTTAGACTGATGATTAGATGTGAATTTAGGAGCTGAAAATCCAGGACCATATTCTATATTGCTCCAGCTATGATAAAATCTCAGAACATGTTTAGGAGCTGCACCAGGAATCTGTTTGTACCATTTGGCAGAGGAATCAGTGACTGTGCCCAGGTTACAGTCCATGGAGGCCGTCTCTCCTCTCCTCACAGTCAGAACATCAGGGCTCTGTGTCACCGTGGTAACAGCACTCACACCTGTAAACAACAACAACAACAAGACATGAAATAATCAGAGACACAGAGAGTCTCCACATGAGCTGAGGGCCTCCTACATGTGAGAGCAGCGGTCAGGGCGAGCAGGTTCCACAGCATGTTGCCACGGAGATGAGGTTTCACTGCAGAGAGACGAAAGGTTCAGAGAGTGAAGAGAGGAGCGGCTGAGGGGGATTTCATATAAGGCCCAAACCAGAGGAACTGAGGGAGGAGCCTGACTTTGAATGAATTAACAGCTATAACATCTGAAGAAATGAGATGCTTAGAAAGAAACAAAACACAACTACAGATATGATTTTGATAGGAAACATTACAAATAAGGTGAACATTTTAATTTATATTTTGTCTCTTGTATATATACATTGTAATTGTAATTGTAAATGTTAACTTGCTGTTCATATTCGCTGTTTTTTTCTTGGAATTCTGTCATTGTTTAATAGGGTTAGGCATTATAAGTACTTTTTACTTCAGCCTAAACCCTTTCAGTCATGATCTATGGGATTGTAGTCTATGTTTTGTTTTGTTTTGTAGTGCTGCAAAATGACCGAATAAACTACTACTACTACTAACATTTAAAAACAACTTTGCACAATAAAGACCCTCAAAACCTTTTTACAATTTTGTAACTAAGTGCATGTCACTCAAGTGTTTGGCCACTGTTTGACTTAGTAAAGTGTACCTTAATACTGGCAGAATAGGACAGATGGTGATATTAAAGTTGTTTGGTTTTCTATTACCTATTTTAACAGGTAAAACTTGATGTAGTTAACACTCTCTTGCTATTTAAAGTCAAATACAATTCATGCATTTTTAAAGTAAGTCTAAGCAGTACCACATGCTTCTATCTTCTACACTGCATCGACTGACATGTTTGGATTTTGTGTGGATGTCTCTCTAGTTGACCACGTTATTCAAAATGTTGTATTAGTATAAAATATTACAGCTTGTGTCTCCTGCATTGTTCATAGCAGGTGCAGCCTTATTTGACAGTTTTTCTCTCTCTTTGGTCCCATCTATAACTCGTCCTTTTGACTGGCAGCTCTGGCCCCTCCCTCTCCTCTTCTCCCTCTGCCTTATAAGCCTGAGCGTGTGTGTATCGAAGCTCCACTTTTGCTCTGAGCTGTACACATCATCTCCGTGGCAACATGCTGTGGAACCTGCTCGCCCTGACCGCTGCTCTCACATGTAGGAGGCCCTCAGCTCATGTGGAGACTCTCTGTGTCTCTGATTATTTCATGTCTTGTTGTTGTTGTCGTTTACAGGTGTGAGTGCTGTTACCACGGTGACACAGAGCCCTGATGTTCTGACTGTGAGGAGAGGAGAGACGGCCTCCATGGACTGTAACCTGGGCCTTGTTAATTCTGCCCGCTGGTACAAACAGATTCCTGGAGGAGTACCTGTATATGTCCTGAGAATGTTTCACAACTGGGACACTCCAAAATATGGTCCTGGGTTTTCAGCTCCTAAATTCACATCTAATCATCAGTCTCAAACAGATTATCGTTTGATCATCAATAATGTGGATGGAGTGGATTCTGCTGTTTATTACTGTCATACATGGGATGATTCTGTTAAAGAGCACGTATCACAGTGATACAGAGTGTGACAAAAACCTATGCCCTTCACTTCTGCTTTTACTGCTTGAGATTTGGAGCTCAAACTCAAACCAGACTAAAAGGTGACTGGCAAATCACATGAAAGTAGAAAAAATAGTAAGATTTCAATATTTCCACTGTTGGATCTGTTAGATTTGACTTTCCCTGGGTAATGGGACACATGTGTTGATTGACAGAGTGGAGTGTGAGAGTGGCGTCCTCCTGATGACAGTGAGGAGGTTTTTGTAGCAGCGTGTGCACAGACTGAAGCACTGTGGTATTCGGACAAGGCACCAAGCTCATTGTGAACGGTAAGTGACTGTAACTCATCATCATAAACTACTTTTAACCACATTAAAGTCAGGAGAAATGTATTTATACATATCTTTATAATTTATGGAGGTATTTTTTACTCTCTACAACTACAATATACTACTTGAAACACTTTGCAAATAGTATTTATCTTAAGTGTTTTAAAATATATTAATTAGAACTATTTGTTAAACTATTGAATTTTTAAATTTAACAAAAAAAACAACTTATAACTGTTTAAGTGTTCGCATTCAACATTTAGTTGTTCATGCCATATTTTGAGCATTTATTTGTTTGAGTAGCATAATATTTACTAAGCATCAGTCACACACAAATGTGCAAAATAATCATCATCGTTGTCATCATGTTTTTTTTATTTTTATTTTATCCTATATTGTTCATTTTATGTATTATAGGCCTACTTATTTGAGTTTTATAAATGAATTTTACATGATAGTTCTGTATATTTGTTGTGTTTTGCTCTTGTAGTGTTGTGTGTGTGTGTGACCTCCTGTGCTGTTGTGTCCTGCAGATGTGGCCCCTGCTCCTGTCCTGACTGTGCTCCCCCCCTCCCTCACACAGCTCCAGTCCAGCAGAGTCTCTCTGCTCTGTGTGTCTCATCAGAGGGGGCCCTTTGCTCAGGTGACCTGGTTGGTTGATGGGACTCCAGTGAACAGTGGGGTCTGGAGCAGCAGCGCTGTGCAACAACCAGACCAGAGCTTCTACATGAGCAGCTCTCTGTCCATCAACACATGTGACTGGAGCACCCATAAGGTGTACACATGTAGGGTGTCTGTGGGCACCCACAGCTCAGAGAGGCACATCAGCAAAACCCAGTGTTGAGTAGTCTGAGTAGTCCCAGGACCTGGACCTCTGAGTCCTCTCATACATGCTAACATCTATAAAAAATAGTGTGCTTGTTGTTCTGTTCTGCCTTTGCAATTAATCAAATTCAAAATAAATTCAAGAATAAAAAAGATAAGAAGTGTTGCGTGAGTACTAATTTGGAGATAGGGGTGATTTTTGCAAGGAAACATCAATGTCTTTTGGGTATAATGTGTAGCAGAATTTGGTCTCTCAAATACTCTTAAAAACAAAAGTCCAAGCTTTTATTACAGCATGGCTATTGGCATAAAATATGCACCAACATGGCCACCTTAGGGTGTAAACAGGCTTCCAGGTGTGCAGGTGTGCCTCCTTTTATAGGGAGGGACCTGAAAATCCCTACCTGAATTAAAATAAACACATTTACAAGTTCATACAATTTATAGCAGTGTGAAAATGCACATCTCATAATCAATTATAATAAAATATAATAATTAAAATATAGAAATACAAAATAAATTCACTCTGAGTCCTTTGTGTCTAATTTCAGAAATGCGGCCAATTTCCAGTAGATTCCCTTGAGACAAAATTGTAAAGTCAGAAGACGTGAGTCCTCAGTGAAGCATAAATCCTATAGTCTGTGGCAGGACGCACCTGTCTGTCTCACACGGTTCACTACACTACACCCACCAGGACTGTGCAAATGAGGCACACATGACTCTGTCCGATTTCGGTCCAAGACAGTCTTTACTTTACCTGGTCAGCCAAAACCACACGCGTGGACTAAACTTCACAAAGAACACACTGCAGAAGGGGCTGGCTGGTCAGGTAATATTTAACGCTTTACTGTTTTCTTGAGAAACCCTTATAAGCAGCAGATGTCGCTGTAGACCCACTGACTCTTTAAAGCTCTACAGGAAGTCCCGCCCTATCGATCTGTCCTTTCCTTTCGTGGTGAAAACAAAAAACAGCTGTAAAGCTGAAGATGGCCGCCGCGACGGTAGCGGGGCTCGACCCGCACACGATGGAGCAGAAGAAGTTTGAGTACTTCTCCTCCATCAACCCCATGGCCAAGAAGATAATGCAGGAGAGGGAGAAAATCAAAACCAAACACGGATCGACTTGGGACAAAATGACTCCGGAAGAGCAGGACAGCGCTATAGACAACTGGATGATCGACCCGCACATCCGAGCCAGATACGCTATGCACCGGGTGGAGCGGGAGGAGGTGGTGTGTTACCCCAAACTGCTCATCCAGACGGGCCAGAAGATAGTCCACTTTGGAGAAGAGGTAACGAGAGCTGATGTGCTTCTGCTTTTGGGAGGTTTAGTTTGTTTGGGTCGACGCCACGTAGCAGCCCAAATACGCACGTCATGGCACACAGCTGACGCAGCCTACGAACTGTTCAGGCTTCTGTGCGATAAAATATGGATTATTCAATTGTTATTAAGTATTCTTACCTCCCCAGTTTAACGACAGGATATACTCCCCATAACAGGCCTCTTTTGGATCATATTGTGAAACCTTAATGAATCCTTTTGATTTTAGGATATTACCTGGCAAGATGAGCATTCTGCACCTTTCTCATGGGAAACCAGGGTAAACAGTAGTTCGGATTTACAATTTTGCCTGATTCACTCTTAAAAGTAATAGTCAGCTGGTATTTTTTAACCCTGTACGTTTTCAGAGCCAGTTGGAGTTTAGCTTGACTCCCGGTTCTGCAGAACAGGGGATTTCTACCTCACAAGCAGATTCAAAGGCTTCAAAGGGACAGACGACCAAAACAACTACAGTTACTAAGGTATGGCACATTAAGGGAGATGATTTTAATGTTATGTTGTGTTATCTAATGTTTTATTATTTTAAATGTTCCTGTTTATGTCTTTTTGTCAGGTGAATTCTACTGAGAGCAGAAGGCCAGAGGAGGAGTCATCCTTCTGGAAGATCAGTGCAGAGAGGTCCAGGTTGGAGGGAGAAAGAGCAAATTTCCAGTCTCTCACCCCCAGTCAAATCAAATCACTTGAGAAAGGAGAGAAACCACTTCCTTCATATCTACGACAGGTAAATGCCTGTACTTATATGCCAGGTTTAAGTTTGCATTGAACGCACTTAAAGTGACCCAAAGGCAAAATTCTGAAGCAGCTGGCTGGCATGGTGCTTTCGTAATTTAATGAATGTGAGATTAAACTGTTCTCCTGATACACTTAAAAGTAATGATTTGATATTAGAAAATTCTTTTGGTTGAAAGTATGGAGAAGTGACCCTATTGCTTATATCTGCACTTCACAAGAAGCTGCTGTATATCCTGACAAATATGTGCCGTGTTGAGGTTTCTTTGAGTATTGTAACGAGAAAGCAGATTCCTGACGGTTTCCAAGCCCGAGTGAAGTACCTCAAAGCTACTAATGAATGTGTCAATGAGGAAATGAATACTTTTGAGTATCAGGCATGTAACGATGTAACAATTCAAATCTCTCGATTCAATACTTTCACAATATACATCTTATGTACGATATTTATTACAATATTTTGTGGAGGCTAACAAAATTTGAATATGCTACTTTTTCCTTTTTAAAATGCATTGTCTTGACTAATCCAAAGAACTAAGATTTAAAAGTGTTCAATATGTTATTTCTTCATGTAGACTGAAATGAAACTGGAAAAGGATCATGGGCTTATGTAGTTCCCTCAGATTCATTGTTTTGCTGCACCAAAACAATGATTTTGAGCCAAGAGACTTGTAACTCCATATGTTGTGGTGGTCCACAATATTATTGTCAGACTTTTGTGATTTTTGATACAGTATTTCATTTTTTGTTACATCCCTAATAAGTATTTAGTTACCTTTTCTGATGACATTCCACTATATCTCTAGCCAGGCTGGCGTCACCTAGTGCCTCCGCTCAATTTCACTTCTTTCCAGCGACTAGATCAGGAATTGGAATACACTAGACGGTTTGCAAGAACCTCGGAAGTTGTAGACCATGCACCGGCCAATCAGCCATGATTGTGTCCCTTTTGTGGACAAAGCGGTTGAGATGGATGTAGACAAAGACATACATTCTGTGTTGGCAACAATTCCCAAGATCGAGAATTTAAAGCCGGAACAAAGAGAATGTTTGGTGAATTTTAACAAGGGGAAAGACGTTATTGCCCTTCTTCCTACGGGATTTGGAAAAAACTTAACATACCAGTTAGCCCCGTTAGTGGCACATTGCAGACATCACGACCAAATAACAGCGATTCATTAAAGTTGAGGTCAGATGGTTTCCACCAAGTGAAACCAGCTGATGAACCAGGCTACTATATCTCTGTGTTATATTTACAAATCTTCAAACTGAAGAGTCCTCTGAATTAATTCAAAGAACTTTGTAGAGTTGTATGCCTCCAATATTTTTCATTTTTAATTCCTGGTTTCATTCTGGAGCTAATTTCATTTAAAGATGGTGGTACAGAAAGTTTAGCGAACCATTATATTAACTTACTACCCATTACTTTGTATCTGTGAACATTTATTCCAACTCTTTTATTCCCATGATATCCCGTAGGAGACATCTGTTACAAAGGAGCCTGAGCCAGTGGCAGAGCACCACCCTCCTCCTCCTCCTCCAGCCCCAGTGAAATCCATCAAACAGCGAGCCCCTAAACCCCCCGCCCCCCAGCCGCCTGTCGCTGTCACTGCCCCACCCGCGTCCATCTCCATCTCCACCAATCCCGCGCCCCCAGTCAGCATCTCGTCCACAGTGGCCGGGTGGGAGCGGTCCCAGAGCACGCTGCCTTCAGTCAGCAACTCTTCGGATGAGGTATTTTCCTCTAGCCTCCTGTCCAAGTCTCCCTCCATTGCCGCCAGTGCCGAGAAGGATAAGCAAGAAGAGCCCATAGCCGATGTAGGCAGTCCAACATTCTCCCAGGTAAGAAACCAGTTCACTTTATTTATATAGCACATTTTATTAACATGACAGCTTTGCACATATGAATGGAGATACTAAAAGACACAGTAAATAAAACAATAAATCAAAAGCACTAAATTATAATAAACTAATAATTATGAGTAACTTAAATGGACAGTCGGGAATTTTGGACATACAACCTCATTTCCTAGTTTGCCAGAATGAGGGAGACGTGTGGAACACTTTTTTTTTAATATTCCATCCAGTCCTTGTATTTGCAGAGATCGCTGATGCTAGGCTAGTGCATGTCAATGGCCATAGTTATCCTGCCACTAAAAACAGTCTTACCCACTCCACAAAGTACCCGAAACAAATCTATTATTACGCTAGACTGTTGATGTAAATGTGTGTGTTGATAGAATAATGTTTGAAATAAAACAAACCTTGCATTGCATGAATTGTCGCATGTTGAGGGACTATTTTCTCAGCAGCAGCGGAATTTTACTTTGCCGGTAAGATCGGTGCTAGGTGATATCAGTCCACCTCTGCCAAGCTTTCTATCAGGAAGTACAACTCGCTGCTGCTGCTCAGACATAAATCCTTCAAATTCAAAGTTGGTTTTACTTCTAAAATTAATCAATCAACACAGACTTTTACATTGAGCACCAACAACCTCTGCAAATACAAGGACTGGATGGAATATTTAAAAAAAAAAGTCTCCACTCTTTCTTACTTACTCTAGCTAACAAGGAAATGAGGTCCTATGTCCAAACTTCTGGACTGTCCTTTTACGAAGAAGTATTTTGTTCTCATTTTGGTCAATAATTATACAAGAAACCAGGCATGAGATTAAGACTATCTGCTTAATGTGTTGCAATTTATGGAACAAGAAATCAGTTTGAACTTTTTTGTCAGAACCAGCATCAATTTTATGTTTATTTTGAACAACTCCTTCCCTCCCACACACACATTCGCACTCATGTAGGGGTTCATTACATTGATTTACATTCATTTCCTGGAAAAATATTTGTTGCCTCGTAGTTTGATGGCTAGTTGTTATTTTAATCTTAGAAGGACTGAGATTTTGTTTGAAGCACATTAAAATATCATGTTTTTTTTTCTCTTTCTCCTCAGTTCAACACAAGCAGCTCGATCCTGAAGACGGGATTCGACTTCCTTGACAACTGGTAAAAAATGGCCAAAACCAGTCCCCCTTTCCTTAAGCTATTATCCTTGGTTTTACTCTGAAGAAGGATCACACTGCCATGACACTACGTTACTCAAACTGTTCCCACCTGTATCCAAGCAATATCGACCTATTATGTAACTATTATGTATGTATTTGTGTAGAAGAAAAACCCTAGTGGCTTGTTTAGACCTGGTGTCTTGAAATTTGCTCCCAATACTATTTTCCTTATTTAACCAACCTTTGATATACATGTGTTAAACAAATTGCCTTGATTCAGGTGAGATTCTTTGGGATATAAACAAAATTTGCATCTACTAAGCTTTCTAACTTGATGTTGCAAGTTACGGTACGTTTTGTAGTATTTCTAATTAGTAGTAAAGAGTAATGAGAAGTGTTATGTAGCCGCAGCGATTCTTGCTGTAATTGAAGCTTTAATAGAGAAAGCGCAGATTTGGCAACTTGTAAACACCTATTTTATCAACCATAAGCAGTGTGTGTGAAAATGTATTTTGTTTTTACATTGAGAATCTAAATGACTACATGAAAGTAATCTCATCTCTCACTATATCTATATGGCTAGCTAATATGAATATAGAAATCAAGACAATCCAATGAACAGGTTATAGAAGGTTATAGAAAGTTAATGGAAGGTGAAGTGGCATAGACTGGTCTGAGTATTTCAGAATTGGCATTGTGTTTATTAAGCATTATTATATCTAACAAAGTGGCTCAGAGGAACATCAAATCAACCCTTTTGCTTTCTATGCCGTTTTGCTTCATTATGTTGTATTCATGTTTTGTACTGTACTGAGAAATTACGATTGTTGCAGGAGGTGACTTGAACGTAACACTTCACAGGCTGACTTATTTTATATACTCTGCATTGCTTTTTGTTACAATTTATTTAACCTTACATTTATTTTTGTAACTCTTACTATAGCTAGAATCTATTATCATATACTTTGAGTCAAACGTACTCACTCTGCTACATTCTTGCTACAAACACTTTTAAAAGGTGAAAGGAAGTATTATTACTATCATATCAATAAGTGATATAAGATCACTTGTAGATTCCACTGAGTCTAAAGCACCTTGATAGTGTGTTTGGGGAGTTATTTGACATTTCCATCATCACATGCCCCCCTCACCTTTGACCCTCACATAAGTATGATGCAGGTAGCATACATTGTGATTTAGGACCGGCATGTTGTGACTCGTACCACTCGTGTCATAGAGAACTATTTTACTGACTTTTATATTTGTCCTCTTACTATATCATATGCTTTACATGTAGTACATGTAGATGGCACTTGTGGTGTTTTGAGGGTGCATAAATATAAATAAAAAGTCAAAGTATATTTTGTCTGTCAAGATGATTTTGTTGGGTTTTTAATTCATGTAATATTTTCAATTAATGGTCCTACATTACGTGAAATTGATTCTTGTACGCTTTAAGTCATGTTTGTCATTTTGCTACCTTATCAAAAACATATCTGGAGTTGTGTTTTCTTTCATTCACACATGTTTGAGTAACCGTTAATATTAGTCTACATCTCCAAGGCTTAAAATGCTCTGTTCCACCTTGTGACCTCATGAACCGATAGTTTTCAAGTTAACAGCTACGTTTTAGTTTTTGTTCAGTTGAGATTGGCAATTCCAGGGCTGAAATGATCCAGATGATTCTAGTGAAGGTGTGTGGAGTTTAAAAACACAGTGGAGCACTTCCTGTATTACCATATGACATCACAAGATGGTACAGAGATAGAAGAACTAAAATGGAGAAATGTTTTTTGATGAGGAAACAACATTATAACAGAACAGAAAATAGTGTAACATGGGTCCTTTAACTCAGAGGAAATTTTATTCTTTTGCTCTTGGTTTATTTAGAAACAGCTACTGGGCAAAACTATTTTTATAGAAAGTCAATGAATATGACCAAAATAACTGGACAAAATGGAGAGAAAGGAATAATGAAAGAGTTTGCAGATGCCTCTTATTAATATTCCCAAGAGCCACAAAATCTGCTTTCGAATTTACCCAAAAATTTTTCCACATTCCATTGGCCTTTTCCATATTGTTTATCATTTAACAGGCACTAACTTAAAAAATCAAACCAGAAGATATTGTTTGTAATATTTTAGATCCAAAATATGCTCTGATTTGAGGAGCCTTAGCTAAACAAGCTCTTGGCCAAGTTCAAGCCTGCATCCAATGAGTTTCTATTTTAAGAGTAATGGGCCTTGTGCAGCTTCATACATTATTAATCATATGTGGGAGAAAACACAGAATAGAGCTGCTACTATCTGAATAACTCATCCCATGGCCAAGATTTTGTTTATTCACACACTCATGACTTTGCCTTTGGTTATATTGATCTGTATAATAATATATGTGTAAATTCTGTAGCCCATAAACAAAATATATTACACTTTTTAATCATTTTTACAAATATACTAAGCACTACTATGTTGCTGTTTAGTGTAGAGAAAAAGAAAAAATATTAAACAGCAGTAGCACCAGAATAGTATCGTCAATCATAAGTACAAGTAGTAGTATGAGTAATGGCAGTCTGTGTAACTTCTAACTGTACTATACTGCTTAAATGATTGCCTGGTGCTAAGAGTAGAACTGAGGAGTCCTTGTGCACAGCTTTGCTCCGTAGCTCCATGAAAGAAAGCTCTATGTCCTCACAGCACTATTTTCACCACAAATGTTTGGGTTAATCAAAATCATATCATGGAATTCTACTTAAAACACAATTTATAACAAAAATAATCTTGGTCGTAGCATTATTTTTTTTTTATTTAACTGATTGTGTTTCAGAAGAAAATGATTTGGCTTCTATTGCATGCTTTGGTTGACATTTGATCAAATTTACACCAGATGCCCTTCCTGGTGAATCCCTCTTGGGCACAAATGTAGCCCCAATGACTCCATAAGCAGATAAAAGCTTGTTTAAAAAAAAAAAAAAAAAAGGGCTGGTAGCAAAGAGAAAAAAGTTGATGCTTAGTCGAACCGTGATGTAATTTAGGATTACAAATAGTTTCCAGAGTGGATTCAAACCGAGGTCTGGAAAAGGTTGCCATTGTGTAGAGAACAGCAGCTGGAGCCCAGACCGTTTCAACATCACGTCTGGTCCTCTGCAGTCAGTCACCCATTCTCTGGAAACTCACTGGATTCTTGTGGCATTTTTACAGGCGCATACCTTTGCTTCCAGTTCACGTAAACACATTAGCTGAACAAACGGTCTTGCATTAGGTTTGGAACGTCTAATGGGCCCAATGCCGCGAGAAGCTGACTAAATAATGTTAACCTTTTGGGTCATAATTTAATTAATCTAAATGGTTTGTGAAATTTGCTGTAATAATGTACGTTTGAAGGTTTGTGGTTTAGACCTGTTTTGTCATAGATATTTGTGAGATGGATTTGGATGTTGCGCATCTTTGTTCAAATGACGCCTGCCATTCATTCATAATACGCTTTACAGAACAGATGATTGGACCTATAAAAATCTCCAAGCGTGGCTTTGTGGGAGGTGGAAACAACATCCCAAACACATGCGCAAATGACGGGGTTTCCTGACATGTGAGGCAGGAATGAGAAGATGTAGAGAAAGTTTGTTGAGTTTGGGTCACCGCTGAGCGCTGGCGTAGGGGAGTGGACGAAAGAGGACCGCTGAGAGAGAGGGGCAGAGGAGAAGTCTGGACCAAGCAGCGCTGAGAGAAAGTGCGGAAGGACTCACGGAGGCAGCCCAAAATGGGAGCAGCTGTGCGCTCGCTGACTCTGCTCGCGCTCGGAACCCTGTGCGCACTGGGAGGTTGTTTACCACACGGGACGTCCGAAGCTGCGCCAACCCAGGTCAGGAATGCAAATAATTTAGTTTGTTCTCTATTTAAGCTTCTTAGAAGTCATGGTGTATAATCTTACATCACTGCTGCCTTCTAGAGATGGATGTCTGTAACGGTTCCCCTGTAGCCTCATAGTAATTCAGTAAAACTATAATCTGCTCGAATGGTCACTATTTAGCTACATAAAAGTCACACTTTGTAACAAGTTTCTGCTAATAGCCTTCTAATATAAATGGTAAGACCGCAACTACTGATACAGCCTCATCTAGTTTCTAGTGTCATAGTCTGTCTGGGTTTTTATCTACATGTTGAACATGCTCTTCTTATGCTTATCTCAGGCACCTGGATTAAAAGTGAAAAGGGCAAGAGGAGACAACCCAGACATTCTCCCAGAACCTGAGCCAACCAACCCCACTTCAGACTTTGAAAATTCATACAACTACGTCTGTGTGTCTTCTTTCACATTTTCTAACTTTTATTTCCTATTCAGAACAGAGACAGTCTGAATAAGATTTTAACATGATTTCTGTGTTCTGACAGTGTCCAGACTTGCTGGTTTGGACCAGTCAATCCACAAGCTCAATGTGGGACAATACACGCTGGATGTCAAAGTCAACCAGCTGATCGACCGCCTCACCAGGATGGACGGTAGATGTTTGGCTTATTTAACTAAACTTTATTCTAAATGAAATGTGACCAAACAGCTACTTTTATTTTCAGCTAAAGTAGTTGAGCTGGAAGACAATATTAGAGAAGTACATCAACACAGCAAAGACAACCGCAAGGAGCTTGGGAGACTCGAAGGTAACTTAAAATGCATAGTATATCACTTGTGACACTGGTAATAAATGTGAATTTATACATGTAATACATTTTCAAGGATTATGGAGTTCAGTTGTCATTGTTGGTGGGGATACAGTAATGTATTAGAAAGAGAGACTCTACACTCAAGTCATATTTATAACAGTCCTGAGCCAATATACAGAATTGTATACATGAAGCCAAACACAGGGAGTCACGTGATAACTGCACGATAAAACATGTCAGACCTCACTCAGTTCGCTGATATGCAAATTGACACTAACCTATAATTATCCATGTTTAGGCACAGTCTTGTTCGTGTCTGAAAAACATACACCAATATTTTCCTTTAATGAAAAGACAACAAGGAGACTTCTTCAGGGCATTTGGCCTGAAGAAGACTCTTTGTAGTTGAAATGCACTGGTGTTTATGTAATAAATCCACATAGCTAACACTAGATGTGCCTTGGATATCGCTCATTGATTGCTGTTTTGCCCTCGATTCTGAAGAGCACCTGATAGGCTATTCATCCTCAGATCCAGTGAACACTTGTTTATTCTTACCAATAATTTCCTCATTTGATATTTGTAAATGCTTATAAAATGTTTGAAAAAAAGAGGAAAAAAAAGTTCCCACAGAGTTAACTTTGATAAGAAAATGAGCAACCATGCCAACTTAGGTTATAGCTCTCAAACACCACACATATTATCTTCTTTGTCATAAATTGGTCTTGTGTGCGTCAGGTTGTCAGAAGGGCCTTCGTGTTGGCTATAAGTGCTACCTGGTCTACAACCGTAAGGAAGACTATGCTGGGGCCTCCAGGAAGTGCCTTGAACGGGGCGGGCGGATGGCCATGCCTCGAGACCGGAGAGAGCAGGAGGCTCTGGCCGACTATGTCAAGTCTTTCTTCCACCCTGGAAACTGGCCTGTGTGGTTGGGCATCAACGACCTGCGCTCAGAGGGGACATATGTGTTTGATGATGGGACCGGAGTGTTTTATTTCCAGTGGCGCAGGCACTTCCTGTCTAGCCAGCCTGATGGAGGGAAGAGAGAGAACTGTGTGGCCATGTCCTCGGACGATGGAGACTGGTGGGACCACTACTGTGACCGCACCATGAACTACCTGTGTGAGTTTGACGACAGGGTTGGACTCTGAAGTGGAATCTTTATAGATGTCTAGAGGATTTTATATGAATCTGTAAAATTATCTATCCTCACACATCCAATTTGTTAAAGGCAAACAGAAGAATATATTGCTAAAGATGACATTGTTTTATTGATGATATTGTTGCATAATCCAAATGTACATAAAATTTAACAGTTATGTGATGTCTTAAATGTCTATCAAATGTCTATCAGACATGTTTAACTTTACAATAACAATACATTGGATCATAAAAGTTTTACCAGTTTTAAATGTTTGTTAACAGTAAACACTACTGATCACAGAGAAAAAGACCCATTGATCAATATTATTTATTTTTATAAGCAAAAAATACTTATAATTGCAATGTTTCTTATGTATGGTGTTTAAAATGTTTATTACAGTTTATAATTATGTTATGTCTGAAATGTATAAGTGTATTTGAATGCAATTCTTGTGTGCCTTGGACCTCCAGGTCAAACTTACAATAGGCTTACTGCACACACTGACCTCTCAAAGACAAGGCCAGACTGTACTGTATTTCACTCTTGGGATTTAAAACATTTGTTTCCTTGACACAGAAATGACAAGTTTAAAAGAGTTTTTCCACAAATAGATTTTGCATCTGATCCCAGATCAAAGTGTGCGTGTTTGTGTTGGACTGTTTTTATACCTTCAGAACATCGCAGGTTTAACCAGCAGCTGCAGCTACATCTGCTGACCCCCTCACCTCTACACTTCCCTCTTACAGCAAGGAAAATAAAACAAAGTCAGATTTCTAACGTCAACTATTTGGCATCACATGAGAATTTTTTCCCTCACTGGTAATTTGCTGAAGTTTTCTTCTCAGATTACTTATCCCAAACAACAAACACTAAATGTTTAAAGCAATGATTTTTATATAAATAATTATTACATTGCATTATCATAATGAAATCACATTTGATCAAAGATCAATAAATACAAAACAAGCATTTTACAGATGACAATTCATCCTTCATATCATTATAAAAGTTAATACACCTATTTAAATTAGTTTTAGTAATTATTATTTCAAAGCCTGAGCGGATTCTATGAAGTGTTTCAAAACAGTGACACATGGGACAGTAGTTGTCTGTGCTGCACAACTGTTTACATCAGTCAAACCTCTTCATAGAGATGAGTGGGAGGAGTGACTTCATCAGTGAGCCAAGAGCTGCTCTGTCTGACACGTCACTGTTTTGTACACTAACAGTTCTGTTTTAATTCATGTTTAAGTGCTAGTCGTGTCTGCAGCCTTCAATATGTCCTCCACAGATGGTCGGTCCAGTGGGGTTTTACATGGATGATGCAGAATCACATTTCCAGTTTCATCAATGAGAAAGTCTCCACCCATCTACAACAAGAGAAACTAAAACATCAGGTCACAGTCATTGGGTTGGTCAAGTAATTAAGCAAGAGTATGTTGGATTTTTACAACTATGGAATGAAGTTTTTTGACCCCATGTTGCCAAAAAACACAAAGCCTACCCTCACAAAGAGTAATGTACTGCATTAACAGGATTGACCATTGATGTAAGACAGTAGAACATAGGTAACCTGATAAAGATCCTCCAGTAGACGAGATGGCATGTCAGGGAAGTCTCTGTCCACAGCACCATACTCTGAGTATGTCATCAGGCACCCAAATCTCATCACTTTAGAGTAGGACGAAACCAGGCCAAAGGTGCGGTAGAGCTACAAAATGATACACAAGTCTCATATACTGTACTGAGCACTAGCTGTAGAAGAAATACAAAATAAATAAAATAACTGGCATTACTTTGGATCAGTGACTGTAAACACCAACAAACACAAACACAGCACTCTACCATGTTTTCTTTATTTTTACTGTCTTTCTCTCCTCCCTTCAACTTCAACATGCTTTAGTTAGACGCATGCACGCACGCACACACTACACATAAACACAAATAATACAGTGCTGAACAATAGGCTTGGCAAGCACTTGTGTCACTTACATTTCTCTGTTGGTCGAGCAACATGGGGAATTTGCATCCAGTCTGCTCCAACCAAATCTGGGCCCCCTCCAGCACACTGAAGGAGATGACCAGGACCTGCACTGACCGAGCCTCAAGGAGCGCCTGTAGACAAAAAGAGCATGTCATTCTTAACTAATCACAGTAGAATTCTCTCAGAAGGAGCAAATAGCTTTACTTACCACTAGCATATAACAAGGCATAAAATAACATTATATGATTTTTTTTCACATATCACTCACCCCTAAATGCAATGCTTTATTCATTGTATGGCATTCTTTTATTTTTTTTTCTTTCAATTACCAAATCTGTCATACACTGTTTTTGGTTTTACACCAAATTACCTTTATGTAACCCACAGATTATTGTCAAATCTCTTAAACAACTATACCAAGGTATGCCATTATTCACAATATTTGCAAATAAAATGAAGAAATTACTGAAAATTATCACTTTGTGTATACACTGAAAGCTTATTTTAATTATGTAATATGGAAAACTAGACTTCCTAAACTTTAAATTGACTATATTACATAAAATAGATTCTTGTGAGTTTTAAGGCATGTTATAACATTGTTACCTCATCAGTTGTGTTTTGTTTCATACCAACATGTTTGAGAAACCATTAATTATTAGACTGTCTACATCTCCAAAGCTCAAAATGCTCTATTCCACCTTGTGATGTTATGAAGTGGTAGTTTTCATGTTAACAGCTACATTTGACTTTTTGTTGTGTAGAAATAGATAATTCTAGGACTAAAAATTACCCAAATGATTCTAGTGAAGGTGTATGGAGCTTAAAAACACAGCGGAGCTCTTACTGTATTACCACATGACATCACAAGGTGGAACAGGATGTTTTCTGTTTGATAGAAGAACTCAGCCTAAATATGCAGGGTTTGTGTGTAAAAAATATGGGAATAAAACAAAACAGAACTCCAGGTCTGTTTGTGATGAGGAAACAACATTATAACAGAGATCAGAAAATAGTGTAATATGTGCCCTTTAAAAGTAATTGTTAAGTTAATATTTATTACACAATTCTATCAAAACACTTATTACTGGAGTCACGTATTATTGAAATCAGAAAGTGGTTGATCATAACCTTTAGAATATACTATAGAGCATTAGTAAATAGTCCGACCTGTTTGGCCTCCAGCTCGGCCACGTGGTCCCGTCACGGTAGTCATCCCACATGTCGGGTCAGGACCAGCAGCTGTTTCTTTCCAGGAGTCAAAAACTCACCCAGGGTCACATTTCTGTAAACACACAAATACCAACAAAAGAATGATATTATTATTCAATAATTTCTTCTGACTTCTCATTTATTCAGTTTTCTACGGAAAGCTAAAGAGAAAACTTTTAAAAACATTTTACTTTGCAGTGCGGGCATCGATGAGAGCTGTGTCTGGGCTCAGGCTCTCAGTGGTGTTTATGGGTAACACTTGTCTGTTTGAAGATAGCAGGCCCTCGTCTACATGCTCCAGAAATGAATCCCATTCAGTCTGTAAAAAACAAAAACATACAGGAGTTGCAAATGAATCACTGCAGTATGTATGTATGTATGTATGTATGTATGTATGTATGTATGTATGTATGTATGTATGTATGTATGTATGTATGCATGTATGTATGTATGTATCTATCCAAGTCAAAACTCCCCTACAAAAAGTCAAAAAGCCCCAACAACTCCTCTTTTATCAATCAGGGTTTTTAGATTTTCAACAAAAAAGCAGTTGGCTGTCTCAGTGGAGTGTTTTTTTTGTTTGAAGCCAAATTGTACTGGGTGAAGATCAGAGGGAGATGTGAAATTATTTGATTTGCCATTAGCTTTGACACTTTTGAAATTGGTAGAAGAATAATGATGGGCCTGTAATTGCCAATAGAATAAGAATCTCTGCTCTTAAATTTGGGACAACTGTAGCTGACTTCAACCCATTTGGGAATGTGTCTTAGGAAATTATTTTTTTTGTTATTGGTTTGGTTAATGTGTGACTGAGCTCCTTCAGCATAAGTTTATCCATTCCAAATATATCCTTTGTCCTTGATGGTTTAAGAGCTCTGGTGGCTTCTGGCCCTCCACTTTAGTGGCACTCCTAGCGCCACTAAAGTCTCTGTTTATTCGATGTCCTGATATTTGAGTTGTCAGGTATGAAAGAATGAACAATTATTGACTAGAGTCAGTAGTTATTCAAGGTGTGTGCTATTTCACTCAGATTAGAAATCACATAGCGTGATTGCTATGGTTTGATCAGTCTCAAATACAAGTTATATCATACTCACCTCCAGCTGTAGAAGGGCGTCCACTTGTTCCCTCACTGCTTCTCGACTGCAAAAATAACAATTTCTAACAATGTATTTTGAAGTGGGTCAGGATGTTATCTATTTAATATATCTGTTTTATTGCATTATTGCATTTTATTGCATTACTTAAGTGCCAACTTCTGTCTTTTACATAAGGGGACTAGTGTTTACTTACTGGTAGAACTTTTTCCAGAGCTCCTCCGCTTCACTCTTCTTTGTCACTCCAAGGCTAAAATAATGCATAAGATCACAATTTTACATTGATAATATCATATTTTGTATATATTAATAATTTTTATATTACTTTTTAAATAGTGTAGTTCCTCCAGTGATCAGGCCAAACATTGTGGTAATTTTGTAGGGCAAAAATCCCTCTGACTCTGTTAGAACAAAGAGAGCATAGTTAAGACTTTAGTCGGATAAGTGTAGCGTCTTTGTGCTTGTAACAAGTGTGACCAGGATTACATTACTACACCTGCATGCCACAGTGGGCCCTCAGTCAGTTACTTTAACAGCATCCAGAGTTCAGACATGTTATGTTTTCACTTTTTAATCAATGGGAAATTCCACCATCATTTCCATTATATTTATAATTTTTGGTGTGGAGAAATCAGACAATAGTCATTTAGCCATTTGCCTGTCACCAAAACTAACACTGACAGTAGGCATATTAAAACAAACAGCTTTTGATTAAATTAAATGTAAGTTAAGTGACGTATTCTAAAAGTAGGCCTATAACAAGTAGCTTTTATAGCACAGTATATGGCAATCTGTGAGACTACCTACACAGCCTGACCAACACAAGGTAAAGGCTGGTAAATAAAACCAAAGATATAAAATGTATTTTAGTCAAAAGTCTATATGACGGTAAAGTTATAGCCTATGCCTCTTGTACTAAAGACTATAATACATATAATAATAATAAATCTTTATTTATAAAGCACTATGAACAGTAGCTGTTACCTGCAGCTTCATCTTTGGCTTTCTGGAGCAGAACTCTGCCCAAGCTGACGAGCAGGGACAGTCCCCGGACAAGTGCGTCCTCTGTCTCGGTCATCTCCTCCGCCATGGTCCTGATTCCCGCGAGGGCTGCGCTGTAGAACACGGAGCAGGACACGGGGCACGGAGCAGGACACGGGGCAGAGCACTGAGCGCACTGTGGGCACCGGGAACCTCCATATGAATGAAACACAGCGGTCACGTGACCGTGATCACATGACTACAGTTGGACTACGAGACGCGCCTGGAGGCGGGACCGGGGACTCAGAGGAGCAGGTTGATTGACAGTGGCGAACTAAATAATAGAGATATGTGTGTTCCTGCTTGTCCATTGTTTTCATAATTTTGAACCCCAAACAAAGAAACTCTTACAGGCCCCACACAAGCCAGAGAGGGCACGTTTGTTGTGTGTAAAATCAGTTGTGCGCTGGTACTTTATGGTCAGTATTTCTATTTATCCAATCAAACAAAGCTTATAAATAAAAGTTGAAGAAATTACATTCACAGTTATTAAGTTTTGGAACATTAAGAACACGCTCACACTTGTCCTTGTTGGGTCCTGGTGTGAGTCCAGTTTAATCCTGATGCTGTAGACCCAGTTCGGTCCGGTTCTAGTCTTGGTTTAGTTTTAGTCTACTCTCAGATTAGTTATTAATTTAGTGACAGTTTAGTACCAGTTCTGATGCGGTCTACGTGTATGTGTGAACGCATCCTTGGACTAAATTTTAGTTTTTGACAATCTTATTGACAAAAACATTAAAAACATGTCTCTAGAGGTCAATTTGTTTATTGACTAAACATGACATTTGTTCATTCATCACTCATAAAAATTTCTCTTGGAAGGAGATGCGATAATACATAACATATTATGCATGTCACATCCCAAAACACCTCCAACTCAAAATCAGACAACCCAAGTGGCCACAGAAAAAATAAATTATAGATCAGATCTGACAAAATTTGATGGTAAATGTAAAACCTGAATAAAAATGTAGATTTTGGACAAATAAAAATGATTCAAATGTTTTAGAAATTGAGGTTGAAATGGTCATGTAGATTGCAGACATACAATGATCAATAAAATAAAGAATAAGCCCTTTTTATGTCATTGAAATGTATCTAAAAAAATTTATTAAATAAAGTAGAGATTTTTTTTTTTTACTTGGGGTCAAAATCCTGTTGTCCCTTTTCCTGTTCATATCCAAGCAAAACTAAACACAAACGTCCAATTCAAGACAATGAGTGACACAACCTTTAAAAAACTAAACAAAATGCTTCAAGTATCTGAAGTGGAAGAGCCCTGTAGGACGTTTAATCCCCTCTCCTCTCCAAAACTGACCAGCCATAAAGCGGTTTAAACATCTGTGGTCCGAAAACAACCACAAACGCAAAATGAAAACAACTATCACCCAGTCTGAATCATTTATGGGTGACTTTTTAAACTCAAGTCTTAAATAAAGATACTACAGACATCTAAAATGAAAAGGTTTTTTTGAGGTTGTGCTTTTGATACAGCGCAGAGGTGAGAGGGCTGGACATGCTCCCTCCTGTATCCCAAACTACCAGCTCTGAAATAGCATCTATTACACTGGATTTTTATGAATACATTGTGCTCTATAACTTTATGGAAGACATTCTTGTATTGAAAAAAATGAATAAAAAAAAAAGTCACCAACAATCACATTTAAAATACTGGGCCACAGGGAATTCTGCTGGTTAACTAATATATTGTATTTAATTGTTGAATATTATGCAATATTAACACTATTAAGATATTTTGTTAACTGTGTGGTCATTTTAATGAACATTTCAATTATTAAATTAGTTCAGTAGAAATAAAAAAATAATAATTATGTTCTCTTGCTTGAAATAGTTTGACCACTGATATAAAATAAAAAGTAAGTTTAAGTTTGTGCTTGGAGCAATAAATGTAGCATGTAAATGTGTTGTGGATAATGATGTGACTTGTGAGTCTTACTTGATGCAATAGTGCAAACAAGTTCGTAGTTTCTGAATTTTGTTAGATGACAATGGTAATAAAACTGATTCTGATACTGTAGGCCATCACATTAAATAAAAATACTGAGTTAGTTGGGGTTACAGGAGGAGCAGATCCATTTAGTCCAGTGTTTTGTCATGGGCTGCTTTTGAGACTTGTACAGTTTGTACTGTTGTATTAAGATTTCTTTGGACAGTGTGAGGACGAGTCTGTGTTGAGGACTTCGATCATAGTTCGGGTTGAAGGGAAGGTCTCTGCTACTGATGGAAGACTCTGGTACCAGCTGGGCAAACTGGGAACAGAGATGTGTTTAATATTATATCATGTAATAAGTAATTACTGATGACAGTTTAAAATCATGCCAAATACCTTTTGAGGTTCATCCACATTTTTGCTGTTTTACTGAAGCTGCCTGGATTTGATGTGGTCATGGCCTCAAAGTCCACAAGCTGAATTAGGAGTAGAATAAGATTTAATACATTTTAGATCTGACTGTGTCTTTACACAAATGCAAACACTCTTTATCATTCTCAACATATAGTAACCTCAAACCACACTAAAAGGAGTGGCAAATGCATAAAATGCCTTTGTTGTTTTAAGGTTAACTATCTGTGCCACCCATATAGGCTTGTACTCACTAGGCATGTCACAGTAAACATACAGGATAATCAAGTAAGCCCTTTTTGAAATGTAAAACATTAGATATGAGAATTTAACAATGATGAATACTGACCTTGAAAAAATATTATTCCATCTATCATCTATTGAACAATAACTTGGCGTATTACTGATACAGAGTACAGAGTGAAATAATAAAATTCTATAATGACAGGAGACATTTGACCACAATAAGTCATCACTTATTTTTTCACTAGATTTTTAAAACTATGGTTAAAGCACAACAACAAGTGAGTTATAAGCCATAAAACTTGTCAACATAGTTTTAAACATGGTTTAATTCTTCATCTTTCATGAATCATTCACAAATCCATGTTTCCATAAAAGAGAGGCAGTTTTGTCTGGATCTTACCTTTCCTTTGGGGATCTTTCCTGTGACCTCTTTGCCACTGGCCATGAGCGCCCCCATCACTACAGAGTAGGCAACCACACTGATAACAAATAAATACATTTTAAAATCAGACAGGCCCATGGTGCAATAGTCGTAATGAAGTAGCACTGAAGTATCATCATCATTTGTCTTTCGGAGTGCAGGTGTACTTTCTCTGTATGTGGGAGTAGGATTATCACTTGTACTACAAATATCTCAAAACCTAGTTCTTACCTGGAGCCTCTGGAGAGGGGCATGAGATTACAGAAGTAATACACCAACGACAGGATGAGGTTACATACAGCATCTGCATCCTGCGTAAAAGGAAACAACATAATTTTTCTAAAGTAAAAGTCATTGTACTCATGGATACTTCTCCAACCACACTCAGACTCTTGCATCATTTATACACTTTTACCTATATATTAACTCATTCACAGGAGCATTTTCGATAAAGAATTAAATCACATCTCTAGTTTTTACTTTTGAGGAGTAGTGAATTTTAGGATTTAATTTTAGAAAAGAAAATGACAAAAACATTTGCATGGGTAATGTGCACCAAAGAATCCGGCAGTCCTTTCACAAATAAGAAATCTGTTACAATAAAAGCAGTGAACAGTGTGCTGCCAACATTAACAGGGGAATGATTATTGAGGCTCAGCGTTGAGGCAGACATATTCATCTACTGCCCTGATGACCTTGTTCACTTTGGATCGGACAACTTATCTTATTCAAGTGTGTATGAATGCCGTGAATTCTGGAGGCCATATTGGTGCTTTAGACATTTATGTGCACGTTCAAAGAGAATAGTAAAAGAATGACAATTGTACAGGAGATAAAATAACATAAAGCAAACAAATGCACCTGAAAGAAAAAAGATAAAAACTTCATTGAGCCAAGAGGAATGACTGTTGCTGCATTCTTATCTTAATGAAAAAGGTTAAATAATCATTGCCTGAGCAGATGTTTTGGGTTTCTTTTTGTCTGAAACTGTGTGACAGAGTGGTTTTGATTAAGTGAGGAATGTCATATACAGCGCTGTAGCTTACCCCCAGCTCAGTAGACAACATGAGGGTTTTCCCTTTGGCCGTCAGGTCTTTGTAAATGGACTCGATTTCAGACTGGTACTGCTGTGTCCGCTCCTCTGTGGTCTGCGTCTCCACTGAGAATAACATGTTCCCCACTCTACAAATTAAAAAGAAAAAATATATATCAGTCTCTTTAGGGAAACCTTACTAGAATGACCTGGTGACGTAACAGTGGCTGGTTGAGCATGTGAACGAGAGCTTATTTTGTACCTGTCTCCTGTAATAGTGATAGTAAACCCATCGTATTCTTTCCCAGGATCCTTCAGACTTGGCACTTTGGAGTTGACTGTAAAGCCATCTCTAGTTTTACTGTTAAACTGCTTCAGAAAATGTACAAAGGTAGATCCTCATCAATAATGCAGCATTTTTGTCTGATTTACAACAATTGGTTTTAACCTGTATACCTTCATTATAGGAAGTAAATCTTCTACTTTATTGACATTTTCAAGAGCGTGCCGAACATCCTGGAGCCCTCTGGGGTTGTAAGCACTACAAAGAAAGAAAAGTCAAGTGATGTTATTATTGTTTATAGTTTGTGTTTCATGCATTTTTAATACAATTAGTTAAGAAGGGCTTACCCATGATAAACCAGTATTCTGTCTTTAATGAAGTCAAGGATATTATCAAAATATGCCAAGTATCTGATGTTGATTATCTGCCCTCTAAAAAAAAATAAAAAAAAACATTAGAAAGAAGTTAAGAACCAACTGCACATAGGATTTTTTTTTAAAGCAATACCAATTGATTATACAGTATTATTGATACATACACTTGAGGGCCTTATAGCCTTGTCATAGTCAAGTCTCATAGTTTAGTTAAGCACTAACACATTATACTGCGGTCTGGTTGACAAATGAATTGGGTTTCATTTTGAGACTTGAGACAGTTAATGGACTTGTTATTATTACCTGATGAGATTGATGTGATTGTTGAAACCTCTGCTGAGACTTCGGGCTGGCATCTGGTCTAACCACAAAACTGGCTGGTCCGGGTCTGCGATCCTGGAAGACAAGAGAGGCCTGTTAGGTCTGTGTAACATGGACCACAGAGTAAGGAGGAGTTTTAGGGTGTTTCTACTTCAGAATTAAATCATACAGAAAGCAGTGGAATCAACAATGTATAAATAATAATAGTTCATTTTAAGACAGTATTTTTTTTAGAAAAAAGACAGGTAAATTAATTTTAGCAGCTCTATCAACATGCAGTCTCTTAAAGGATGTCCTTATCATAAATTATTTATATAACTGTGGTATCACCGCTGCTCTGAATGGTCTCACCTCCTCCACTTGACAGATATGTCAAACATATCTCTCCACTGCATTTGTCGAGTTTTGCCATTGACCCGTACTTTTGAGTTGCTCCATGTTCTGTGCATGGCCTGCATGACCTCTAGTGTTGCCAGACCCATGGCTAAAAAACAAAAGAGGTGAGTTTCCATTTTAAATTCGTTCTGATGTCACAGAAAACAGGCCTCAATCTCTGTACCTCTGTGTATTCTCTTGTTTGGTAGGAAACCTGGTGTGTCATATTGCATTAGTGCCCCCAGATGGTCGGCTGTGCATATTAACTTCTGTACTTCATTGCTGTAACTGTCAAAGTTTTGTGGTAATACATCTCTGTAAAAAGAATGATGGAGAATGTTAAAAGACTGTAAATAGAATACACAGGATGCTCAGCACTATACTAATCACTGAGGTCAATGTTACTACCTCTCTTTCTCAAGGCAATGGGCTCTGGTCATGCTTATGTCACAGAACTGGAACACGTTTCGAAACATGCAGATGATGACTTCCTTTGGGCTCTCTTCGCGATGAAGAAAGATGAAGAAAACCGGGCCATTTTCAAAATTTTCCAGATTTTGTCGGTTACTTAATTTGCCTATTAATTGTGTGTATTATGATTTCATGTCAAACTTAATAAAAAAAAAAAAAGATGTAATTGTAATGTTCTGTTATGTTCATCAGATCAACAGTTACAACCAGCTGCCTTTAAGTGACATCGAAGATGCGATTAGAGCCACATCCCCCATGGAAAGCTTTGACAGGTTGTGAAGACCGCTGCTGCTGAATCCATGGTTTTATCACATGCCCAGTGTCAGTAACTACATTGGAAGTCGTCATCTGCATGTTTCCAGATGTATTCCATTAAACGTGAATATGTCCTAAAGATCCTGGATACTTTAGATATTGTTCTGAAACACAATCACTACATTTACATTTAGTACACTCCCACGTGTACTTTCAAATGTCTCCAGAGCAATGGAATCAGTCTCCTCATCCAGGAAACACTAACATTAATTACCTTTAATTACCATCTGTCAGTTCACTGACATATAATCAAACTTGTGCTATGTTTAAGAGCCTCTTACTTGATGTGTGGCTGCAGTCCTGGCTGCTCTTCATAGTCTTCTATTAAAAAAGGCAGGTTTTTGGCCCAATGGTTCTTAAAGTTTCCTGGTAAGTCCTGGTCTACATTGTACTCTGCCACTGGGATGTCCAGGTGAGAGTGCAGGTAGCGAGAGTATTCTGGAGCATAATACAACAACAGTTAGCACAGCATGGAAAGGAAAACTATTCAATTAAAAGAACATGCATAATGCTTTAAAATAAAATCATAACATGGATTAAAACAATCTGTTATATCCACTTTAGATACATCGTATAACCATGTAAAATGTTTTACTTTAAAACTATTGCAAAAGTTTACTGTGTAACGCCATGAAGCAATAGGTTTCTTTTTCACTGTGGTCTTTGATATTCAGTCAATTTTTACGTGAAAGATAAATCTAGAGTTAAAATGACTACAGTTCCAGAGAGCTGACCTCTGAGGTATTTGACTTTGAGGTATTCGGAGCTGGCCTTCTGTCCAAGGAGAGGGTCGTTGAGCATCACTTTGGTCTGAGCTTTGATGCCTTCGTAAAACTGTCCCATGGCCACATGGCTGAGGCCTTTCATGTACTGGCACACTTCATTGTATGGCTCCAGCTGCAGACATCTCTACACAGAGCACAAGCAGATGGAACTTACCACAGTACAATGATCACTGACAGGAGAACAAAATAACAGATAGTATCTAATCTGCAGATCACATAGTTTAGGTATCGTCATTCAAAGTTGGATACACCTAAAAGAATGTGTTTTTTGTTTATGTGGGACCACACATGCGGCCAGTGGCATAATGCAGTTTTTTGGTGTTCACAAACGTTTGTATGCACTCTAGATAGAGATTAGGTAAATGGCACTACCTTGAAGTTGCCTATAGCCTCCTGTAGCGACCCATGGTGGTACAGCATCATTCCCCGAAGCTGCAAAGACTGGATATGGTTCTGGTTCAACATAAGAGCTTTTTGAAAGCTCTCCATCGCAGACTCAAAATCACCCAGCTCTCTGAGGAAACAACATAGACATCCAGATAACTTGGTTTTAGACACTCACATATTTACATCATATGTACATCATTGATAGTACATTACAGTAAAGAGATGAAAGTACCTATAAGCTTGTCCAAGGCTCTTGTAAGCATCAATAAAGTCAGACTTTAGCTTCAGTGCCTCTTTAAATGTCTCAATAGCTTCCTGAGAAGAAGAAACAACAATTGTGAAAGAATATACATTTAACAGGAAACTGCAACAACGATCAAGGAAACAGGCTCAGACGAGTGTTACATGTGGAACAGACAAGTCTGATGTTTTTAGGAGAGATACAACAGAAGAGGAACATCCCCTACAATGAGCTTGTAGTCCAATTGGGAAACGTATAGGAAAGCCAAAAAACAGCAACATACAAAGAAGCAAAAAATTCTTTGATTTGTACCTTGAGCAGCCCTCTGTGGAAGAATGTTAGGCCTTTGTAAAGCATGGCGATAGGCTGGTTCTTCTTCAGTTCTAGAGACTGCTGGAAGTCCTCCATGGCTGCCACATAATCCTGTTCAGAGTAGAATATAGTGCATTTAACACAAGGATTACAAAATCTGGTTAAATTTGGTGAAATGTGGAGGCAAAGCTTGTGTGTGCATTCATGACAAGCAGCGTGGACAGGTTTAATTTTTCTCTTTGCAGGTTTAACTCTTTGGGGGTTTGAGTTTTCACCAATTCCCAGGATGTTACATTGTTGTTTACCTCAGATATGAAGAGCAGTGTCCCTCTGTGTCTGTAGAGACGAGCTGAAGGCTGCAGAGATATGGCTTTGGTCAAATCTGTCAGGGCCTCACTGATCCGGCCCAGAGGAGACAGAATCTGAAACACACAACATTCAATTTATTAAAAAAAAAAAAAAGCAATGAATGCAGTGAAAGCAATGAAATTATTGGTCTTTGGGAAAACAACACTTTATGGTCTTGTTTATGTGATAACAGTATATTACCTAAACAATCATTTAACACTGGATTAGAGGAGCTATACCACAAAGTAAAATTCCCAAGCTAACATTCAAAATGAGATCTATTTCATTCCAAACTGCACTACATTTGTTTAGTAAATTAAGTGATAGTTGCCAGATATGCACTATTCATTCAAGAAAAACAATATACTCAAAAGATTAAAAACAAGACAGGGAAAACTGAGTCTGTAAAACAAAATGTAATACTGTCACAGAAAGACAATGATTTGAGTAGAATAATTCATTTCCATAAGCTTTGCATGTTGATGATTGACTAATACTCAGTACCTTCTGACTACCTCATTTGAATTGGCCTTTTGTTTACGAGAAGAACAAAGACCAGAGCAGAGTAAAAACGAAGCCTTTTGTGTTGTGTTCACCTAGTTCCCCTTGGATGCTGTTGTGATGCTGCAGGACAGAGGCGGGTCATTTTTGGCTCTTCCTCTCCTCAAACTGCCCTGACTCAAAATTTGTTGACACTACCTGATCAGTCCTCCTGTTAAACTGAACTGAGACCTTTGACTCGAGACACAAAGGCGTCTGAGAAGTGCAATGTAAATGTTCCTACAAAACTGCAAGTTTTACACCAATCTCTGTTAGAACTAGTATGCAACTATGGAGTATAACACTGAGGCATTACCTCGGCCCTCTGTTCGTACACCTCAGGCCAGTTGGGCTCCAGGGTGATGACTCTGTTGAGCTCGTACAAAGCCAAGTCTGCATTCTTTATATCCTGCAGTGCAAAGGACAAAATCATTTTAGAATCATGAAGTCATTTCCTGTCTTCAAAACCATTGCCAGCATAGTTAAATTACAAATGAAAGCTTTACTGTCTATTTATAATTATTATGCATGCGTACTGTTATTATCATTATTATTATTATTATTATTATTATTATTATTATTATTATTATTATTATTGTGAGAACTCAACAGAATGTTTGAACACATAAGCAGACTCAATCTTACCTGCAGACTTTTCTTGCCATAAGCTATCCCTCTCCCATAGATAGCACTGACCAGCTCTGGGTCACCCTAAAAGCAAAATAATATTTATGGAGATATCAGGTTATTGACATAATCAGATATTGTCAGATTCAATTATTATTAGGTTTGATTGTTCTAGTTATCTGATAGCAACTGCCCTTGTAAATGTAACCACTGATACAAACCTGTAATAAAAGGGAGAAGTGCTTGATGGCTTCATCAAAGAGGCCGTTACCAATGAGAACATAGCCGATAGCTGCAAAGCAAAGGTTGCAGCACTATTAGTTATAGTCCATGTAGTGTTAAAAAGGTGTCGACTCACCCAGTTCTTCATTGTTGTTTTGGTTTTCTACAGGAAAGGGGATTTTTTTCTGCTCTATAAACAGCTTGGCCTGATTCTGTGAGAGATGAAGAAAACACCACAAGAGAAGCACGCAATGAAAAAGTGTCAAAAAGCATTTCCTGTACAAAGTTAACACAATCAACATCAGAACATTTACCATAATATAACTAACTGCTACTTTTTCATTTTTCTGTAATTTACAATTTGTCATATTGTGCATTTTAATACAGAATCATTTTAATTATAATAACAATTAAGTATGTAACAACCTAATTTACTACAGAAAACAGAGTTTGATATGTAAAGATAATGACTAAAGTTAAAGCATTGTAAGTTGGTGATATTGGGTTTGAGATTGCGTCTATACCACAGACTGTATATGGCCCATACCAACATATTTTGTTATGTTTTTGTCAGTTTTTAGAGCATTACATATGCACTCTTACCAGGATCTTCTCTGCATTGAGGGAGAAGATAGATTCACAGGGTGGGTTACTGCCCTCCTCACAGTCTGGGTCCTCCAGCTGCAAAATGGATGACTCTAGAAAAATAAAAATTACAGTCAGTCTCAGTCTAACTCCCACCCGTCCTGTCGGTATGTTAAGATCACAGCTAATATTTCACACACCACATATCTCACATACTGACTCAGGCATCATCTCAGGATATCCTATTCACACTTTTTTAGCAATACACTGAAGTACAAAATTTTCTTAAATGTGGTTACTGACAATGAATATTATGTTTTAAAACCCAAATACAAGTCTACAATTTGTATAATTTTGTAGCCCCTTCGCCCAAGCATCCAAACAAAGCAACATGAATATCACAATCGAATCTTAACTGCAATGGAAACTGGCAAATATATAATAATAATATAAAGGCCACAGTTATTTTTTTAATAGAGTGCCCTCTGCAAAAAACTAAATATTATTAATCCCAACTTTAGATCTCTATAAGCATGATGTTAAATGTCTCTTGTAATAATTTCATATTTCAGTGTCTTTTCTCCAATACGTCTCAACATGTTAGACTATAACACACTGTGAACTGAATGAATTTGTAAACATAAACTGTATATCTGATGGCTCTTGTAATAAGATATAAGAAAATCCAACATCCAAGTAGTTCATTGTAAAATAAATAGCAGGTGTAGCAGTGTTATGGCAGTGAGTCAACGGGGATTACCCATTTGAGTTTTATTACTATAGGGTACACATACACTGGGCATACTGTAAATTTATTTATTTGTTTATTTATTTGAGACAGGGACAGCGCACAATTTTTACAGTAACCTAAACAGGAGAGATGCATTCTCCTAGGTTGTATCACAAGTGCTAATTTCCACCTGTAGTCCCTGGACAGGTTCATTGATTGATTGTATTTAATTGATCTTGACTAACAAACAAAAAAAAACACAAAACAAGAAAGACTGACAAAGCTGCCAAAAGGGAACTTCTTGGCTGAGTTAATTGTCAAATTATGTTTTGTCATGGTGCTGCCACACAACGTTTAAAGCTGTAATTTGAATAAATGTACAAGAGAACCAAAAAAGAGAACCTTACATGCTTCCTGAAACACTAAACCTAAAATGCACCAAAAATCGACTACGTTTCCTTTGTTTTGATGCGTTATATGACACCTTATTGTGGACTACGGACGCCAAGGTGGTAAGACAAGTTACACAGCACTTCATAACAGCTTTAGGGGTTTCAGAGGGTTTACGGACTTCAAATTCATATTTTAAGAATGCAAAAAACCTGGAAATAACGGAATAATATAAATTGATTTCTATGATTAAGATGTTACAAGTTGTGTGCTCGAAATTGTATGTTTTGAGATGTTTTGGCGCTTCCATCTCCAGTCAAGATCAGGGAAGTTTCAATTAGCACCGAGATTATTAACTGTGTGCCATTACGCTCGAGTTTCAGAGCACTTTCACATCTAAAACAACACAACCAAGGCTTATCCGTGTTATCTCCTCTGGACTGATTAAGGTTAGCCCACCACCGGAGGATAAGCTAGCCGGGTAAAGTCACAGTTGAACCGAGGAGGACGTGGCAGAGAGCGGGTGAAGAGGAGACACTTTACCGCAGTCCTGCGCGTATTCCTCCCAGTCGGACAGCGAGCTGCAGCCCTGTTTGTGGAGCTCGCTGTTGAAGAGCGTGAGAGTGGAGAAATACTCCGTGGAGAGGATGGCCCGGCTCAGGTACAGCACCGTCAGCCCGACCACAACAACAGCCCGGCTTGTAGGGGCCATGTTGGGCTCCATGTGTGACGCACGGAGCGGAAGCAGCGGGACCCAAACCAACCGATCCGAGGACACGCCCCCTTCAATCGTCTGACAGCGGACTACATATCCCAGCATCCACTTGGGCTGTCAAACTAAAATTAATCCTAAATATAAATCACAATGCATACATTCATAGACAACTGAGTAAAAGAAAATACCCTAAAAATTAACGTTGAACTAATAAAATACCTCATGTTATGGAGATTATACAGAGGGAGGAGAGTTCTATGGTAACGCACCTTTAATGTTAGAAAAGAGGGGTAAGAATATTTGTTTGATTAGATTCAAAGGGTTTACTGTGACAGCCCCTGATTGAACAATTAATCGCATCCTGGGAGAACATCAACAGGATCTGAAGCAAAATATCATTCTTTCATCTTGATAACAGCATAATTTTAAATAATATAACATAATAATAATGGCATAATAATATGGTTGTAGTAGACAATACAGCTTCAAAAACATTTAAATGCTTTTCACGCTTAATGTGCATTTCCGTTGCTGTACACAGGGGGGCAGTAGAGAGTATTCACAGCTCACGCAAGTCACGTAGAAGAAGTAGCGTGCTGCTTCCGGGTTCAGATTCAGTGGTCTGTTTACATTGAGGCATGGGGAAAGTGCAGCAGTTCAGATGTATTGAATGTAACAAAAAAGCCACGGAGCTGCACAGAGACTACCGCAACGGCATACTGAAGATAACCATATGTGTACGTACCATTTATGGGGGAGAGGATGCTTTTTACAATGCATGGCGTGCTGCACAAGACTGTGGTGGGGAAAGATATTAGATTGGAGACAGTTGCATTGAGTAAAAGACCAGTAAAAATGGGCCAATAATAGGAATAGGGATGACTGATGGATATGCCTGTAAATCGTTAAGGAGTCTAGACATTCATAGATGGTTTGAACATGTTCAGAGGGGGAAAGATGGTGTAGGAACATTTATTTATTGAAACAATATTGGACTGAACTGTGGAGATTGTAAACTTCATTTTCACTCTTTCTGAATAGAGCTCATGCCAGAAACCAGTGGACAAGTACATCGAATATGACCCTGTGATCATCCTCATTGATGCAATTTTGTGCAAAACACAGGCTTTTAGACACATTTTGTTCAACACAAGCCTAAATGTAAGTTGAATAGATACATACATACATACATATATAGTTTGAGTTGTCTTCTTTATCATGGTAAATGTTTGTCTCCTCCTTGTGGTTGATTTGCAGATCCAATGGAAGCTGTGTGTTTTCTGCCTACTGTGTGAGGCGTACCTCCGCTGGTCCTCACTCAACTCCTCAGAGCAGAGCAGTGATCCAGCAGACCTTATCAGATATACAAGGGAGTGGGAGTTCTATGGCATGTTTGCTCTGGCCTCACTTGGTAAGAAAAGTAAACTAAATCAAACATCTTAATTTTCCAAGTCACCTGATAAAGATTATCAATTTTAAATGTGCATAAATACGTTTATCTTTGTTTCTAAGATTACACTTCAGATTTTTGTTTGTTGTCTTGTTTTTTTGCATCTTTTGGCAGGTTTCTTATTACAGACAATGTAGTGTAAGATATGTCTCACCTCTTGTTGAATGTTTTATGTTACAATAAATTTTTTTGAAGTTACAATTTAGTATGCTCAAAAATATTCCTTATTACATTATAAAATATAATATAATTAAATATTATGTCTTCTTTTTTCATTTATCAATTTCACCACTGCTTATAGAAGTCTTGTCGACACTCAGACTCTTGGAATGAAATCTTAAGAGCACTTGAACATCTTATCATATTGACCTACATATGAAAATGGTCCCTGCAGGCTCCATGTCAAATAGTTTGAATCTATATTTCAGAGTTGTCAGCATTCTGTGGAGGGGTGCTGTTGTTCGTGTGGCTGGTTTTGGCTCGTCTGCAGAAGAGGTCTTTGGAGCACGGTCTCCTCCTGAAGGGGCTGCTGCTGTCCTCCTACGGGAAGGTCCTGCTCATCCCCACAGTCATCTGGGAACACGACTACTCCCCACTTTGCCTTGCTCTCATCAAACTGTTTGTGCTCACATCCAACTCCCAGGCCATCCGAGGTCAGAATTATACATATTTAGTGCTCAAAATGTGTGCAAAATAAAACTAAGGCCGAATGAGATCTTGTGAAAATAACTTAAGTAACATGCAAAACACCTCAATAAAATAGGGCATGTATTAATGTCTAAATGATAAGTTAGCAGTATAATGTGTAATATGTAATCCCTCAGCCGTCCAGGTAGGATCCATTTCAAAATATTTCATTCTGATTATTCTTTCTAAGGCAATGCAGTGACTTAGCAGTAACTTGTCAGAACTGAAGAAGCCTCTTGGGCGAGTGTCCAGTTGACAGAATAAAGTTTTATTTTGAAATTAGCAATATAAGTAATATAACTTGATGCAGCTGAATTCAACATCAGGTTTGGTTCACTCTCAAACAAACTTGATCTGTCCTTTATAGGGTTTTTCCCAACCTATACAGCAGATGACAGTCTGTTAAGGTTTTTGCCTGGAAGGAAAATTTTTTTGAAATAGCATGGAAATATTAGCTGTAAATTTACACGTAATTTTCCCACTAAGGCTATACCACAAGTATTTAATGTATGCACAGAATTCTCTGTCTGTAATTCAGCATAACCTTCAAGTGCCAACACGGTACAATTATTAAATATTAACTCCTGATAAGTACCACTGACTTTTCCAATTATTAATACATAATAATGTTTTTCTGGACACTCAAAGACGCTTTACAGAGCATTATTCACTCACTCCACACTCAGTGAGGATAGGCTACTATTGTAGCCACAGCTGCCCTGGGGCAGACTGATGGAAGTGAGGCTGCCAGTCTGCACCATTGGCCCCTCCGACCACCACCATCACTCATGCACACACCACTTTCATAGTAGGCAATATGGGAGAAGTGCCTTGCCTAAGGACACAATGAAAGTTCTTGTGAATAGCGCCTCACTGTGGCACCTGATACGTTCTTGCTGATCCTATCACAACTTTCTTCTTTTTTATAGTGATCCTGAATAGCAGCAGACGCTTCTCCCTGTTGACCATCGGCGTTGGTCTACTTGCAGAATCCTATGTGTCGCAGGTATGCAGCAGTCTGCCCTGGGGTTTCAAAGAGATGCTCAACTTTGAATGACTCCATCACTGTCTTTTTAATATACAAAGGACTATGGAAAGAGAGTTAAATTTGACATTCCCTTCAATGTGGGGATATACCACATCTTGTGTGCCTGGATTAAAGCTGTGAAAAGACTTTTTTTCTTGAAATTTGTTATGTAGAAAGCGTATTGCTCTATTGCTTTACTAAACGACGTCTCTGTTATATTGTCAGACATAATTAGCTGACACTGTATTGACACTTCACTTGTGGTTTTCTGGAATCTGAAACTATTTACTACTGGAATACTTGAGTCAACCACTAAAAGCACAGACAACCCTTGAAGTTGTATTTTTTATTTGTTATTTGTGTGTGCACTGCAAACACTCCCTATTGCCCTAAACTGCAAGTTTTATTTGAATCCCACTTCAGAGCCAGTTACTCTAGAATCAAATGATTGATTTTTTACATAATAACCCCAAGCATAAAGCTTCGAAAATGACACATAGATGCTCAGGTTTGAGTCACCTCATAAAATTTTTAAAGATGCTAAATACTAAACATAACGTTCATTCAAAATTGAATATACATTTTGTCATGCACTATATATATTGCTAATTTCTGAAAAGTTTATTATTCCTTACACCCTGAAAACAATTGTCAAAGGTATGTGCTGCTGTCTGTCTATAATTAAAAAAAAAAAAGCTTGAAAGGGAAAAAAAAGGGGGCATCTTAGATAAAGGAAATAGCTAAAATGCCAATGTGATTTGCAGTTGCAGTCTTTAAAAGAATCAGCATAGATACTTGTGGCAATAACACTATGAAACTAGGTGATCTTATATCTTAATCCACTGAGCTATTAAGATTGTATTACTTGCTGACAGGCATTGATTGACGGTGCTCTTTATTCTCAATTATGTTTGTGATTGTGTGACTCGGGGCGCGTGGCTGCGGCGTGTTGGGACAGGCCCGTGAATAGTGTGAATATCTGACAGACAGCACATGGAGCAGGAATGCCCTAACCCTTCTGAAACTGGGCGGAGCACTGGACACTGGCTCTGAGACAAAAGAAAACTGTAGCAAAACAACGTGTAAGTCACTCCACCTTAGGCCTTATTCAATGTAAAGATATAAGAAGCTATTGAGATTTACTTCAAAATGCTGTAAAAATGCTGAAAATAGTTGAAAATAAGATACACTTTCCGTTTATGTTAACAATTTTGTGATAGATTTCATCATTAGTCAAATAATATTGCTGCATTTCAGATGAGATGGCAGCATTATATAGGCCAATATTAATGAATACAGTTCAAATAAATGTTAAAATGAAAATGATGTTGTAATACAGTGAGTTCTTGGGTTTAGTCGATAATTGAAAATACCAGGTTTACTGTTTGTCAATTTTCCTTTTGGATATTTTATGGCAAAGTTCTATATAATAAATTTTTTAGGTTTCAGATGAGATCACAGCATTCTATAGGCCAAAAATATTTATACAGAAGGGGGGAAGCTAAAATTTAAATTGTTAAAATGCAAATTCATGTACTAATACAGTGAATTTGTGGGTTTAGTCACTAATTCAAAATACCAGGTTCAACATTTGTGAATTTACCTTTTGGATACTTCATGGCAAAGTAGAACGTCATCATCAGAGAAATCTTGTCCTCCTCATCACATTATAAAATCTGAAAACAACCAATTGATAAATTTAATTGTACACGATCAACAATGTTTTTGAAACTCATTATCTTATCCAAACTTGCAAAATGTAGTGAAAATTACTATGACTTCAAGGTGCACCAAATCTTAGAATACATATAGTATTTTCATAATAAATTACGTTAAAATACGTTGAGTAGAAAATCAAGGCTGTTGTGTTTTGTGTTGATAATGAACGTGGAATGCAGAAGTTTAATCTGGGTTAGACTAATAAGATTACAGTAACAGTAGTGCTTCTGTAATGCATGTGTGACCAAGGGGAGGACAGAGAAAGTTTCAAAGCTAAACTGTAATTATTAACCATTATTGCAAAGAAATGGCACAACTGTTCTCATTCGGGGTTTGACTATATGTGGCTACTATCAACCTAGTAATACAATTTAGTGAGTTAGTGGAGGCGGAGTGGTTAGCATTATCAGTAGATGTAAATTTGAAATGGTTTATAATTACAGTAATAGATGTCTCTGTGCTTGTTTTTGTCGACTAACAGGTCATTATTTAAGGTGTACCTGCTCAGCCCAGCCCCATATAACCTATAATAAGGAGGAAGACGGAGACATTAATGGGCCTGTATTACTTTATTGTCTGATTTATGTCGTAATGTTGTTTCGTCATGAAAAACAGACCTGGAGTTGTGTTTTGTTTCATACCAGAGGTATGACCAAGTCGTCGTTTTGCAAGTCTGAAGTAAGTCTCAAGTCTTTGACCTCAAGTCTGAGTCAAGTCCCAAGTCAAATACAGGCAAGTTCAAGTTGAGGCTCGAGTCAAGTCCAAGTCGTCTGGTTTGCGCTTCAAGTAATTTGAAGTCTTTAAAACAAAGCACCAAATATGGTTTAGATTTTTGCAATATAAATTTTAAGATAAATTGTACAAAAAAAAATCATAGTATATTCATATGTGAGTATTTATACAATATAATAATATATGTAGAAATTAACTTAATTATTTTTTCCTTTTTAAATGCCTTGACAAGATCTTTGTGTGAATCATTACAGTCAGAATAGAAAGAATTCAGATTTAAAAGTGCTTCTCAAGTCTTCTCAAGTCACAGATCTCAAGTCCCAGTCAAGTCCCAAGTCTTAGTCCATTTTATCAAGTCAAGTCTCAGGTCCTAAAAAGAGTGACTCAAGTCTGACTCAAGTCCAAGTCATGACTTGCAAGTTCCTGCCTCTGTTTCATACACACATGTTTAACACACAAACTGTGCATATTTAGGTTGAGTTCTTCGGTAAAACAGAAAAACACTCTGTTCCGCCTTGTGATGTGGTAGTACAGGAAGTGCTCCACTGTGTTTTTAAACTCCATACACCTTCACTAGAATCATTTGGGTAATTACAGTGCAGGAATTGCCAATCTCTATTAAAATAATGGTAAATGGTAGCTTCAAAACTACCACTACATGACATCACAAGGTAGAACAGAGCATTTTGAGCTTTGGAGTTGTAGACAGACTAATAAATCAGGAACCAGAATTACTCAAACACGTGAGAATGAAAGAAAACACAACTCTGGATTTGTTTTTGATGAGGTAACAACATTATAACATGCCTTACATGTCACAATTTTGTGTAATGTAGGGCATTTAAGAATACAACAGCCTGAACTGGCATCTCTTGCAGTCCTAGTTCATTGGGTGAATTGAGATATATGATGTTGTTTTCATGTATAGAGCCTACATGTATAGTTTGTAAAACCTGAGAAACAGAATAAAATAGAAATCAAGTGGGAGAGAGGTAGAGAGGGAGACGGACAGAAAGGGAAACAGGAAGGGGTGAGGAAAGAGAGAGTTAGAGAGAAAAAGTGGGGGAGAGGATCTGAGCAGCAGAGAGAGTGATGCGTACCTTGGATTTACTCTGAGTGAAGATTATGGAAATCCGCTCTAATCTCTGAACAGACGCTCTCTCAACCACAGTGACAGAGGACACAGCAGCAGCAGCCTCTGACTCAACACTGCAGCAAAACAGTCCTCTATAGACAGATATTTATTCTCTTTGCATTTATTTAGTCTAATGATTGTACTGGAAATAAACTTCATACATTCATTCTAACCTAAACCTAAAAATTTTCCTTTCACCAAAGTAAACCTGTAAGTGGAGTTTTACCCGCTATTAGTATTTTGAAGTATGTGAAATGCTGATATCTATAATTATTAGTGTGTAACAGGATAGTTTCTTAATTGGTAGTATATTTGACCAACATCTACCAGTGATTTCATAGGATTTTATGAAAAACTTTAAAATAGGTCCTAGTAATTGCATAATACAAGCCCAAAAGCTTGAGCTGAAAGTGACCTATATATTTCACACTCACTTACACCGAGGTTCAGTTGAGTTTAGATGAGATGTTAATAACTAAACAGTTTTAAGATCAAAGTCCTTCCCCCGTCCTTGCGATCCTCCTATCACTGCAGTAATGATCAATTAAAGAGGAACTGCTGCTGAGCCAAAACGCAGATGAAGCATTGAGATGCAGCTCAGACACTTCAGGGGACACAAAAAGTAGGACAGCCAACTGAGGAGGCGGAAACAACAAGCTTGGGTTGGGTAAAGCTTTTACTTGTATGGAAGATAACAGAGAGAGGGGTGTAAAACTGAATTAAAAACCAACGCAATCCTGTCAAGTTTGGGCTATAGACACACTTTACTATACAATCAGGAGTGTACAAGCAATGTCTACAATCCATACTTTTTTTTAAAATTTTTTTGTTATTAATCACTTTTGTACTTTTATAAAACTGACCTATATTACTAGGGATCCCATACTGGTATCTGATATTGCCGCCAATATGGAAAATTTTGTTGGTACGAATATTTATGTGAGTATTTACTTGTCGTAGTCGGCCCAGGAAGTCTCACTTCATAGATAAATAACAGCTACACACATTTTGATTGCCTCTGTCTTATTTTTAGTTTGAAGGAAATAAATCCTGTTTTCAGTCTCTGCTCTGGTATCGGCCAATATTGGAGATCAGCAGACACTTAAAGCTTTAGTATCAAAATTGGTATCGGAACTGACAAAGTTAGATCGGTGCATGTAAGTGTATTTCTTTTTCAAGGTAGATTATCAAGTGACAGAAATCCATAAATTGTTCTGAATTTGTCAAATCAATATTCTGTAGATATTCCTTTTTGAACTGGATATCATTAGGAAGTCCTGAATTGAAAAAAATAAAACAAAAAACAAACACACCACAAAATCGTCAAAGTACATTATCAGTTTAATAAACGATATATATAGATAGCAGAGACTTTACATAGTCCTAGTAAACAGTAGTAGGTCAAAGTTGAACCACAAACGCACACAGCCTTCTCATTTTCACAGTCACTTGGATCAACACTGAACACTTTTCACTGTGGTTTGTAATTAAGAGAACATTTGAATGGACAATTCTACATGTATTTGTATAGAAACAGTGGCCATTTTTATAATATTTTAATAAGGCTCTTTTAAATGCATACATTAATGGAAGAAACACTATTTGTTTTAAACTTTGTGGACCACTTGACCACTTCATTCTCAACATACACCAATCTGGCATAACTATGTAACAATTCTCCATTTGAGTTGATCATTTGATAGGCAAAGACTTGAAAAAAAGACTACATTGTTCGTAACATTATACCAAATTGGTGTAAAAGTCACTTCTTACAATACCAAAATGTAACAATCATCTTTTATACATCCAGTTATAGTATGGTTGCATTGTGTTTGGGCTACACACAAAACATGGCGCTACAAATTTGTGCTCTTAGATTATCAGATTATCAAGGGTTTGCCATAATGGACCACGTGAAAACAATATTCACCCATCCCAAGAACCCATGCAAATGAATACAGCACCAATATCATGTTACCACTGTTCATACAATATCAACCACAAAATCACTTTACATCACTGCCACTAGTTTTACCCTGAGGAGGCATCACCAATGAAACATCCAACAATCATATAAAATGGGACAAATACAATGCAGCATGTAATTATTTCACAAAGTGTCAATTTAACAACAGCTATAAAAGTTCATTCACCAAAATTTTCCCTAGAATTAGAGGTTTTTAAGCATATGTCCATGTCCATTTGGTGAATTAGAGTTTAAAAGATGTGCTATGTTAACTTTCTTGTGGAGGATACGTCACCTACACAGAAATGATTCTTATTTGCATTGAATGTTCTGCAGTATGGGAGCATGTCCATGGATAAGAACACCTCACAAGTTACAGGTCAGATATGTGGACAGGCTACTGCAGTCTCAGTCAGAATGCAAGCTGTTCAAGGTATTTCTAGCAAAAACAAAAACAAAGAAAGATACTCCAGACAAAGCAATAGCCTCTCCTTGGAGCCAAGCGGGCAGCAGTCCTTCCATAAGAAAACTTACATAGTGCACCTTTTATTCTCCATTAGACCAGTCTACTATCTATGCCAGATCGGTGGATATTTATTGGCGTATCCTATGAACTCAGTGTCCAAAATATGTACTTTACTTTACACTTTGTCATACATATTGCATTGTTACAGGGACTTGTTTACAACACACTGCAAAAGTATTAGGAACACTTGCTGGTGTTAAAAAAGCTCTTTCTCTTGTGCTGGATTTAAGTGGTGTTTTAGAACAATGGACTCAGGTAGTTTTAATTCAAATATTTAAACACAACAGCCACATACAAGTGAGGAGTGCACACATCATCACACTTTAAGGCTGCTTTTGGATTGCTACACAGTGGATATGTTGCGTGTAGGCATGAATTGTATTGAAACGGTCAGAAAGATTTGCGATTTTGCTACTAGTGACATTGCTTACCAAACCGGGTTTGCAAAAACTTTCAAATCCTACTGCTTACGCTGATGTTGATTTCTTTTGAGTGGCGAGCGGCAGGTCTGTGTCCGCCACTTAGCCAAGGCACTAATAGTACATCTGTATTTACTGGCATTGATCTGATAGTCGTGTGTGCTCTTAGCTTCAGATTAGCAGCACTGCGCAGAGAAGCTATTGTTGACATTTCGTGACTGTGTTGCATTCAAGTGCCATATACAAACAGTAATAATAGATGAGTGGTTCTTTAAAGCACTAACATTCAGTACACAATCTAAATGGAGATATGACACTAAGATAGGTAGAACAATTGGTAATTTGATGTCTGGGTCAGACCAGTGTTGGTTTAGAACAACAGGGGGTCATAATATTTTTCTGGTTATAGCTGTGGAATTCAACAAGGAACTGAACTTTTAACTATACCACAAAACTGATATTTATATATTTTTTGATGATGATGAAGTTTCAGTGTTGGCTTAAGGAAGTTACCCAGACAATATATTTCTGAAAAATTTAACTACAACCACATTCTTCTATGCATAAGATATGACTAATAAAGCAGGAAGTATTTTACCCTATTAAACCAAACTTTATCTGCTGGGACCTCTTTGGTTTGTGTACTCTGTCTACAGGGTTAACGTCACCCTTGTAACAAACAGGGCTTGCTGGCAAAAGCATGAAATATTTCTTATTACAGCTATTGAAAGCTAAATTCCAAGCTATTGGTACCCATTAGGTAATCTACATAGTTTCATTATAATGTGTGTGACTGTAAAATATTTTTGTACATATATTTTCCATTATTATGTCCATTATTTTAGTTTTGTAAAGTAAAATTTTTGTATCAAGGAAATATAAACAAACACATTTTCATGTTTGCAGCAGTCACTACAGTGTTAAAAGGCTGAGCAAAACTTGATTATACTTTGCGCACTTCTGTTGCCACATTTTTAGACCCTGGTGATTAGCTTAGCGTGAGCACAATAAATGCTAGGTAAAATGTAAGACTTGCGACAGACCTGTAATAAGACTACAACTGTTGCCCATACAAAGCACACTGTTATAGGCAGACAGACATAACAGTCTCCAAAAGACAATTATATGAAGCTGCATTAGACTTGGTGGTTTCGGACAAGTCATTACTCCAGCATTTTAAACATTTCACATTTTAGAGCAGGGTGTTTTAAGAAGGCAAAAGGTTTATCCTAAAAAGTGTTCACGTTAGTAGTACACAAATATGCAGAATTTCAAGAAGCAGGACTGGACCAAGGCTTTAGAAATAGTTTGATGTAGTACCTTCTGTGGACATAATTAGTTTCAAAGCACTAGAAACCATTTAGAGTTACGCAACAGTACACGTTCAGCTAACATATGGATTTGACAGGAAACATGGCAAACACACTCCAAGAGATCTTCAAAGAGTGGTATAGAAGCACTACTATATACCAGCATCAATGTAACTGATCTGTTTATGCTTTGAGAAATTGTGTGACCTCTCTGTCTACTTTAGCCTTGGTCCAGAGTTTATGGAATTATCTTAAGCAATATTCCCATAAGGTAGAGTCCATACAGACATACATTTCTTCTTACTGACTTGACTGTGATCAGGTCACAGTCGAAACTTGGAAAGAGGGTAAAAGTAAGTATCTGATATTTAATATATGCAATAAATAATAAAACTTTGTTCATAGAATTATATGTATAAAAGTTCTGCTCCGTTGTTGTTGCTACTGGATAAGAAAGCAGCAACAATTATAAAAAGATTGATATATATATAGCCAAATTGAGCACATCGGAGTCTTTAAGTTCATTTTGCTCCAATTGTGGTTGAGAAATTGCATCATTGCAATTTCAACCTGAGAAGTCCACCTATCCATGCGAGCAAAATTATCCCAAATTTGCCACACAACGTACATCCATAAACAGTGTGTAGAGGCCTCAGATGGTGACGTGAAAGGAGTCCCAGCTGTCATCTTTGCTGACGCTCCCATTTTTCTCTGTGGTCGTGCCCCCGATACCCCCCTCGTCGGGCTGGTCCCCCGTGGGCGTGGCTCCCGGTTCAGGGTAAAACTCGTCGTCCTCGTCGAAGTACCCGTTTTCCATCATACTCAGGCTGGATGCGGCGCTCAGGTCCTGGCAGCTGCCCTTGTACTCCTGGATGGACTCGTGCAGGGACCAGAGCTGGCACAAGAGGGACATGTCCTGCTGACGCAAGCCCACCTACAGAAGACCAGAATCAAGACCAGATCAGAATTAGACCAAGATAGGAGGGATGCTCAAACAATATAATTTTGATCAAGAGTCCAGTTCAGTAATTTCTAACTGTCAGTGAGACGCTCTGGTGTTTTAATTGAGAGATCGACAGGAGGGCAGGGTATCATTCAGAAGTTGCTGATACAATACATAACTCGATACACAGGCCACGATACGATACATATCTTGATACAGTAATCTTACGATTCAAAAAATAAAGGCTAAATCATGACTGTGATACTAAAACTACTTCTTGTGCAAAGTGAATATGAAACATCAATTTTAATCATCAAAACTGTGAAAATGTCTAAACAAGCAACAAAACTGCAGCTCTGTAACAAAATATTTTAGTAAAATATACCAAAAAATACTCTTGGCGATATATCAATACAGCAGCCCACGATACTGATACTGTATCATCACATTACGCTATATCGATATTTCAATATTCTTGCACAACCCTAATCGACAGCCAATTCTCGGTCAGTAAAAGTATGTGGTCTGGAGTTCAAACTTTGGAAAAAGAATGTGACTAATTTGTGGGGAGGGCTGTTTATGATGAAAAGCCTGTATTGTGTTCAGAAAATTAATACAAGACATTTTTATTTGTTTTAATAAAAAAACAAGTAAGTAATACAATGATGGTGTCATGCATGATTGCTGTTGTTTAGATTTGGTCCAGATTCAGAACAGGATGTTTTAGGGCCAGACAAAGAAAGTGGCCCCATTACTTAGTTGTCTCTTTTGAATTATCACAAAGACTAAAGGTGAAGCCAAACAGGTGGAATTAAGATTGTCTTTGGTGAAACAATATGGACAAAAGAGATAGATTTATACAAACCTGCAACGCCTACATTAAAATCCTCTAATGTGGGAATGGTTTCATGCTTTGAAAGTTCATTGTCCTAAGCACTAAGTTCAAACCAAATGTAAACAAATCCACACATTCCTTCACATTCAGTGTTTTTGTAATTTTGAGTTGTCACAAAGCCAGCCCTGTCATTACACAGCAGAACAAAAGGAGAGGGAAAAGTCAAATTAAAGGGGTCATTGTTCTGAATACGACTCAGCTGACAGGGCGCTATCTGCAGCCGATCACTGCATTGTCCCAAACAAATCACAGTGGACACTCAGTGAAGTCAGTGCCCCTCCAGCCACACCACAATGTCTGAAAACAAAATCGACCAAAAATAGACGGAGCGGACAGAGAGCTGAGAAAAGTGGCCCTTAATTTTACATTAATGTCAGAAATTTAAATGAGATTGGATTAGGGAATCCATCTCACAATAATGCATTAGCTCACAAAATCTACTACTCTTAGATAGTAGCTGTTTATCTCAACCTGAGAAAAGTCACCAAGAAGTAATAGCAAAAGCCTGCAACAAAGCCAGAGGTTTAAACGTTTAGCTGCTTAAACAAATTAGCTGGGTATTTTGTTTAACTTGATTTTGGGAAACCTCACAGAGCGGGAGTGGTTCCTATACTAAAACCCAATAACAAAGGCCTGAAAACAACCACTTAACAAACAGACTGATCTTACTATGATCAAAGGGGCAATGTGGAAGAATTGTCTTTGAGTAAAGCCATAAAATCACCAAATGATTTAAATACAGTGGCTTCCTGTAGTTTTATGTAATGTTATATTGTCTTTATTTGATTCAGGGTAATGAGTAGAAAGTAGTAAGTAAGTAGTAAAAATACTTCAACTATCTAAAAGTTCACATTTAGAGGATTCATATTGATTTGAAAGAGTTTAAGAAAAAACTCCAGCATTAGATTTTTTCTGCACTACATACTTGGATCACAAATGTCAACCTGCCACTTTATCAAAACATTTTTTATTAATGAGGTAATAATAATATGTTCTTAACAATGTTACAAAACAGAACAAGAAAACCAGGTAGTCTACTGGGCTGATGGGTAGAGTGACCAGAATTTTAAAGCAAAAAAAAAACTGGGACATCCCTGCTTTTTTGGTAGTTGGTAATAATAAAACTGTGAAACGAGTGTGTAATTCAAGAAAATTATTATGCAGAGACTATTTCATGATTAACATTTCTTTGCGTTTTGGTCATTTATAAGCAGCTTTTCTGTACTTTACCTAAACAAATAGCAATTTATGCCTCTCTATACTGTTGGCAGGGATCAGATTGGTCAAAAATACGGACACCTGGGGCATTTCTTATATGAAACTGAGACAGATCAATGGTTTTGGATAAATCTACTGGGAGAGGGGACACGGGGATCAAAATTGGGACTGTCCCGGGTAAATAGGGACGTCTGATCACCCTATTGATGGGTGTACATATGGTATACAAATAAGTAGCCAATGTAAAAATAAGGCATAATGCAGACCTTTAATATTTCAGAATGTGTAATATTGGATGTGAGGGACATAGATGGTGTCCTAGAGCAAGCGAACGTGAAACTGAATATGCACCTAAAGGGAGTCTGACTATGAGGGATTAGATTGCTCCAGGCGTGCGGCACTTTCCCTGCACACATGCATAAAAAGCCTGTAACATTACCATCTCTTTACGCAGCAGAGCCAGGGCTGCGTCCAGGTTCGCCGGCTTGTGTGCGAGCAGGCTGTCTCCGTTGTTCCTCCCTCGGCTCAGGTCGTCTTGGATCATGGTTTTCTTCACATACATCCTCTCCATTTCTCTCCAGGAGCCGCCGCTGGAGTTGAGTAGCCCGCTCAGGCTCTTGGGCAGCGGCGGTAGACCCTCGATACAGGCCATTCCCCCCAGCGTCCCGTTAGTGGACTTACCATTCATTGTCCCCGGTTTTGACTACACCTTTGAAATGACTGAGATTTTCCTCCGATCCGCTCGTTTATAAAGGTTAACAGCGCAGGAGGTGGACAACAGACTGCCACTCCGGAGACCAAAGCACCAATCGTGGTTTTGTCCGGGGCTGAGCCTGAGGCACAGCAAAGCAAAGTCAAGTCAGGAGGAGTAAGGCGAGAGAAACCGCCTGGACTGTCACAATAAAAGCACTCAAAAGATTATTGCAGTTTTTATTATTATTTTTTTAATTGCAGATTTTCAGATACAAACAAAAAGCACCTTATAAAGTATACAGCTCACATGAAAGATAATTGCATTCTTCTGACAGATATTTTGTCTTTTCCTGTATATTATGATAGCTTAAATACTTGAACATGAGAAGTGTATTGCAATGGACAAGATTAATAAACAGCAACATGGCAAGTTATTGTCCAATATACTAGTGTAAGATGGGGCTTTGAATAAAATATTTGGTAATATAAATTAATTTGAGATCCTCTTACTGGTTCATAAGGACATTGGTTATTTATAGAGTATATTTAATTGAAAAAGTATACTCAGACTTGGATATTGTATAGCTCCCTACCACATACAGTGCTTTGGTTGACTCTGACCAGCCCATTTAAGATGATTTGGAATTGCAAAATAAACATATTTTATAATTTTATCTTGGACTAAGTTTTACAATGGACTAAGGTTGCATTGCTTTTATTTCAAAGTTTTAGTTTTTGTGTGTGTGTGTTTTATTTTTTTAATGACATTTTTTTTTCATTGTTTAGTTGTAACATAAACTCTTTCCAGTCTTCCCAGCTTGTCAAAACAATTCAATTTACTGCTTTTTTTTTTTTTTTTTTTTTTAATAAAGAAATACAGTTAATATTATGCAGAATTGAGTTAAGCATTTTGGCCTGGCTCTCCACAATATTTTCAGTTTCTGTGGCCCCATGGAAATAAAATAATTGTCCATCTCTGGCCCAATACAGTAGTGAAAGGTGGTGCTTTGAATAAAATATTTGATAATAATAATAATAAGTAATTTGAGATCCTCTTACTGGTTCATTAGGACATTGGTTATCGATAGAGTATATTTAACTGAGAAAGTATCCCAAAGTACAAAAAGAACAATGCATTGAAATCACGACACACACACAAAAAAAATAAAAATAAAATAAAAAAATCAGAGGATGATAGATTCAAATTTCACCTGAACTGCATGTGTCCCAGTGTATTTTTATTTATTTATTTATTTATTTTTTAACATTCTGACAAATGAATTCTACAGCAGATTAACAGTATCTTCCAAAGCCTTTATTTTGAAAGGTAAAGCTTCAACTTCCTGTGCGCTGCTGCATATTTGACAGTTTTGGACTCTGTCTGAATAGTAAAATCCTCTTCCTGTCCATTTAACACGGTGGCTCATGTGGGCGACTCCCTGCCACCAAGTTTGAGTGACCATATCTGACTGATCTTCATCTAGTTCGTGTGGCCCAATCTAACAAAACTATAGGGATCTACTCAAAACATAGTAAATACAACACCGGCCAATTATATCTGCAATTTAAAATGGCTTAAAGTGCTTTCACAAACTTTAATTATCTTGAGTAACCATATAATTCTCTGTACTGTAGGCAGTTTTGCACATCTGGAGACTGTTAGCAGCTGATATGTCAAAAATCCCTCAGAGGAAAAGAGAAATGCAAGCCATAATCAAATATAAACAGTGAGGTGGGAGTTGGGAGGCTGAAGAAATACTGAGTCTTTCTTACGGGAAGATAAAAGTAATAGGGATTCCACGGTGATTTATGTTGGAGCGAATGTGGGTCGACTGCAAAACCAACACATATTTTCTGGGACTGAACTGCAGGCTTTTTGGCAAGACATGAGAGAGGAAATTGAGAAAAAGCTGCAAGTTTCTCTACAGATGATTAAATGTGCAAAAAGTACTGCTCTATTTTAGCTGTACTACTACAAACATTATAGTACCATTATTTCCCTTGCTGTGTTACATGAAATTAATAGTGCAGAACTAGAAATACATACACGTAACTCTATTCATGTACAGATAACTACCAAATCAAAACATTGCAAAGACAAAACAATACAAGGATAACTGGGAAAACATACTTACTATATAGACAGGTTTAAGTAAATGAGGTTTCATATATTTGAAAGTCTATTTTGAGTCCTTATTTAACTTGAAAATGTGATGTGACACATTTTTGCACCATTATTGCAAACACAAATCCCTGCCCTCTTACTGTATCTTATAGTTCTGAAGACAATATACAATAGAAAACCAAAAAGACCACAGCGATTGTGTCCAATGTCAGACCATATTACTATGACTGGTCTCACAGACTGCGCGATGAGGTCAGGGCAGTTTTTGTACCCTGGAGGACAATAGGTTTGGGACATATAAAGGACAGATGGAGGCTCCACTTCCCGCCCCCAGTCTGCGGAGCCGTCACAACAATAACACAACAATAACCTTGAAATGAGCACACAAAAGACGCACACACGCTCCGAAACAAGAGAAGAGTTATACCACACACAAGCATACACAAACACATACACATACACAGGGGACAGATGGACCGTGCCTAGAGCTATATAAGCCTATTCTTAACTGGATTTAATACTGCACTGATATGAGATATATAAAGGATAGTTTGTCATAATAATGTCACTATTTAAAATGTATCACTTTTGAAAAAAACAACTTGTGTCAGAAAATATATCAAATAACATATAGATTATTAAGTAAGTCACAATAACACACTGCAATAAATGATAATATTAAAACTACTTAATCCAACTGACTCATAGGGACGTAACAATAACCAAAATATTGTGATATCCTATCGTCAAAAGTCTCACAATAATATCATGAGCTGTCACAGTATATCAAATTACAAGTTTCTTTGCTTAAATGCATTGTTTTAGAATAGCAACACGTTATGAACATTGGAAAGTACATATCCCATGATTCATTTTAGTGCAAACAACATGAAGAAATATGTTTTTTTTACTTGAATTCTTGAGATTGACAGTAAATAATTCACATCAAAATCTTGTCAAGGTATTATAAAAGCAAAAAAAGTGTTCTATCTACAATTATATTAGCCTCTCCAAAATATTGCAATTAATATCGTACCGTGAGATGCATATCGTGATCATCGTACCAAGAGATTTGGATACATTCCTACTGACTCAATAACAACTAGAAAAGCACTCAGAGAGCGCAGACCTCCGCCAAGGACTACCCCCATTTTTTATATAAATTGCGATAAAATCAGTCTTCTGGATCAGATCCGGATCAGCCTTTGGAATATGAAAGAGGATCCCATTGTCCATCCCTGAGTCAAATTTCATGAGGTTTGGTCAATAATTAACCGAGATATTGAGAAACTAAATTTTTGGCCCCATTTACCACAATGTTAACTAAAATTTCAAAGTGATCCAGAATCCAGGATTTCTTCCGGATCACCCCCAAAATGAAATCAGTTCTTCCTTTTCACATTTCCAACAAATCCTGAAAATTTCATCAAAATTGGTCCATAACTTTTTGAGTTATGTTGCTAACAGACAAACAAACAAACAAACAAACAAACAGACAAATGCCGGCAAAAACATAACCTCCTTGGCGGAGGTAATAATGCTGGATGATCCCAGTAAACCATTCTTAACCAGACAGTATCATTAAAATGCATGAGCTGCAACAAATAAATAACAGAATGAAACAATAATTAGCCAGATCAGTCACTTGTTCAACCTTGCACAGCTCAAATCTTGTCAACAAAACAACAAAAAACAAATCCCTGTGTGTGTTTGTCCGTGGAGATCAAAAGATTAGTCGTATGATGTGCTTCCTGGGGGGATAACAGCAGGAGGCCATTGCCAAATCTGCCTTAACACAACGGTAATTTGGAAAAGTCGGGCTAATATAAAGATAAAAACATCCTGTGTGTTCTTGCTTGATACAGTTGAATTCTTAATCAGATTTCCAAGATACCATACATTTGTTTTGTTATTTAATATTTGAACATAATTTTTCATTGGTAATTATAGTAGTATCATGCACTTCTCATTTATTTACAGGCCTGAATAACAAATACATAGAATGATTGATATAGATAAACACATAAAAAGAAACTGCACAAAATAACAAAAAATTGCACAGTGTTGGTTGATATTGACAAAACTGTATATCTCAATATTTTTTTGGGAGTAACAATATTAGGTCAATCCAACAGAAATGTGTGTCAGTAAATGTAAAAGTTGAGATTTAAGTATGAGAAAATTTTGAACTGATATGTCTGGACTTTTGTGAATAATTTTACAATCTGTACCCTGTAACCTTATGATCTAGTTTTCTTCCATCTTTAAACAACTTTCACAATTTGATTTCCATGTGATAACCTGCCAACCCCTAAATGCAATTGCACTTTTTATCATGAAGCGAAATCACTGTTTTATACTACGATAGAGATACAATGATATACAGTAGGAAGTAAACAAATCCTGTGGGTCAGAGGAAGAGGCTCAATGGATGTGGTCAGTTTCCGCTGGTGAGGTCAGGAAGGAGCAGAGACCCTGAGAACAGCTGCTGCACTCACACTTTTCCTGCACGCTCCAGAGTTAAAAATGCTCCGTAGGTGAATGTCAGGGTTAGGCCCAGGGTTAGCAATGATTTATGTCCACACACCCCCACAGAAAGGCTAAGAGGACATGCTCGCATCTGCTCACTTACATTAGTAGAACTGTATCTAAATGTACCATGTGAATTCTATAGCAATCCAAGAGTGTGTTAGGACTAAACTGGAGCTAAAACCAGAACGAGAACTGAACAGGACTAGAACAGGACCAGAATAAGTCTACATTAAAACAAAACCATGCAGGTGCAGGATCAAAGAGCACCAAACAAGCACAAGTATGAATGCAGCCCACTTCTAACCTAGACCAAATCAATATGTGACTAATACTAAATACATTTCTTATATATTCAGTAGGCCTATAAAGTACTCCTGAGTCAACCTATGGCATTGGTAGCTTGCCATAGCTTCTGCAAATAGCTAACAAAAGCTACCCATTTTATTATTTGATTAAATGTTGAATAATTATAAAGTTGAATTTGTATACTAAGCTAATATATTATAATGCATTACTGTACTGACTATGGTCAAAGCATTTCAATAAATACAATGTTCATTCTTGTCCTTAAATGTGTTCATTCTTCTACTTCTAAGAACTGTAGCAGAGAACAGGAACACCCTGCAGAATTGTACAATATAATGTGTTTACTGTCAGTAAGCTGTATATTTACTGCATGATTAAAACATTTTAAAAAGTGGTAAAACAGTCACATATTTATAGTGCTTTTCTACCTTCAAGGCACTCAACGCTAGGTTAGGTTAGGTTTCTTTATTTGTACCTGTGGGTAAATTTGTTTTGCAGATTCGAGAGGCATGTCCCACATTTCACATTTCATCATTCATCCACATTATGCACAATAAACACGTATAAAAACACAATTACAAAATAAAGTGTTACAGTGCTCCAGAGCAGAAAGGTTTATTCCATAAACAATTAGTTAAATTCATCCATCACGCTTGGCTAAAATCACAATAAATTTTAAATATATAAAAACACAAGATTTTTCCAAAACAAACATACTAAAATTGATAGATAAATAGATTACAATTTATTCATAAGTATGATAGCAGCTGGAACAAAGCTCCTTTTAAAACAGTTTGTTCTAGATCATTCTAGATCTAGAGTTTAATACTCTGGGACATCCTCTGTCTTGAGTACAGGGAGTCCAGGATGCTCTGAGGATGGCTAATCACCTCACTCATCCATTGATCATCATAAGCATTTTACATCAAGGAACCACTCACCCTTTCACACACACATTCATAAACCAGTGTACGCAGACACTAAGCGTGAAGTGGATTAAGTGTCTTGCCGAAGGACACAACGACAGCATTTATCTGTGGGAGCTGGAGATGACCTGCCAGTGAGGTCTTTGCCAAGAGCAGGATTCGACCATGAACCTTTGGATCACTCTACCAACTGAGCTGCTGTCACCCCAGTGCCAATAGTTTATTGTGTATACTAATACTGCTTGCATCACATCCTCCTGATAGTCATGGGTTGCAGTGTTGTAATGCTTTGTCAGTACCACTGGCTCCTGTCCAGCCACACGTCCGGCGGTGACAGGAGGGGTGTGTCCCCAACAGCAGCTGGTCTCGTTCCACAGTGACCCCTGACCTCCACCCTCTGGTCTGACCCCGCCCACCATCAGTCTCCAGGCTGCTCCCCCATGTTTGGAATGTGCAGGATGAGTCAGGCTTTGCGGTGGAAGTGCGTGGTCTGTAGGCATAGCAAAATACAAAATTACACAAGCCAAGATTAGTTTTCAGTTCAATAAAATTATGCTTTACCACTAACAGTGAGGAGGAAAGTATGGTTTTGGTGTGCATGAACATACTGTATGATTGTTTCTCACTCTGGGTGTAAATTTTATCACTTCAGATGTCATGTGACTGCTATAAATGGCACTGCAGTTTCTCACATGTGGTATTGGGAGTCTTTGAATAAGGGAAAATTTCAGTGTTCCTCTAATTCTGATAGTAGAGCCTCCTTTGAGTTGCTTGATACAGTATACTTTTCTAAACATGTACACATTTTAATTAATTACACTATCATGATGAAAAAAATGCTATTAATTGAATGAGCATAAGGCATGGGGTTGACCTGTGTGCACTACATGATGAACAGTGTTTGGAAGTAGCTGAAAACATGTACCGAGAATATGCATTCAGAATCCTAATTTCGGTTAACTGTATTTCACAGATACTCTTTCCTTTGATGTTATTCAGAATACAGTTACTTTTCTAAGTCAAAGGAATGCATGGCGACACTTTATCACACAATTTAGGCTTCAAACTGCACATACTCAGTGAGAAAAATACTTGCTTGTGCATTCTCGTGTAATTTTAGTTTCTCCAGTAAGTATTGGGAAATGCAGTACCAACGGTGAAACTAATTTAAAGCTGATGTTGCGTCTTTACACTATAATTTATGTGCAACTCTACGTGAAAGTATTCCAAGTATTCAGAATAAACTCTAATCGGACCTTGTATCAGAATGCGTTACAAAATATGTTTTAATGCAGTCAGTATTCTATAACTAAATCCACTGTCAAAGTGTTGTTTCCATCACTGATGATAACTCTGAAGCTCAAAGCACAAATCTGTGGTGCTGCGTGTGAAACCAGACTCCAGGGATCCACAGAGGTCAGCGAGTCTGTCCTGATCAGAGTACACCAAAGGTACTTCTGTAGGAGGAAGAGATACTGCACAATATTATACTGCAAGGTCATTCAAACAAACCAGTGAGGGCACAAAACTGAAAAATAACTGAGAGTTAAAGTTGTGCATCTTCTTTAAGTTCAAGTGCTATAGATATTTTTCATTTTATTAAAACAATGAACATTTAAAAACAATGGGTAAGATTATGAACAATACGTATATGCATAAAATATTCAATTCAAACAGAAAAATTCAAGTATATCTCTTATTTTTGTAAACAATGCCATTTTGGTGGTCCAAGGCACAATTAACTGACCCACATCTAAAAAAAAACTATACTGGAAAATGTTTTGTAGTATTGACATTGAATATATTATTTTGCTCATTATATTTATGCTTTTTGAATAAAATGTCGAATTTCAGTGTAATCTGAATGGAATCATATCACTTTTAAAGGAAAACATTGCTGAAAAACCCTTTTGGAAACACACTTTTTGAGAAAAAAACTTATTTTAAGGCAAACACAACTGAACACCTTGCTTTTTTATTGCAACTCTTCACAAACTTTGTGTTTAGATTTCAGCTGAGACAAGAATCTAAATGTTCATTGATCTTGGCCTCCTGAACTTTTACCAGACACACGGGACAGCTGACCATCACTGCTGACGAAGAGGAGGACGAAGAGGTAGCAGTATTTTGTCCCATAGAGGTTTGAGGAGGGGCTGAAGTTGTAACTGTTGCACTTTTTGGCTTGGATGAATTTGCACTTATCGAGTCCACTGAGTTGCCTTCTATAGTCTTTTGGAAGTAGTCGAAAATGCTGGCGGAGCTCCTGCTGTCCTCCCATGACCTCTTCTTTGACCCCTGACCACCCGTTGAAGACCTATTAGTGTTAGCCTCATTAAAATACTTGGAGTGTGTTGCTTTCTCGGGGCTATTATTAGTTGGAATGACCGGAGGATACTTCGAATGAATAGATTTGCTTGGTGTTGATTTGGATGGGGTCAAATTTGGGACAGATGTTGAACTTTTAGAATTTGACTTATTAAAAAGATCTCCAATTGATCTTTGTCGCACCTTCTCTGCTCCATCATTGCCTGTATTGCTGCTAAGTGGCTTGGATATTCTAACAGGGGAGCCATTGATGTTTACAAAAACCTTAGTGTTACTCACAGACCGCTTTGTTGGAGGTTTGTGAATTGGTCTGACAGAAGGAAAGGCACTTGAGGTAGCTTTGGTTTCCAATCCTGAGCGAATGGGTGAAGGGGAGGAGATTTGAATAGGAGATGTAGTAAGTGTTTTTAGAGGAGAGGAGACAGTTGCTGGTGGTTGGACAGACGCAGAGGAAGATGTAGATTGCTGTGACTTTCCTCCAAGAAGAAATCCTTTTCCAGTGAATGGGATGATGTTTCTTATGTCCTGAGAACCTGAGAGCAAGATGAACATTTGGTTAAAAACAATACATATCCAATTATAATATTGGGTATATTGCAATAATTTGTTATTATCCAGTTACTTTAAAGCTAATTCGTAACTGCATATGTAAAATTTGACTTGTCACTGTGCCTTAACGTTGTGTGTGTGTGTGTAATGTCAAAAGCCACCAGCAGAGGGCATAGTTGTGAGAGATTCCATTACAACGTTCTTCACTTTCTACAACTATGAGAATACAGAAAAATACTACACTATTCAAAATGCAGTAAATCCATATCACCTGAAGTTGAGGGCTTGCTGTTTTCAGTCTTTTCCTTCCCTGAGATAGAAGTTGGTTTGTCAGATGCAGAAGTCTTATCCTTTTTACTGCCCTTCTTTTTGCCATATCCTTCAGGCTCTTTCACTTTCGTGTAGGTACCACCACATGTCCTCCTGTGGTCCTCCCACCAGGGGTCCAGGTGCGATGGAGCCCGGTTCATGGCCCTCTTCACATAACCAAAGTAAGGCTTACGGTTCTGACAGGGACCGTCACAACGCCACCAGTGCTGCCGATACACATCGACCTCATCATGGAAAGTGTGGTAGATCTGAAAGAAGAATGGCAATGTAATTCCAATAGTTCCATAAATATCCTTTCTATATGATTTTGTTATTGAAAGCAGTAAATGAATGTGGTTTAAAATTGAAAATAGGGGTGTGCTAAAATACCAATATATCATGACAATAAAACTGGAGATACAGTATCAATATTGCAGCCTGGTGTATTGATTTACCATTTTGTCACTTGTTTAGAGAAAGGAAATGGTTTATTATGCATTACATTTGACATATTCACTATTTTGATAATTAAAATAGATAAGGGTGTATTTCATATCATATTACTGTTACAGTGTGATTAGTTCTTAAATAATAATGATATTACAGAATATCATGTGTAATATATTGATTATTGTCACTAAAGTGATATTATTGTATCATGAGTCATTTATTGTGTATCATACTGGATTGTATCCTAACGCATACCGAGATCTTGGTTCCACTGGCCTGATTGATACGATTCATATGTTTACAAAACTCAGGTCCATGTCCATCTCTGTCTCTGTTGTTTTGAGTCACAAACAGCAACGCATGGATCATCTCATGGAGCAGTGTCTGTGGACATAAAGCCACATTGAGGCATTTAAACATTTATTACATGGATATTGTGACTCCCTTGACAGATAACTCACCTCCACCAAATCTTTCCTAGGTCTCAACTTTAACAAAGGCTCACTCAGTCTGATGGAGCACAGCCCACCTCGCCCCTCATAGGAACACACCCCTGCACACCTGAAAAACAGAAAACACATCATTATATTCAGCTCAGTGATACTAGTACAAATGTAATAGTTTCTTACAGTGTCATTCTTGGGCTCCACTTCACCTCCACCCCACTGAGCTTTCCCCAGAAGAACATGTCATTAAACTCCAGGAACATGGATCTAACATCAGGATTTGGGTCCAGCATTTCCCAGGACTCGTCCACAATTGACAGCGGTCTCTCAGGCTGCGCTTTCGGCTTCCAGTAGGGGACAACGTCGCTACCTCCTCCAGCTGTCTCCACTCTGCGTTTCTTGTTGCTTTGCTCGAACGGATTGTCTTCAAATCCATCGGAGGGAAATAAAGATGCCTGGTATTCATTGTCAAATTGTTCCTGAAGCTTTATGGCAAGAAGCAAATCCGCGTCCATGGTAAAAGAAACTACTGATATAAGCAGCTCTGCGGGCAACGATCAGACTACTTTGGGAACCAGCTATTCAATAAAACGCGAACTAAAAAGAAAGACAGTCATTCCCAGTTACAGTCTTTGTTTTACATGGTTAGAACAAAGAATCGCTAGAGATAACACTGTATTATAAAACTGATTAAAAGCTTCATATCTTTAGAACTAGCCGTCACTGCGCTAGCGCCAACAACACAGTGTTAGGCTAAACCAAAACTTGAATTTTTTAGGGAGATTGCGACGACATAGTTAATCTATTCCCTATAAATTATAAAACATAATTACACCGTTTTGTACATTTTGAAGTTTTGAAAATAATAAATTAGTACACATAATTATTTGCTGTATATTGAGGAATAAGAGCCTTATAGTGGAAATATCTTTGTCATTGGATAGCCCCCTACTATGTTTGAAACATGGTTGACTCCGTAATGGAAGCGTTTAGGTAAATAGTAAAATAAAAATATTTAATCAAAATTTTATTCGTCTAGTTTGTAGAAAAATATTGAATGTCCATATTTTAAAATACTCAATAAAAATAAAATAAAAACATATAATTTAACTTGTCCTGGTCATGTGACGTTTTGGGGTGGAGCTTCCGGTCTTGCTTCCTGTTTTGGCTTTAGACGGAAATGAACTAGGGGCTGTTATATGCGGTCTTTTTATGCTTGTTTGCACAATCTTCGTCTGTTTTTCGTGTCATTTAGGATAATATAAGCAGATTAGAAATGTCGGAAACTGGGAATCGACTCCGTAAACTTCTGGAATCGCCTAATTTCGACCCGCAGAGCTACGTGAAGCAGCTCTCCCAGCAGTCCGATGGCGACCGAGATTTGCAGGAGCACCGCCAGAAGATCCAGAATCTGGCGGACGAAACGGCTCAAAACCTGAAGAAAAACGTGTATAAGAACTACAGACAGTTTATAGAGACCGCCAAGGAGATCTCCTATTTGGAAAGCGAGATGTATCAATTGAGTCACATCCTCACCGAGCAAAAGAGCATCATGGAAAGCATCACCCAGGCCTTGCTAAGTGCTGATAAGGATGAAACGTCTAAAGAAATGCAGGCAGCTTTCCCCAAAGAAACGGAGGAGATCAAGCAGAGGACGCTCACCTCGCTGTTGGAGAAAGTAGAGGGTGCTAAGAACATTATGGACACACCAGGCAGGCATCTGATTTACAATGGAGACTTGGCTGAGTTTGACGTAGATAATATGTCCCCAATACAGAGAGTGCATGCTTTCCTTATGAATGATTGCTTACTTATTGCCACATGGCTTCCAAATCGCAGAGGTGCTATAAAGTATAAATATAATGCACTGTACGACTTGGAGAGCTTCGCTGTGGTCAATGTGAAAGACAACCCTCCAATGAAAGATATGTTCAAGATTCTAATGTTCCCCGACAGTCGTATCTTCCAAGCAGAAAACAGCAAGATTAAAAAGGAATGGCTTGAGATTTTGGATGAAACGAAGAAGAATAAAGTGTCAAAAGATAAGAATAAACAGGAGGAGGTGGTCCCTACTTCTCCGGTGAGAGCAGAGGTGTCCACCAACCCTTTTGACGTGGAAGAAGATGAACCAACCGATGTAGAAGAAAACGTGAATTTGAATTTGGAGTGGATACAGGAGCTGCCTGAGGACTTAGATGTGTGCATTGCTCAGAGGGATTTTGAGGGTGCTGTGGATCTTCTGGACAAGCTCAATGAGTATCTGAAAGATCAGCCGGTGACTCCAAAAGTGAAAGAACTCAGGGCCAAAGTGGAGGAGCGGGTGCGCCAGCTGACTGAGGTGCTGGTGTTTGAGCTGTCCCCAGACCGGTCACTGCGAGGAGGGCCTAAAGCCACAAGACGTGCCGTGTCCCAGCTCATCAGGCTAGGTGCTTTAAACTTTTTTGCTCTGGTCATGCTCCTGTTTAGTTACATGCTCTTCATCAGTTCTGCCTTTACAAGTATTTTTTACAAGCATCTGAGTTGCACATTTATTGCGACCAGGTTACTCTTTCATTTAACTCTAACGCTGGTGATTTTGAGCTCAAAAATCTTGAAAAGGCAAGATATAGAAACATTAAGAATATGTTGCTTTGTACCTATATGAGAAAAAAATAAATATTATTTCACTCAAATAAAGTATAACTTTAGCTCTGAATCTATGAAGTGCTGAAGGCTACCATTTCAAACAATGACTGATTCATTTAGCACAAATAAGTAATCAATAGATAGGTCATTATAAGAAGTTTCCCATTTATAGGTTTTTTGTAATGATTTGTGATTCTTGTATACATTATCAGTTTGCAGATATAAATATTTCATTTAAAAAGATTTTATTTCAACATGACATGAGATCACAAGCTGTGGGAAAAATAATTCTAGAAAAAAAATGAGAATAGATGTATGTAAAACAAATGTAAATGTAATATATTTTCATTTCAATTGGGTTGTCTTTTAGGCCAGTCCACCAAAGCATGTGAGCTGTTCCTGAAGAATCGTGCTGCTGCAGTCCAGACGGCCATTAGACAGCTCAGAATTGAAGGAGCCACTCTGCTGTACATTCACAAACTCTGCAACATCTTCTTCACCAGTTTATTAGAGACGGCCAAAGAGTTTGAGATGGACTTTGCGGGGAACACAGGCTGTTACTCAGCCTTTGTTGTCTGGTCCGGATCTGCCATAAAAATGTTTGTGAATGCCTTCAGTAAACAGGTAAATATAGAAGATTATAGATGAAGAAATAATTATGAGTATTTAACAATGTCTGATAGGGGATAAAAGCAACTAAATGTCTTTGTTAGGGCTATCAAAAGTGTAGTTAATATGATGAATTATTTGTTATTATGATAGCTCTTACCAACTTTTTCTGACAGTTTTTATTTATTTATTTATTTTTTTAAGAATAGCCTTAATTGTTGATGTACCGGACCTTTCTGAGATTTACCGGTGATATGGTTTTTTCCAGGTATTTGACAGTAAGGAGAGTCTATCCACTGCAGCCGAGTGTGTTAAAGTGGCCAAGGAGCACTGCCAGCAGCTAACGGAGATCGGGCTGGACCTGACCTTCACTTTGCAGTCCCTCTTGGTTAAAGACATTAAAGCAGCCCTCCAGAGCTACAAAGACATCATCATTGAAGCCACCAAGCATAGGAACTCTGAGGAGATGTGGAGGAGGATGAATCTCATGACACCTGAGGCACTGTCCAAACTAAAGGTAGAATGCATGCATTCTGTTGATGACATGTCATGGCTTATGTGGGTATTGTTGTTGGGAACGATGGCTTTTTGCTTTGATTAGACTAAGCTTGCGCTCACACTAGCCCAATCAAACTGAATTCAATAAGGACTGTGGACAGCAACAAGTTTTGCAACCTCTCTCCTCTGACTTTTCTCACTCCTCCGCGCTGTTTTTATAGGAGGAGCACGTATAATAAGAAGACGCCTTACTATTTAATAAATATATCATGCTGCTTATTTTCTCCACTAAAGCTTTAGCTCTGCTGTGCGACATGTAAACAAACAGCGCCGCCCAATGACATCATCAGACTGTGGCCCAGTTCGGTTGTGCAGGTGTTAGTGCGGCAATTGAACTTAATGCAATTGTGCTCGAGCACGGCACGGTTCTAAAGTCCTAGTGTGAATGCGCCCTAAAATGTTAATTGTTGTCATTTAAGGTTTAATATTTTGTTTGGATATTTCTTTTTAAGATGACATCATATATTAGAATGTGAACCCAAACATATATTGTAATATGACCATTTTCACACCCTATTTCTTGGTCCAGTTTGGGAAAAGAATTCAACGGTACACTTGTTTGATACTCCGTTTTGCAGGATTCAGAATATATTTACAAATAATTTTATTGCTTCTGTCATATTTACTTGGTTGAAGTTTACCCATAATAATTAGCTCTATTCATGTTTGTTAGGATGAGATGCGCAGTTGTGGCATCAGCAGCTTCGACCAGTACACGGGGGAGGACTGCTGGGTGAACCTGAGCTACACTATGGTCGCCTTCACCAAACAGATGATGAGCTTCTTGGAGGAAGGTCTCAAACTGTACTTCCCTGAACTCCACATGGTTTTATTGGAGAGCCTAAGGGAGATTATCCTGGTGGCGGTGCAGCACGTGGACTATAGTCTCCGCTGCGAACAGGATCCCGAGAAGAAGAGTTTCGTCATCCAAAATGCCACGTTCCTTCACGACACGGTACTGCCAGTGGTGGAGTTCAGGTTTGAGGAGAGTGTGGGCAAACCGGCCAAACAACTGCACGACCTGAGGAAGAGCTCCAGGCCTGTCCGGATCAACCCTGAGAGCACAACATCTCTGGTCTGAACAAGGTTCACTCTAACAACAGACTGTAATAATTAAAGGGTCTGTACCTGATGTTTTTTCCATATAGTTGAGCAAAGTTTTTCTTGCCCCATTTGTATATTGTATAAGCAGCTCTTGAGGTCTAATTATAAAGCATTGTATTGTCCGAGAATCAGGAAATGCGCAATTAGCATGCAACAACTCCCGTTGTGAAAAGTGCTTATAAACTTGTTGTGGTGAATAATTAGGATCCTTTAGATGCATAAGGAAAGTGAGGAATAACTTTGGACCACTGCAAACTATTTGAAATGAACTGATTATGTTTTTAAGTTATAAAATCAGGTACAGTGCCTTTAATGCGTTGGTTTGCAACTCTTTGTCCTAGTTAATTATTGCTACAAAAATGCAAATTTTTTACACTATTGTATGTTGTCATTACGTTTGATTTAGACATACACTAAACAGTTTACAGTCTGCCTACAGTTGTTTTTAAACCTGTTGCGAATTAACTTCATTACTGACTGTAATATATGATTGTAATTTAGTTTTTATTTCTATTGCACACAGTTTGCACTGAAAATCATCAGATATTTAAACACAGGGCACAAATACACCCAAATTGATAATTTGTCATTGTGCAATAGGTTTTAATGTTCTACTGATGAACAAAGCCTGGGTTTGAAGACATTGGGTAATGGTTGTACGACCAAGCAGAGACATTTGCCCGCAAAGTTAATGCCTCAAAGTCTGGAGTTACAATATTCACTCTATAATGTCAAATCGGGACTAAAAAGGGATGACTGAAGCTTGAGCACTGTTTTAAATCTTGTAGGAATGAATGGTCAAATAAAAATAACTGGAACAGAAGTATCTTTGCATTGATAAAAGGTTGTCTTTTTTTTCAGATGATGCTTCAGGCTGCACATTTATTTTGTTTCCTCAATGCAACAGTTCAATTTACTTTCAAAAAACAACACAACTTTTTATTTTTGGAGTGAATTGTGTCATCTGGTGGTGAATATAGGTGGTATGTTTATGGAATATTATGGAGAGCATGCCACAGATTTCATTCATGAAAGATGTACTTGTGTTTGTGAATTAGGGATTCATAATTCTACTAGAACTGGGTCAAAATGTACAGTAACTAAGATGTGTCTAAGTGATCAGCCATCAGTGACATGTGCCAGGGCTGTCAGCTGCACTCAGATATTTTTATCTCGTCCTCGTGATTTCACAAATGATTGTTCGCTTGGCTTCACGGCTCATCTCATTATAATCACTGATGTGACCAGGCTGTAGCCCGGAGCAGAGGCGCCGCAGAGTCAACTTCAGATTATCCCTGGAGTAGACAAGCACTCACATGTGGGATTAGTGCATCATCATACACTTTTATTTACATTTACACTCAGGCTGAGTGATGTTGTGCAAATACATTGTTTCTCAACATGACGGAATCTGGATTATATTTTAAATCACTGACTCTGGAGTAGGGCTGAGAAAAAATCAATACCCAGTTAATGATCGATAATACAAATAGATTTGAACGAGTATCGATACTGGGACTGTTCCTGAACAGAACTGACTTGAACTATTTTCTTTTTTTAAGAGTATTGTTTTATTATCACTGTGGTACTGACAATTAGATTGAGCTTCACAATTGAGTGACAACTCTGGTGAGGAGTGAATTGAATTACACATTTTAAATTGCCAATGTCTTTCTGTTGAGGTTAGGGCCCACCTCTCATTCCACACGTTATTACTATAGACATTATAGGTAACAGGACACTAACTGGGATAATTAATGGAAAGCTATTGTATTGAGTGAGATTAGTGCATCTCTCTTGGGACCCCCAGCTGCTGTGAAATGTTTGCCTGTAACATGCAGGGTTCATGTCTGACAATGCAAAGGTTAACCGATCAATACTCCACTCTACCTGCCTGTGAAAACACTTAGATGCAGCCTTTCATTCATATGTTTAACAAGTTCAACATGAGACTCTATGCATTTGTGTTTCTAATTATCATCTTTGAGTATTAGTGGTGACATAATGACAGACATGTCCTTCTAATGACTCCAAGGGGAGAGAAGGGATTTAGGCCTCTGAGGACTCAGATTAGGTTTGATAGGCAAGCGTGGGTAGCCTTACCATCACTTTGCCCTGCAGTATTTGCCAAATTTGTATAGATCTGAGGAACAACAATGTAGGTCTACATTTCACTTTATTTACATTACAAGAGTAGCCTTATCATCAATAGGCCCTGCAGTGTTTTCCAAATTTGTACATTAGTTTTGACAACATTACGCCTGTGGTTTATGTTATAGTTTAAAACTGAGGATACTTGCTATGTATTTGAAATAATAACTTACAAACATTCTGTACCTTTAACTTCACTAAAATGTGAGCTAACTGGTCAGACTTGAGGTGTATACTTTTTATTGAGCCTTATCATTTCAATAATGTGGTACAAGCTTAGTCTTCCTTTTACACCACAAGGAGGTGTTTTGGGGAGGTGAGTCTAGATCAGTCAATCCAATTAATTTTAGCACTTGCCCAATACCCATTCTCCACCCTTCTCCCCTCCGCGCATGCGCAGCGGGGCACTGGGAGCTGTCCCCAGTCGGTGCTGCTGAGTGTTTTCACTGATGCTGCAGCTGCCTCCGGTGCTGCCCTCTCCTGCAACACGAGCCATGGAGGAAGAGTTGAAATGTCCGGTATGTGGCTCTTTCTACAAGGAGCCCATCCTGCTGCCCTGCTCCCACAACGTGTGCCTGGCGTGCGCGTGGAACATCACCGTGCAGACCCCTGAAGGCGAGACCCCGGTGCAGAGAGCCTCGGGCAGCTCGGACTATGACTACCTGGAGATGGACAAGATGAGTCTGTACAGCGAGACTGATAGCGGCTACGGCTCCTACACTCCGTGCCAGCTCAAGTCCCCAAACGGAGTGAGGGTTTTCCCGCCGAACATCCCTCGACACTGCTCCCTGACCTGTCCGCTGTGCCACCGGAGCGTGAGCCTGGACGAGCGGGGACTGAGGGGCTTCGCCAGGAACCGGCTGCTGGAGGCGATCGTCTCGAAGTACCAGCAGACCCGAGGCATCGCCGGGTCCGCCTCCTCCTCGGCTGTCAAGTGCCAGCTGTGCGACCGCAACCCATTGGACGCGACGGTGATGTGCGAGCAGTGCGACGTGTTCTACTGTAACGCGTGCCAACAGCGGTGCCACCCCTCCCGCGGACCTCTGGCAAAACACCGCCTCGTCCCGCCGCCGAAAAGAGCCGAGAACGTCCGAGGACCGGCGGCGGAAAACGCGGGCGGCAGCAGCGGCAGCGGAGGAGGAGCGGCGGGGAGCAGTGGCGCACCGATGCCGCCCGTCACAGCCAGGAAACCGGCCACCTGCGCGGACCACGAAGCGCAAAACTTCAGCGCCTACTGCTGCACCTGCAAGAGCCCAACCTGCACCAAGTGTTTGGAGGAGGGGAAGCACAATCAACACGACGTGAAGCCGCTGGCCGTGATGTGGAAACAACATAAGGTGAGTAGGAAACACGCAGCTCCACCACGCTGAGCTGTCTACTGTTATAATTGATCATAATTAGGAGGATCATCTTGAAAGGCGACCAGCTGTGGCACCGTTATGTCTACTATCTATACAGACACTGGCCTACTATTTCCAATCCAGTGTTTAGCAGCAAACTGTGCTTCAAGTGGCTAGAATGGCCTTTAGCTGTACTAGAAACCATAAATCATCACAGTGGTGTCTGCTTTCTTTCTCACTGCTGCAACATTGGACCAGACAGATGCTCCCCAGAATGCACAGAGAGCACAGTTCATCATTAGATTCTTATAGCCTACATTTTTATTACTTTATTTTACCTCCTCAGCACAAGGACTAATATTTCTAACAAACACTGTTACTACCAAGCGTATAGTAAAGATTGTGGAAGGACAAACCATCAAATCACACTTCTCAGATGACCCAAATAAATGCCAAGAAAGGCTAGCACCACGGACAGCAGCCTTTTTTCCAAGTTCAAATTCTCATATCGTATTATTAGCGGTACATTTATACAAATCAGTAAATTGTAATCGTCTTATTAGAAAGCCTTTATCGCACGTGCTGTTTGGACCTCTTAAAGGGTTTTGCATGAGCTGCTTATCCATCCTTATTGTTATTCTTTAAGCACACAGCTGGATGCCTCTAAATCCACCACAATTCCCCTTTGAGGCATTATCTACAACATATGGGTCTACATTTGATCTGCCAGCATTTTTGTCTGCAGATACAAGCTGAACAATGCACAACCACCAGCACTGACAAATATATTCACCAGAACTAGAACAGTATAACTATGTATGTATGTATGGTAATGGTTCAGTGAGTTTAGAATCATTTTGTGTTTGTGAATTTAGAGAGTATTTACCCCTGAACTAAATAGGCTGTTTTTGAGAGTAGTACAATCCTTATATGTGCTCATGTGGATAAAAATATTGATATATTATGGTACTAAATTTGGTGTATCAGTATATCGTATCGTTTAATGTGAAGATACAGTATCAGTATCGGGACTGCTGTATCTATATATTGCAAGAGTATTTTTTTGTATATTTTACTAAATAATTTTGTTACAGTGCTACAGTTTTGTTGCTTGCTCAGAGGAAGGAAAGTTGTTTATGTGACACATTTGACATTTTCACTGTTTTGATGATTAAAATGGGTGTTTCTCAAATGAACTTTGCAGAATAAGTGGTTTAACAAAGACTTTTAGTAACACAGCCATGATTTAGCTTTTACTTTTTACTGAACCATATCAAATCGATTTGAAATATATCATATCGAACTGAAAGTGCAATGTAACGAGATGTGTATTGTATCGTGGCCTGTGTATTGAGGTATGTATCGTATCGGCAACTTCTTAATGATACCCAGCTCTAATCACCAAGAGTAATTTTTAGTATCTTTTAGCATTGTTTTTTTGTGGCAGTGCACTGGACTTATTCACTGTTTTGATTAGTAAAATAATAGTAGATGTATTTCATATTAACTTTGCACAAGTAGTGGTTTAATAAAGAAATTGTGTTGCTAAAATGTATTTGGTTCATAAAAAACAGCAATACCACATAGTGTCATGTGCGATATATCGATGTATCACCATATCGTGCTAATATCGTATCTTGAGCCATGTACCATGCATCATAACGGATCCTGCTTAATGTTTTCTTGTGTTGTTTTTTCATAACTGGCTATGTCTTACACATTTAATTACAGTGTTCTTATTGATTTGACATTGCATTTCGTTGTTGGCCTGGTGAGAGACAGGATATCATTGTGATTGCTTGTCTTCATTATTAATATGAGCACTTCTGTTCTGTATGTGGGCCAAAGTATAATTCACTTGATTCTAGCTGACGCATTTGTGAAGTAATTAGTGTAGGCATAAGGCACTAATATATATGAGTCATAACTTTGAAGTAGCACATTTACTGCAGTGTGAATGCAGGAGATAAGAGTAAGCAATTGTCCTTAGCAACACAATGTACCCTCACTTATGTTTTCTAACATAAGCCTCCTCCTAAAGCTCAAAAATGCCAAAAAAAAACAAAAAAAAAAAACAATTCTGATTTATTTCTGACTCAAATTACAAGGTATTTACAAGGTTTATGGATGTTTCTAAATGCCAACTCAAAGAATGCAGCTTCACTGATTTTCAAGGTAATTCTACACTTCCCAAACCCAAATTGTCACCCTATTTTAAAGTACAAGTGAGATTTTAAAATAATTTATGAATTCACAAATTATTCATAGCTCCTTCATTAATCCGAATTGTTCGGTCTGAGGAATGGGTGAGTTTAAGTTCATTGTATCATGTGTCATCTCTTTTTAAATTTACACATAATGACGAACACAGAAAAATCTTTGCAATTCTGTATATCTTTGACACAAAAACAAAACTCTTTTAAAATTTGCATTTCTGTTTTATCGTGAAAGTGCATATTCAACACCATCATGCTATCAACTTCTCAGAAAATATTTGGCATTCAAATTCCTAAACAAAATCATCTCTTATTTAAACCACAACAGAACTTTCAAAGCAGATCTAAACCACAGCAAATCCTCCTTTGTTGCCCCTGTCCATAACTGGACCATAAAACACCCTATTTGCGGACAACAGGCGTAAGAAGAAGGTGCTGATAAGTAATGAGCGAATCCAAGATGGCCACTGCTGCTGTAGTTAATGCAGTGTCTTTTATGTTTGAGGGAGATCGATGGAGCCTCTCTGGTGGTAAACAGCTCATATCTCCAGAGCGTTTGAAGTGTCAGTCAGTCATTTACAACCACACTCCTTATCTCGCTTGTTAGTAGAAAAAACATATATAATAAATGGAGACCAGCCTCCAGAAGCCTTAGTGTTAGAATATAAGACATAATGAGAAAACCATATAGGTGCCAATGTTTCTATTCATTGTCTCGTATGTCTGTCAGCCACCTTTGCTCTGTTGGTCATTTAGCAGGTTGAAGGTGTCCCGTTGATGGTATAGCTCTTGACTACAGGCAGAGTGTTCACAGTGAGCAGATGCCAGGCTGTTGGTTCAGATCAGACTCAGTGCGCACACAGTGATTCAGCAGGTTTTATTAAAGCATGCTCTACAGGACTAAATGCAATCATTATACTATACACCATTATTACATTACAGAACATATTATCGTGTTGGTTAGGACAGCTTTATCTCACCTCATTGTGTTACTCATATGGCCCAGTGGCTCACAGGTTATAGGCAAGATAATTTGTTTGTATAGCACAATTTATAATTCAGAGTAATTCAGGTAATTCAAAGTGTTTTACAGAATAAGAAAGACATCAATCACAATACAAACAAATCGAAACATAAATAATCATTCTAAAATTTACATTACAAGAGAAGAGGGAAGAGTCCGTAATAAAAACCTTTCCGTCATAGCTCAACAGAACCGTTTTGATCCTTAGACATTTAGTTACAGTGGCCATTGTGTCTATAGTGGTTTGGTTCAAGCTCGGCCCGTGAATGCGGTTGTGTTCTTTAGCAAGACACTTCTTAATAGTTACAAAGTGCTTTACATGTGAAAAGGTTTAAAATTGCAACAGAAAACGCAAACAGAAGCAGTGAAATACGGGATAATAATAACTGTGCTGTTGTAAAAATGCCTTTCTGTAAGTGTGTTTTTAATTGTGATGGATGGAGGCTGTCTTGCTTCCTCCAGTCAATCACAGGGCAGCTGCAGCTACAGATTAGAGAGGGAATAAATAATGGCCGTAGCACTTTGAGTGGCTTGTGAAGCTTGAAAAACGCAATATAGATGTAAGATTTTAATTTATTCATTTCCGATTGATACGGCTCAGTCACATTACATTATAAAAATACAGCAACACTGATATAGTCAAATCTTTTTTTTTTAAAGGCTCATATTTCACATCTGTTTATCCCCTTGTGATCTTACAGCAGGCTTGTTCAGTGTTCCCTTGAAATGGTGTGCATTTAGTTTAGTGTTGTGATTCCAAAGCTGGTTCCACATGAGAAGCAGCTGCACTGGTTGTACACTGTGGGGCATCTGTCATGTCTGCCCCTGTGTGAAGATGAAGACTTGTTTTTGTCCTGTCACAAGAGCACTGTGCTGGAACCATGAGGCAGGGCCAGGTCTGGAAGAGAGACAAGATCTACCAATGCAAAGTGTTTGAATGAATAAGGAAAATATAGTCACTGCTTTTTTTTTTACCATGACAAATGAAGATTCATAACACAAGAAGATTTCAGTTTTGTAATATTCGATTATAACAGAATAATATTAATTACAGTTTTCCTGGTTAAGATGGCAATGATTATAAAATGTTTGGTAATATCTGTTTTGACACAATTAGACCAGAGCACATTTTTACCACTTTACCCACAAAGCACCCCTCACAGGCACAAGTCTACACCATAGTTACTAGATATAGGAGTGAAGCGTATATGAACTTTATCATTCTGAAGGAGGTCGCCCCACTGATCCAGTTTCTCTGATCAGTCGAGCAGAAAACAGATGGGCTATTTAAAGCAGCAGCAGCCACACTACCACTCAAGAGGGTATCTGGGCCTGGATAAGGATATCGTCAAAAGTACTGAGCCATGAGAAGACCCTGCTGAAATATTTACAACTGAAAATGCAAAGTTACTGCTCCCAGCGGAGGTGTCTCTGCACTGTCATCCTCCAGAGACGCAAGATTTAGAATTTCTTTTGCATTATTTGTTTGTTTTTTATAATTATTTTATTTCTGCAACACCATCATTCATGTGAGAAAGCATTTGAGACCTTTGTCTGTTGTAAAGGTCAAGGCAATAAAAGAGCAGAAGTGGTTGGATATTTTGGTTTGTGGTGGGTCTCACTGAATTGTTTGTTGTGTCTTTCTTTGTGTTTTGAAAGTTGTCAGTGCAGGGCGTGAAAAAGCTGAAAATGTCCTACTTCTATACATCACGCACATTGTCCTACCTGCTCTGAAAATAAGAAGTTTAAATTGACCC